TGAAATTGCCAATCATCGTATCTTATGATTTCGGAGCAGAAGCTTAATCTTCATCAAGATTTTAAAAACCACATCAACGGAGACAATTTTGAGAACAATTTTTTCAACATCATGCATGTATATTTACCTCTTTATAAATTTCCCATTTATTCTCAATGGTATGACCTCTAAGTTGTCCAACGGTACTCTCTCTTAAGGAGTTGTCAAGAACAAACACTTCTTTTTCACGAAGAATTTTTTGCTTCCGCTTCGCAATCTTCTCGTTCTTTTTCAGTTTTCTTAGTTTTCCATGGAGAAACATCCCGAATTGTTCTAAAGTTTGACAAATTTCTTTTAATTTATATGAATCTACAGTGAGCTGGCAAAAGGTGACCTCAAAATACAGATAAGATCAGAGTCAGACAGGGAGATGTCGCCGACAAGACGTCAAGAACCAAAACTATTTTAATCATATACCCAGAAATCGGTTTTAGGAGTTTAATTAATGAGGTTTTTACATAAAAATCCTTTAAAACTGAAAAAAGTTTTGTTTTGAAGTCCCGAGATTTGGAATTCTCTACCAGCGGATGTGCATTCGTATAACATGTAATTTGACATTTAAGTGTTAAATTCCAAGTACCACGTATAAAAACCTCCTGTATACTTTTATCCATGTTGTAAAAAATATTTAAGCCAGTCTAAAAATAAAAAATTATTAAGCCAATCTAAAACTATACCAACAAATTTTATTTTCCTAAATCGCTTGCTTTTTGCTTTAGCTCACGACTTAATGTTATGTTTACAATGAATAGATATTTGACACGACTTTTCAGAGTTTTTCAAGTGTGGATGTACAAACATTTTGTCGAGATCTAGGGTGTAAAACGTCTCAGCAGGGAATAAAAGAAGAATTTAGTAATTAAACCTGACATAAAATGAAAGTTTATCTTTGATTTTGTTCGTAAGGATTACAATCCCCCCGCATCAGAAAGATAACTTTTTTCCTGTCCAACTAATGCATGGTGATTTGTCTTATACAGTTATACGAAATTTTTAGAAATTTATATACGTCATTTCAGAGAGTTTTGGGTAAGTTCGAATGTACAAACATTTTGTCGAGATTGGGTGTAAAACGTCTCACGTTACCACTAAGCACAGCCATAAATTTAAACCTGACAAGGCTGACATAAAGTGAAAGTTTGATCTTTGATTTTGTTGATAAGGATTACGCTCCCTTCGCATCAGCGAGATAACTTTTTTCCAGTCCAACTAATGCATGGTGATTTATCTTATATGAAATTCGTACCGTTTCGTTGAAGACAGTTGCGAGATTTCTATTCTTCTAAACGCTCTGTGTGATTCAACACTTTTTATTAAGGACTGGATTTCTAACTTTCGTTGTGCCTGATTTGGTGTAGCTATAGAAACGGTTTCTTTCAGGTTGGTTAAGTTTTCTGCCTTGGCTAGTGCTTTAAGTTGACCCAAGGTTACATGGGTTTTTAGGTCTGATCGGAGGCGAGGCCTTGGATGAAATATTGCGTGCCATCTATGTCCTGTAATTCTATACCCTTACAAAGATGTCTTATATCTGAGGAATAGTTTGCCACTGGTTCGGTTTCGCCTTGCGTTTTTGAACATAGTTGTTGACGCCACAGCCACAATGATGCTGAATTGCTGAACTGGCTTTTCAAAGCACCGAAAAGACTTTCATAAGTTGAAAACTGGTCAGGGCTGCATGCGTACCAAAATCCGGCATTGCCTTGTTAATACAGGGGCAAGGCTTTTAAACACTGTTTGAGTCCCACCCACAAAATTCTGAATGGCGCTCAAAATGGCTTAGAAATGCGGTTAAATCATCTGTTTGTGTACCGTGGAAAGGCGTCGGCTGGAGTGCATGCCCTAGATGAAAACTATTGCTATTTGGGATTGTTTTTGCTGATGTAATCTTAGTAGATCCTCGTAATGACGATTATTTGCGTCTGTGTTATGTTTTAGTTCTTTACAGTACTGTTGATCGGTCGGTCGTAATAGCGTTTTGTAGTGTCTGATATCTTTTCCGTGTCGGTCATGTTGAGACCATCACTTAAATTTGCAGATGGATTGCTTTGTGTTGGATCAGCAAGCTTTTGGCTGCGGGAGGGCGTTGTAGGGCAAAGACACATACACGATTAACACAAATAACGTAACAAATAACAAGAAAATACAACATAAACTCTACAACTACTTGGTCTCAATTTGCGCAGGTAAAAATAATGGAGAAGTGCAAATTACGTGCAAAGTCACCTGCCAACAGCTTATGCCGCACATGCATTCGGTATGGCTGCCATTTAATTTCAGTCCTTGTTATCCGGATGGAGTTGTGACGAGCACTTACGTGAGGATTTTCCTGGAGTAGTTCTCTGACAGCGTCAATGTTGTGCACCGTTCGAATACTTCTTCGTCAGTTCGTCTGCCAGACTTGTCCTTTAAGGCTGTTTTCCACTTACGCGTTTTTCATACGCACGTACACGCACGTAAAAGTCTTTTATCCTTATACATGTTACCTTAAAAAACTAAGTAAATAAATCAAAGTAACTTAGTTTTCCGCATATTTTAGTGTGGATTAGTTGACCTATAGATGTTAAATGATAAAAAATTTTTTATACGCACGTACACGTAAGGAAAATTTTACTGCTTTAAAATTTTTATTATTTAACATCCGTATAGGTCAACTAATGCATACTAAAATATGCAGAAGACTAAGTTTCTTCGATTTATTCACTTAGTTTTTTCATAAATTACATTAAAGTTTTAGACTAAGTTGTGAAAGCATGGAAAATCGAAAACAACCTTTATACCTGTTACCTTTGAAAAAACGAAGTAAATAAATCAAACAAACTTAGTTTTCTGCATATTTTAATATGCATTACTTGACCTACGGATGTCAAATAATAAAAATTTAAAAGCATTTAAAATTTTCCAAACGTGTACGTGCGTAGAAAAAACGCGTAAGTGGAAAGCAGCTTTAAGGATTTAGACTTACGTGTGCGTGCGTATAAAAAACGCTTTAAGGCTACTTTCCACTTACGAAAACGTGATCATGTGCATTCCCGGTTTCTTCTCGTGCCTACGTATTAAATATCCCCTCGCTTTACTAGAATTTATGAACACTTCATTAATGACAAATTGCCAAAAACCAAGCTGTAAGCCCTTTAGGCAGTATAAAGTAATCAAGCAACCGATAGCCCGTTTAATGAAGACCCAGATTCTGCTGCATTTTTGAAAACGCGTTTACGTATCGAAAAATCCTTTCGGGCAGAACAAATATATGAATACGCATCACGGATTTTCACCCCCTTCCTAATTATCGCATAAATTGATTTGGACGAAATCGAAACAAGTCGAGGCTGCTTTCCACCCTCGCGTTTCTTGCACGTACGTACACGCACGTAAAAGTTTAAAGTCATTTAAATGATACTAATAAAATCAGAAAAGAAAAAAGGTTTTAAGCTACATAGGCTGAATTTCAGCCCAGTTGTCATGTAATCGTAAACAAATTTAAACCAGGACAAAAAATTGCTTTTTCGTTTGTTTAAATTATTTCTATATATGCAAATCGCAGTCCCTAGCTGCATAAAAGGTCAAGTCAGTATCGCCTTAAAAAATACGAGCTTTGCCAAACTCAATGCTGAGCCATAAATATAGGAATTGAACGCCAGAATTGAAGGTGCATGAGCCGTGAGCCTGCCATCACAAAACAAAAGTCGAAAGATAAATTTGGCTATATAAAAAATACCTGACTATAGACTCTACACAGTAGGCAAACTCTGATTGAAATAATATTCTTGTAAGTTTGCATGGTGACATCAAATAAGTAAATTAGTTTGTAGGTACACCACGAAAGTACTTAATACTGCAAAGCTTTCTGCTTTCGGTCCGTTAAAGATTAAGATGGTTCATTGAATTGATGAACGCCCCGAAAGCTTTGTTATCTGTGTACCTACAAACAAATTTACTGGTAACAAACGGAAAACATTAATATTTCATAGTAAATGACTGTAGATTAAAATATCATACCTCAGTGAACTTGTTCCAATAACTCCAATTATTGCCTGGATGATAATCTTAATTGTTGTTGACTTGTTGCGTTACTGGCGTATCTGCGTGTTTCTAGTGTGCACGTATAGAATTCCTTCTTCTGTTTCTGATTATGCCAAACAAAATGAATGCTTTGAATGCCTTAACCGCAAAGTAGTAATCACTATGCTCTGCATTAATCATGCATTCAAATTTCAACAGAAGCTTCATTTTAATAGGGGGCACTTTTTTATGCACCCTGTATAATATACCACCCTATTATACACCCTGTATTTATATTTATCCCCGAGCAGGCGCGAAGCGTCTGCGAAGGTACTAATTCCGCTCGGAGATTAAGAATTACACCCGAAAGCCGGGAGAACATAACGAAATCCAACGTTGTCCAAATTCTATGTCATGGACAGTGAGAGCTCTATATATATGTATGGAGTAGTAACTTGCATGGTTGCTAAAAGTGAAGCTATATATATACATGTATATAAATATATGTATATATATATATATATATATATATATATATATATATATATATATATATATATATATATATACACGGTGCGGTTAATTATAAAGCAGAGGTTCAAAGATTTTGTGATCCAGGACTGGTTTTGAACCCTACCCTATCCACTCGTTATAATAAATCAGAGGCGGGTTCAGACTGATCAGTGATGCGAATGCATTAGTCAAAATTTCACAAAAATTATGTACGAAATTGGCAAAAATGCATATGAAACTGCATGTGACCAGCTTCTTCTAATACCGATGTATAACACACTTAACCAGTTAACTAGTCTATAGTAAGATTTAAAACAGACTGATACGATAAGAAAGTAGTGAATGTTAAATATTCCTGGGTTGTAAAAGTTAATCTTTGTGTGGTGATTACTTTCATTTATTAAAACCAAGAGTAGCGATAATTAGCTACGATGGATTATATACTTGCTCATTAACTTCAGGACTTGGTTATGTTACTGTAATTTGATTACAAATCAGACTAAAAATCTCCTGAAACTTCCAATGAGGATCAAACCGATGCATTGAATGCTCATTAACTGATCGTTGGAAACCTATTTTATAACAACTTCTTTCAAAAAAAGAGTAGAAAAGTGTTTGACTATATAGGTTATAGGACGTTATATATTACCCTACAGTCAGGTATTTAGGCTTCAGTTTGGCCCTTTTCAGTTAAAATTTCATCTTGCATGGATGGAATAAGACCCTTACGAAAAGCTACAGAAAGCAATTCCTCTGAATCTTTGATATCTGGATATTCACGAATCGCCCACTTGAGATACAGCGAGAACTCATTCCAGTCTACCTTTCCATCTTGATCCATATCAATTGCTTTCAATGCACGTTTGGTAGGCTCGCATCGGTAACATCCAAAATATGGCGCCATGAAGCCGTTATAAAACGCATCGAATTCTAATTGATCATCTTTCTCACCATCGCGTATATCCCATTCGTCCCACGATTCTCGTATTTCAGCAATAAGATTCTGACCATGAATTGTTTTAGGCTTTTCGTCTTCAATCGCTTTAGCCATTGCTTCAGTAAGTTTGCCACCAGACCGATCAAACAGGATAGCCAGACCAACTTTACTCATGTACTCTTCTTTTCTATCCTCATGAAGATCTTTCAACATCACCTCACGCATTCGCTCTGCATATTCTTCTGTGAACTGAGCATTTTCGCCAAACAACGTTTGTAGTCTCTCAACAATCATTCTTGGTGATGCCAACGTTGTCATTCTCATCAAGGGTTTTTGCCCGAAAAATGTTGCCATACAAAAACCATCATCATCAGGACTTGAACCCATCATACCATCAAATACAATATCCAGGGCTCGTTCGCCGTACACAGGTTGTTTAGGATGTGGTTCGCAACCAGTTGTTATTCTTGTCACTTCTTGAGCAGCTTGACGTAGCTGTTCACAGTTATATTGTTTCAAGACACGTTTGTTACCCAAACGAATCAGATTCAATAAGGTCACACTAGAAGATGCATGACCCAAGGCTGCTCCTTCTTCACATACACTACACCAGATACCTGTAGCTCCATTCAGCAGACATTCTAACTGACTGACTTGAGCCATCCCCCACTTCTCGTGAATGTGAACTAACAAATGGCCGTCTTGGAAACCACATTCGTTCATCTCTTTACGCACTGCAGCGGTCCAAAAAGCAAGTTGATCTGGCAAGTAGTTTCCAGTTGGCTCCTCGAAGATCAAACCAAAAGGACGCTGGTTTTCTGGTAATGAGGAAAGGTACTTTACAACTTTAAACACGCGCCTTGGTTTATTAATTATGGCATCAGCGATATCACGCAGATTGATGAAAATGTTGGCGTCTTTTGAAAGGTTTTCACGAACCCATCGCATTCTTTGTGAGAAAAGTCTGTTAATTGCTTCAACATTAAATACTTTGTAGTCGATACTGGGATAAAACAAATCAGCTTCAATAATCGGATTTCGAATACCCAATTCTTTCATCTTTTTCAGGCCAATTGGAATGGTCTCGGTGTCAGGGATTCTGGTTTGACTATCAACAGATTCGATAAACTCGGTAAAGGCGTAGAATGTGCTGAAATCCTCTCCTTTCTCGGCAAGTTGACGAATAAATGTATCTCCAACACGGGTCATATGGGAAAACGATGTGACAATGAAATGTTTGAAGCCAACTTTCTTTATCTAAAATTGTTCAAGAAATATAATTGCTATAATTTTTTTCAAAAATGTTTAATGTTCTGGCTATAAAAACACAGGCCGAGCATGCCGGGTATTCATTTTAGCCGATAAATTAAGTGTAGGGTATATTAATTATCATGAAATTGCCAATCATTAGTATCATATGATTTCGAAGCAGGGGCCGGTGGTATCAAGCCCGTTTAGCTTAAACGGTGGATAAGTCAAAACTAAATAGCACTCTTACATCTCTCTTGAATGAGTCAACTTGAATATTATGCACTGAATATGTAGTTGTAAACAGTACCTTTGTATTAAGGTTAAAAACATTTAGTTTGCTTGTTGAATAAAACGATAGACTTGCTTTCTATATTTTGAACCTAACCACCGTTTAAGCTATAGCTATACAACCGGCTTGAAACAACTGGCCCCAGAAGCTTAATCTTCATCAAGATTTTAATAACCATATCAACTTTGGCAAATTTTAGACAATTTTGACAACAATTTTTCCCAAATCATGAATGTATATTTACCTCTTCATAAATTTTCCATTTATTCTCAATGGTATGACCTCTAAGTTGTCCAACGGTACTCTCTCTTAAGGAGTTGTCAAGAACAAACACTTTTTTTTCACGAAGAATTTCTTGCTTCCGCTCCGCAATCTTCTCGTTCTTTTTCAGTTTTCTTAGTTTTCCATAGAGAAACATCCCGAATTGTTCTAAAGTTTGAGAAATTTCTCTTAATTTATATGAATCTACAGTGAACTGGAAAAAGGTGACCTCAAGATACAGATAAGATCAGAGTCAGACAGGGAGATGTCGCCGACAAGACGTCAAGAACCAAAACTATTTTAATCATATACCGACAAATCGGTTTTTAATGAGCTCAATTAATAAGGCTCTACATAAAAAACCTTTAAAACTGAAAAAGTTTTGTTTTGAAGTCCCGAGGCTTGGAATTCTCTACCAGCGGATGTGCATTCGTATAACATGTAGTTACAAATTTTTAAGATGAGGAGTTCGTGTTAAAATTGTTTGAAATCCTCTCAAGTGTAAAATTCCAAGTACCACGTATAAAAACCTCCTGTATACTTTTATCGATGTTGTAAAAAATATTTAAGCCAATCTAAAAATAAAAAATTATTAAGCCAATCTAAAACTATGCAAACAAATTCTATCTTCCTAAATCGCTTGCTTTTTGTTTTAATTAACTCACGACTTAATGTTATGTTTACAATGAATAGATATTTGACACGACATTTCAGAGAGTTTTGTGTAATTTCAAATGTACAAACATTTTGTCGAGTTTGGGTGTAAAACGTGTCAGGTTACCATTAAGCGCAGCCATGAATTTAGAAATTAAACATGAGTCCTGACAAAGCTGACATAAAGTGAAAGTTTGATCTTTGATTTTGTTGATAAGGATTACGCTCCCTCCGCATCAGAAAGATGATAACGTTTTTCATGTCCAACTAATGCATGGTGATTTGTCTTATACAAAATTTTTACCGTTTCGTTGAAGATAGTTGCGAGATTTCTATTCTTCTAAACGCTCTGTGTGATTCCGTAGAGCCAAAATTATACTACCATATACAGGTAAGTCTAATTTAATCCCTGAATGCTACTTAGATATCACCTTGCTAATGATATCAACGAGGCTATTATAGGTACGCAAACGTGTTGAAGTTCACACACCGGCAAACGTTTTGTCGGTTTTGCACACCACGCCAGAATTCTTTACTCCCACGCAGGAATTGGACATTTCATATGGAATTCACATTAATACGCACAAGATGGACGTCAACTAATGAAACGAAATACTGGTACAAATCGTTCGAGTTTGTAAAAGGAAATAGAATTATAATCAAATTAAAGAAAAGTTATTTCAGTGTGGTTTAGGACACACAACATAGGGTCAATTTATTGTTTATAATAGAAAACTCTTGTCTACAGCAGACAGACTCTGGCTGGTGTATAATTACAGTGTAAATCATTTATAAAAAAAGCATTTATACTTTCATATAGTAATTGATGTAGATTAGAATATCGTACCTGAACTTAGTCCAATTATTGCCGAATGTTAACCTTCGTTGTTTGATGTTTTTACTTTTGAAATAACAAAATCAACAGAGTTGCGAATAGTACTCAAACAGCTCAACGAGGAGAGTGCCGCTATTTCAAGGTATCATCTTACAAGTCAAAATTAGGTTGCTCATGGGTAGGAATGCTGCCTGAAGCTTAATGTCAGTGTTCGGTTCGCTTCCACAAAACATCTATAAAAGAAGGTACTGCAAAAGGAACGAGATTGAAGTTTGTTAGACCTATGAGAGATCAGCCTGTTCGAAGGCGAAGGTTCAAAGATTTTGTGATCCAGGACTGGTTTTGAACCCTACCCCATCTACTCGTTATAATAAATCAGGGCGGATCCAGACTGATGCGAATGCATTAGGCAAAATTTCATAAAAATTATGTACGAAATTGGGAAACTGAAGGAATATGAAAACCAGCTTCATCTGGCCGTAAAGATACCGATGTATAACATACTTAACCAGTTAACTAGTCTATATAGTAATATTTAAAGCCGAAAGAAAGTAGTGAATGTTGAATATTCCGGAATTTGGTATATTCGAATATTCGATCTAGGTAATGTTGAGTATATCGGAATATGGTATCTTCGATCATGGCAAGGTGGAACATACCGTAATATGGTAGATTATACCGCAAACTCTTCTTCAGTCCAAACTCCGAGCACTGAAAAATGCAAAGCGTGGGCAAATGATAATGCCGGGAAACAGGTAAAAAAAACTAAAAATACAACATACATAGTCCAAGCCTTTAATTTGTAAAAGTGAAATTTTAAGTTATAAACGTCATTAATTTTTATTGCATTCAAAGAAACTTTATATTCTTAATTACTACAGTAACCTCAGCACTAGATTATTGTTTACTTTTTTTAAAAAGCGATTACAAGGACGTAGTTATGTTACTGTAATTTGATTACAGATCAAATTGAAAATCTCCTGAAACTTCCAATGAGGATCAAACCGATGCATTGAATGCTCATTAACTGATCATTGGAAACCTATATTTTATAAAAAATTCTTTCAAATAAGGTTCAGCTATATACGTTTTACGTTATAGGACGTTACATATTACACTACAGTCAGGCTACAGTTTTCCCCTTTTCAGATAAAATTTCATCTTGCATGGATAGAATAAGACCCTTACGAAAAGCTACAGAAAGCAATTCCTCTGAATCTTTTATGTCTGGATATTCACGAATCGCCCACTTGAGATACAGCGAGAACTCATTCCAGTTCACTTTTCCATCTTGATCCATATCAATTGCTTTCAATGCACGTTTGGTAGGCTCGCATCGGTAACATCCAAAATATGGCGCCATGAAGCCGTTATAAAACGCATTGAATTCTAATTGATCATCTTTCTCACCATCGCGTATATCCCATTCGTCCCACGATTCTCGTATTTCAGCAATAAGATTCTGACCATGAAGTGTTTTAGGCTTTTCGTCTTCAATCGCTTTAACCATTGCTTTAGTAAGTTTGCCACCAGACCGATCAAACAGGATAGCCAGACCAACTTTACTCATGTACTCTTCTTTTCTATTCTCATGAAGATCTTCCAACATCACCTCACGCATTCGCTTTGCATATTCTTCTGTGAACTGAGCATTTTCGCCAAACAACGTTTGCAGTCTTTCAACGATCATTCTTGGTGATGCCAACGTTGTTATTCTCATCAATGGTTTTTCTCCAAAAAATGTTGCCATACAAAAACCATCACCTCCGGGATTGGAACCCACGCTATCTAAAACAATATCCAGTGCTCGTTCGCCGTACACAGGTTGTTTAGGATGTGGTTCGCAACCAGTTGTTATTCTTGTCACTTCTTGAGCAGCTTGACGTAGCTGTTCACAGTTATATTGTTTCAAGACACGTTGGTTACCCAAACGAATCAGATTCAATAAGGTCACACTAGAAGATGCATGACCCAAGGCTGCTCCTTCTTCACATACACTACACCAGATACCTGTAGCTCCATTCAGCAGACATTCTAACTGACTGACCTGAGCCATCCCCCACTTCTCGTGAATGTGAACTAACAAATGGCCGTCTTGGAAACCACATTCGTTCATCTCTTTACGCACTGCAGCAGTCCAAAAAGCAAGTTGATCTGGCAAGTGGTTTCCAGTTGCCTCTTCATAGATTAAATCAAAAGGACGCTGGTGTGCTGGTAGTGAGGAGAGGTAGTTTACAACTTTGAGTACACGCTCTGGTTTGTTAGTCATAGCTTCACTAAAATCACGCAGATTGATGAAAATGTTGGCTTCTTTTGAAAGGTTTTCACGAACCCATCGCATTCTTTGTGAGAAAAGTTTGTTAATTGCTTCAACATTAAATACTTTGGAGTCGATACTGGGATAAAACAAATCAGCTTCAATAATCGGATTTCGTATACTCAATTCTTTCATCTTCTTCAGGCCAATTGGAATGGTCTCGGTGTCAGGGATTCTGGTTCGACTATCAACAGATTCGATAAACTCAGTAAAGGCGTAGAATGTGCTGAAATCTTCTCCTTTCTCGGCAAGTTGACGAATAAATGTATCTCCAACACGGGTCATATGGGAAAACGATGTGACAATGAAATGTTTGAAGCCAACTTTCTTTATCTAAAATCATCCAAGAAATTGCTATTGTTTAATAAAATATGTTTGGTAATGTTTTTTTTAATGGTAAAACCCATTAAATAGTATCAAAAGAAAGGAACTGGCCATAGGATAATTAACGTACGGTATAATTTGCCTGGAGCGAATTATTAAAACGATGGGAGGTATGCCAGGTAACTATATAGGGAGATATCCTGTCGGTGATACATAATACTAAATGGTCGATGATACTTAGGTCAAAATTTAACGAGATTACCAAATTATAGGTCCTATAAAGAACAGAGATCCAGACATCATGAGTTAACCAGATTATTAAAAAAATTCACAACAATGATCGGCAAAGAAAACGTATTGTAAGAAATGTAACTAGAAGTTATTTTTGTGTCCTCAAATTTTCCCCAAATGTAATAATAATAAAATAATAATTATTAAGCGGTCTAGCTAGGGCCCTGGTGGGGCTAAATAGCGTTATTTTCTGACATTTTTCCAAATATTTCTCTAGCGTTTGTGATGCATATCATTATACCTCTTCATAAATTTTCCATTTATTCTCAATGGTATGACCTCTGAGTTGTCCAACGGTACTCTCTCTTAAGGAGTTGTCAAGAACAAACACTTCTTTTTCACGAAGAATTTTCTGCCTCCGCTCCGCAATCTTCTCGTTCTTTTTCAGTTTTCTTAGCCTCCCACAGAGAAACATCCCGAATTGTTCTAAAGTTTGAAAAAGTTCTCTTAATTTATATAAATCTACAGTGAGCTGGCAACTGAAGGTGAACTCAAAATACAGATCAGGGGCCGGTTGAACGAAGGCTTGATAGCGATATATACTGGATAGTGATGTTTTCAAGCTTCCTAAAAGTTGCGCTCCGCAAATGTCTTCTCGTTCTTTTTCAATCTCTTCAGCTTTCCTTGGAGAAACATCTTGGTATCTTCTGAAGTTTGAGAAATTTCTCTTGATATTAATGGAACGTGAACAGGTAGAAGGCAACCTAATAGAGCCATAGTTACGGATAAATTAATGAGAATGGATATAATCTCAGCCCTGTTTCAGACGTCGAACAGTTTCATGCGCCGAACCTAATGTTAATGAGCTAAATTTAATTCGGAACATGAAAAGTTCGAAGAGCCTCATAGAACCATAAATACGGATACATTAATTCGTTATTATTACTAAATGGGTATATGACAAGCGTCAAACTTTCTTTTCGTCATGAAATATGGATTTCACGTAGAAGACTTCACTAGATTTTATGAACTTAAAACTTCATTAATGACAAATTGCCAGAAACCAAACTGTATAAAGAAATTAAGAAACCGATAGCCCGTTTAATTATAACAGCCAGATTCTGCTGTATTTTTGAGAACGCGTATACGTACAAAAGAAATCGGTCGGGCAGAACAAATATATGAATACGCATCACCCCCTCCTAATTATCGCATAAATTGATTTGGACGAAATCGAAACAAGTCGAGGCTGCTTTCCACTGTCGCGTTTCTTGCACGTACGTACACGCACGTAAAAGTTTAAAATCATTTAAATCGGATACTTATAAAACCAGAGGAAAGAAAAAATCACATTCCACACTTGTTCGTTCCGTATGATCGTCATTGACTGTGACGTTTTCATGCAATGTTCTGTGTTGATATTGTTTAGGGGCCGGTTGCATAAAAAGATTAACTTTTAACTATAGATAGTGGCATAATTGGTCAATCAGAATAATGTATTTTCTTGTTAACTACTTTCTTAAAAAAATGGCAGATTTCTTCCTCTGGATGAGTTTGAGTTCAGACGGCATGAGCAGTCAGAGCAAATGTTCAAAAACGTTTTAAGCTTTAAGCTACATAGGCTGAATTTCAGCCCAATTGTCATGTAATCGTAAACAAATTTAAACCAGGACCAAAGATTGCTTTTTCGTTTGTTTATATTATTTCTATATGTGCAAGTTGCAGTCTGCATGAAAGGTCAGTATCGCCGTTCGGTATTTTGTAAAGCGCTCAAAGAATACGAGCTACGACAAACTCACTGCCGAGTCAAAAATATCCCTTCCCCTTCCCTGTAATCATGATCAACCGTAATAAACCATTCCTAAAGTATACCAATAAATTTAGACTCATAGAAATTGAACGCCAGATGGTGAGCCGTGAGCCTGCATCACATAACAAAAGTCGAAAGATAAATTTGGCTATATAAAAAATGCCTGTCTATAGACTCTACACAGCAGGCAAACTGACTGAAATAATATTCCTGTAAGATTGCATGGTGACATCAAATAAGTAAAATAGTTTGTAGGTACACCACGTAAGTACTGTAAAGCTTTCTGCTTTCGGTCCGTTAAAGATGAAGATGGTTCATTGATGAACGCCCCGAAAGCTTTGTGGTCAGTGTACCTACAAACTAATTTACTGGTAACAAGTAGAATTAAATTAATATTTCATAGTAAACGACTGTACATTAAAATATCATACCTCAGTGAGCTTGGTTCAATTATTGCCTGGATGATAGATAACCTTAAGTGTTGTTGACTTGTTGTTTCGCTACTTGCGTATCTGCGTGTGTCCACGTATAGAATTCCTTTCTCAGCTCATTATGCCAAACAAAATGAATGCTTTGAATGCCTTAACCGCTAAGTAGTAATCACTATGCTTTGCATTAATCATGCATTCAAATTTCAACAGAAGCTTCATTTCAATAGGGGGCACTTTTGTATACACCCGTAAAATATACAACCCTATTTTATTATACACCCTGTATTTATATTTATATTATAATATAACATCATTATATTATATTGTATATATTATATTGTAGTAATTATAATATAGGTCAGTGGCTGGTATCAAGCGACCATCAGTTCACTGGCCACCATCAGGGATGGTAGCTGCATATTTGAGCATACGTATTTGCATATTTACCATCTCAGCCACCTAACTGGATATTATGGATCATGGTCTTGTGCGCATGACGGCATGAGCAAAAATTGTCATTCCAAGATGGCGAACAAAACAAAGCGTTCTCGTCTAGATATAAATAATACTCATGATTTTTTGTTAGATGAAAGGGAAAGAGAGGTAGAATTCAACTTCGTGTCGGTTTTTATCAATTAGAATTTAAATTAAATTTATTTACTTTGCTCTCGTACTTAAATTTTTAATACCAATTTCTTCATTTTCTTGGAGTTTTATACGATTGCTTTATATATTAAATTATTTAAATCGCTGAATCACACTTTTTACATTTTGCTGGAAGGTAAGATACCCAGCAAAGTGCTTTATTGCTGTATACCTCACAACAATGATTAATGAAATATTATAACTGCTCAAATACCAATACATGACAACAGTATTGTGTAGTTAAGTGTGTGAGGTGTGATAAATATACCAGGCCAGGATGCATACTAATACAGATGTTGGTCTACCATAGTAGATATTTTATCTGTTTAGCAGTGAGGAGGCAATATCACACTAGTTGAGAGAGAGGGTCAGCTGAAGTTTGCCTATTTTCCATTCACCAGAATTTCACACTTTTATTAATGACAAATACTTTATTAATGAGAAAATAAACCATACCCTCAAATAACTTGAAGACATAACCGAAAGGTATTGTCTCTGGTTATTTTGGAGTTTGCAAATATTGAAAAAACAGGGGAAAAATTTTGAAACAAAATGGTACCTGCCAGTACTTGAACTTAGACATTCCACATGAGGGACAAACTGCTTGACCACTTGACTTGATGCTTGACTCACATCTGCATCACTGAAAAACCCACTATTTTAACATTGTATATGTATGGAGATTTGCAAAAAGATAGGTTACCATGGGAGCATCCTCCTCTCTTACAGCATGGTTTCTTAGTGCATCTCTAATTTCCATTAGCAGAACTTCAGGCTGATGTATATAGATTATTTCAAGCCTTTGCTATCCCCTGCAAAGAATGCTGATGTTCATTTTGGTGGTTTTAGCCATACTACCTCAAAGATTTAGAGAGAACATCACATTTTGAGCAGTTGAAACAAAGCTGTGACTAAATCACATGGAGTAAAGTCGCATAAAGTAGTAGCATAGCCTCAATGCCCCCATTTTTTCTACACCGCTTTTTATTTTTCCTACAATACTGTTTACACACTCATGTTTTAGGTTTTATCATATTTGACAAAATATTCAAGCACTGTTTTTGCTTGTGATACATCACCTGACACACGATACATCAAATGTGATTTTCCTTGTTGTTCTGAACATTCAGGAAATCAGGAAGGTAACTCAATACAAGGTGTTTTGTTTTACAAAGGAATTCATCTCGCAATAAAGATGTTTATTGCGAGATGTCGCGTCAAAGTTTGTCTTATATAAGTTCGCAAAGCATAGAATATAGGACGTTGGATCCAGACCATGCATTCATTGGCATACTATGTTTATTTTCTTATACGGTTGCAAACTCTTGGTTGTTTCCAAAGAAAAGAGTCTCCCTTACGTTAATCTGTTCTGATCAACACGGATGATACGTACTTATGATGACCAGAATTTTACTACAAAATACCGCAATATAACACTTTTAATTTTCATAATCGTCTTTTTTTAACATGCACACAACCCTTGTCTTCTACGATAGTCTCCAATAGACTCCGATATATTAAATGATTTGAATTATTTATTTTATTTATTGAATTATTCTGAATTTATTCATTTTGCTTAACCGCTAAAGGTAAACCAGCGTGGACATTGAACACGTTAAGAAACGTAAAGACACTGGAAAAACATGTTGCTATAGAGGTTGCTAAATTTATGAAAGAAAATCATATTCATTCCTTCGATCAAAATATTCACATGGAAAACAGTCGTGAAACTATAACATCTCGCTCTCTTCGTCCACAAACGAAAAAGGTGAATGTTATAAATGATTTTAAAAATGGTATAACATATTACCATAACAGAGCCTACATGTAGAATAGACCATCGTGAAAATGCATATAGAGAATATTTGACGTTTTAAACGTTGGACGAAAGAATGGATTGGATCCCGATGGAGGTTAATTTTGTTTGATATTTCATTTTCCCGTAATTTTTTTGGTTGTAGGTCCTTGCCGTCTTTAATCTTGCAGATTCTCAATCGCTATTTGGTGAATGGATTGCATTATACTTAAAGGCTGCTGAGCTGTCACTTGGTACGAAAATATATATTATGACGAATTATTATTTGTAAGCTTTAAATCCTTTAATAAAACTCGGCCGCCGAGTTCTACTTATATTTTCCTATTATAACCTTGTTTAAATTATTAGATCGTGAATGTTGTGATTTCGAGATTATAACTCAGTCTTTCACAAGTCGCTACGAGCTCATGTCTTGTATTACCAAACTGGAGTTCATTAAAAATTATCCCTGTGGTATGTAGCCCCGTAAGTAAGTACAGTACCAAATGTAGTGAGATAAAAGTTGTGTCCTGTTCTTTGAGATAAGTATAGTGCGCTCCATGACTCTCGTAGGTTGTATATTGGTGGTGCATGTATTACCCATTAGTACTTTCGAATGAATTTAATCTGTAGTTTTTTACTTGTTTAGTTGACGTTTTTGCTGTTTTGAGTTGCCATTCAAGCTCACAAGGGCAGGTTCGTGTTTAATTGTCTTTTAATCGTTCAATGACCAAAATATCATTGGTTAGATTTGATGAAAATTAAGTCTAACCATTTTATGCTCTCACTCAAGAATTAACCTACCAGCACCATGTATGCAAGTTTTGTTATTCGTAAAGGTCATGGGGTGTGGCTGAGATTCTTCTCAATTTTTTCAGGTGTTTTCATGTACGCCATCTGTCATGTCAAGATGTTTTAAGTATGAAGAGTTTTGTTCTCTTCATGATTTTATTCAAGTCCTTCAAGACGTTTTAGGCCAGTCATTGTCTGCTGTTCACATTTCGTCGTGTTTCACCCTTAAACTGGATTGTTCACATCAGGTACATAATGTTGTCAGTGCAGCTTTCTAACGATGTCAGTGCTTGAGCATTTCACTTCCTCGTATAGCTACGCTATAGCTTGGACATACCTTTCGTAACTTCAAAGTCTAATATTAATTGACTGGTTTATTTCGACAACGCGATCTGACTTGGAGTTTTTAGTATTTCCTGATTTTAACTTTTGAAGTTCATTGATGTTCTTTCGTTTTTTTTTAAAGTTTGGTCTGAAATTATTGAATTCAAATCTGGTTGTTATGTAACGGGGTATTCGTCGAGGCAGTCACAGTACAATGTGTTTTGACTTCTCTAGGACTGGCCAGTTGATGTTGAATGGTTAAAGGAAAAGCTTCATTGTACGTTATCTGGTAGTAGTAAAGAAGTGTATGAAACTGGTTCTCAAGTAGCAGATCTTTATATATCATTGTCAACATTGATTAATCCACTCAAGTTTAATGAATCTTTGGGTGTTATGCTAAGTAATGTCATTCATGTCGCAAAAATTGAAGAATTTCCTGACTTAGCCCAGGAAATGGGTTTAGAAATCCTATCTCCTGAAGATGTTGGAAGAAAGGCTTTGACCCCAAGCACGGATGAGGAGGTAAAATAAGTCATGGAAACACATACGCTTTATCAAAATTATTCAAATTAATCACAGTAATCAGCCCAAACTATTGTTAGGGTGATCAAATTACGATTAAAGATTATTTTATTGTTTGCTACACAGGTGTCTGCCCCTAGTCAAGTAAACTCGTCAGTACATGTGGTTATTTTAGTTGGGAATGACTCGAATGATGAACAGTCAAAAGAAACGCATCATGCTCTGGCTAATGCTCTAATTGCAAATCTTACAATGAGACAAATGTCTGATATCAAGTGTAAATACAGTTTGCTACCTTTACATCCTACTTGGAAAGAAAATCTTCACTCATTTATTCACTCGGTCTTGGAATTGGAACAGAAGATACTTTTTGTCGCGTTGGGTTCTTGCTGGGTTCATCTTAATTTGTTGCATTTGATACGAAAGGAAATATGTTCACTGAATGGACCTAATTGTTGTTACGGGATTCATTTTCAGAAAATAACATCTATGCAAGCGTATTTTCTAAAAACTCAACTAAATGATATAAACTCGTGTTCCAGAGAGGCTATTTCCCCTTCAAATGAGAAACGTCACATTGTCGCAACTGCTTTAGTTAAAGATGAAAAATCGAATCCAGTCGAAGCATTCCCGGTTTTACTGTATATAATTCATCTTGCTATTGGAGAGAACGGAGAACGAATATCAGGCAAAGGTCTTGTGCCAGGTTGGTGTATATATGTCATGCAGTAGTCAATCCCTTTATTGGTCGACTCTTACGTAAGGGAGTGCCAATGTCGTTTTTTGAGCTAGTATCAAATTATATTCCCTGCCTCTTCTTTCCCCTTTAAGTGGCAATGTTTCCAAGTTGGTCATTTTTGTATGTCGTCACTTCTCGTATTCCTGATTCCTTGACCGGTTGTTTATTGGCAGTGTATTTAGCTGATGTATAAGATTAATCTCTCTAAAAAGCAAACACACTTCCATTTTTTCCAGCTCATCTGAAATACAGACAATATAAAGGCCCTGGAATTTCAGAATGGACACTAGAAGATGTTTATATGGAGACGTGCTATGTCTTGTCGGGTTTATCTCGTAAAGCAGGTTTGTGCTTGCTGTCGATACCGAAGTTAACTGTGTCACATATTAAGGAAATATGTAATGACAAAACAGCCTCATTTAAAAACGATGAGAAACAACAGGTGATACCGGCAAAAGAGGACGGTGTTAGTGATCTCTTACCAAATTCCCAGGAGAATCTCGATATGGTTTCCGACTTTAAAACCTCCTTTTCAAAACCGACAAATTTTGAACAAGAAAAACACGACATTCATACCTTTTTGTCAAAATTCGGATCAGGCAATGATATGGCGGCAAACATTAGCAACGTTGAAACATATAAAAGTGACGCACACGTTGCCACGACTTCGTGTGAAGCATTGTCTGGACATAAAAGTCCTTCACCTAAGAATGTTGAAAATCCCAGTGAAGATAATTGTACGGATCCTTGTTCACCTTCTTCAATAAATGATTGTGAAAGTTCAACGTTTAATCATTGTGATGGTGAAGCACTTCCTGGTACATTACAGAATAAAGTAGATTCAGATGAAGACGAGTATATATGTGTGACAGACGATGAACCGGATGGAGCCTTTTCTGACAGTAAGTGGGACACAAGTAATGATTTACCTTTGATGGCAAATGTTGATGAAGTATTGGTCACGCATTATGTGTTAAATCTGAGTGTCAATTTTAACGCCAAAGTTATGACTGGGGACATCACGTTATTTCTGAAGCCTGCTGCTGAGGTAGTTTTGGAAAGACAATTTCAGTTATGTTTGGATTGTTCATTGGTTGATATTGAATCAGTGGAGGAAATTGATTTGAAGGATGACTTTAGTGTCCGATACTATGGAGCTACTAAGGATTGTAATGAAGGTCCATCATATTCACCTGATGTCTTTCAAGTTGAGAAACATAAGAAAGACCCAGTTGCTCTACCATACACCTTCCTGCCTTATGCTGTACGAAACTGGTGTGTTAGGATTTGGAAACCATACAAGCTAGGTAGAACATGGCCACGTTGTGTGAAAATAAAGTACTCTACAAGACCTGAAGGAAAATCGTTGACCTGGACAACGAATCAAGACAGAAGGTAGTACATATCACATAACCAACATTCTTGTCTTTCTGTACATGCAACGTGTAGAACTCGATCTACAGCAAGTAATACATGCAGTATTCGAAGTTAATTATTCCTATTTCAAATCGTATTTCAAAGCTCTCGCATCTGTTAAGTGTTATTCTCGTTAAAGACATTATAATTCCTTGATTTTAATATAGACCTTGTGTGTTTTCCCCTGGTGCTTATATCAACAATCGTTCCCTAATGCCGTGTCAAGAACCTCCAGTAGCGATGTCCACCTGGCAGGCCGCCATTCATGCCCCTAGAGGATGCACAGTATTGATGAGCGGTAATGAACTGAGGGTGCAGAACTCAGACGATGGAGATTATGGTATGTAGACTGAACATTTAAATAATAATAATTATATACCTAGAGCCCGTTTTTAATTATTATATAGAAAAACTATCTGATCACGTCAATTATACAAGAAAAAAGTGACAAGAAAAATGGATGTTAACCAAATGCCTTTTTTTTCTTCAGTATCATTTTTGTACGAGATGAATATACCATTGCCATGTTCAACGTTAGCTCTTGCTATTGGTTGGTTTGAATGTCGTCAAACAACAACGGTTGCCCTGTCATCCATTATACCGTGTCGTGTCTTTAGTGCAGAAAGTACTATTGATGACGTATCTGAAGAGTTATTACCTCGATGTAAGAAGTATGTTTCCGCTGCTTGTGAACTACTTGGATCCTATCCTTTTACCAGAATGGATTTGGTAATATTACCAAGATGTTTTGCTTGTATGGGATTAATGAGGTCGGTATATATGTTGTGGTTAACATTATCCTTCAATATCAACTTTAATATGAATATACTTTGGTATAGTATTGGAAATAATTGTCATTCATGATCTTTTTTCTTAGTCCAAATATGGCTTTTCTTTCTCAATCTATCTTGGCACGTGATGGAACCATGTGCACGCGTGTTGCTCATGAAATATCACATACATGGTTTGGATTATTAATTGGAGCAAAGGACTGGTCCGAAGAATGGTTGAGTGAAGGTTTTGCAACTTATATGGAAGAAAGAATACTTTGTAAAGTAGAAGGTGTAAGTAGATTAATAATAGTGTGTTTAAGTCTTCTAGCGAGTCAAGACATTCCTAATCTTTATCTTTCAAACTCGAGCTCAATCATAATAGTTTCCCACATATTTTATTTCCTAGGGTGGTGTATGTAATGTCTAAGAAATGACCGTTGTTTTTACGTACAGTATAACTGTTTGATTTACAGTAATTTGTTTTTGATTAGTGGACAGGTGACGAAGAATTGTTTTATGTAGAGTTATGTCAAATTCTAAAACACAGGACATTGCTTGCTGAATTTCAACATGCCGATGAAAACATGCAACGTCTTAGGTACAGAATATTATACAGAATAATATCTTATTATCGCAAAGGAAGGTGCAAAGGATTTTTCTGCAGTAAGTGACAAGTTTTCTTTTCACTTATAGACCAAAGTTGCCGAGTGTCGTCACAGGTTAGCACATTCTTTTTCAACATACGTCAGTAGAACATGTAATTAAAATAAATAAAAAGCATTTTCATTGGCTGAAAACGCACGCAGCGAGCTTGTGAGTGGGTCATTACGATGAGTGAAAAAGAGCCTTTAGAAATATCAGGGAGTCCACGCTTTGTATAATCATAAGCAGCCACGTAGCTGCGTGAAGGCAAAAGATGGAAGAGGTTGTACAAAATCCGAAAATTTAATCTGGCATTGATGACATACATGTTTTGTAAAATATCTATCGTTAAATTGATATATGTTTAGCCGCTGAAGCTGTTCGCCAGAGTATGGAGAAAGAGAAATGCCCTGAAAAGAAAAGTGCAGATGATATTGTTCCTCACACCACCGTCACTAATGGTCAAGTATGTTCAAAGAAATGGACACAAATATATTATCTCAAGGTAGGTTTTACGCCATTATTTGCTGAAATCTGTAGGACGATTGTCTTATATAAGCTTTTGGCTAGGATAAGGATTGTTTCTGCATTGTATACACTTTAGTCTGTGAATACTATAACATTATGACACGTAATTTTGCCGGCCGGGATATTGTAAAAGCTGAAGGCTCGAATCCCTTTTTCACGTGCTTAAAGAAGGCATACACTATATATCCAAAATTTCTTTCCTTCCTCAGGGATATTTTCTACTTCATCACATGTCATCTTTGGTGGGTGTGGCGAACTTTGATAATTTTCTGAAAGAATACGTCTTAAAATATGCTGGACAACTTGTTAATTCAGAGGTATGGCTGTATCAGTGCATGTGGCTATTACAATAAATTCTAAGTATATATACGTAAACCAGTGTAGGTCATGAATAATTTGAATTTGTTATTTTTGTTTGTTTATTGTTTTTAGGAGTTTTTTGATTATTTCGAAAGAAGGTTTACTTCTTTGAGGTACTGTGCATTGTCATGCCAACATAAACAGTTTTACTAAATTTTCATGATATGTCCTAAATTAGGAAAGTGGTGATCTTTAATAGTAACACATTTATTTTAGGGAAGAGAATATAAAAGATCAGTTAATCAAAGAATGGTTAGACCGGCATGGCTTACCGAAGGTTAGTGAAGTTTTATTGTCTCCCAATAACCATCAATCGTTATGAACAATTAAATGTAGTTGTCACTTAAAAGGTTGTCATCTTTTTAAGCATGTCCCAAAGAAAATTGGCAGTCCTGGTAATTATCTTATTAACGAAGTAGAAAGTGAGGTAATCTGGTTTGCAATTCATATTTTAGCCAATCAGCGTTCAGAAGGGTTGTCGAAAGGTTTTGTAAAATACTGGAAGGGCGATGTTAGCTCACGTGTTTATATAGAATACAGCGTGCATATCAGGATTCCTCGTATATTTATTAGTTCTCCTTCTGGAAGAAAACAGATGCTGCTAATAAGAGAAGAAAAACACAGCATATCAGAACTAAAAAGCCTATAAAAGATCATCCTAAAGTGGTTTGTAATATGTTCGTTGAATGATTTTTGAAGTTTCCAAACAGTTATAATAAAACCAGAAAGGTTTGCTGTGTACAGGGCTTGGAACTGGCGATGTAGTTTATTTGTAACATAGAGGTCAGTAACATTTGGTCAGCAATCAATATCAAACGGTTAGCACCGTCACACGATGCAATTTTTTATTAGGGCTAGGGCTTTATATGCATATACATGATTATACTATTGTCTACTATACAAGTTGTTTATTTGTTTCTAATCTAGTTTTTCTTCTTAGAACGGCCAGACTCAATTGGTTGTTTTGCTGGAGAGATTGCTAGAACGTGATGCCATGGCAATTGCTACTCTTACCCAACTGGATAACTGCTATCATTTTGCTGATAAAAATGCTGAGGTTAGTTTTTCTCTCTGTACATGCATGCATTGTCCAGAAAAGATGCCCTTTTACGATCGGTTTAGCAAAGGAAAGAACAATGCGTATTGGTGGTCAATGAACTTTACTCAATGACAGCATAAGCATTCCTACACGAGATAAATGCAAGTTATAATGCATGTACTTCAGTACTAAAAAAATCAATATTCCAAGACAAAGGGGAACATCGTTATGATGGCGAAACTTTAGTAAAGTATGCCTCTTTCTTCTCTGCAATAATCATGCTGTGGTGCTTCCTAGGTTCGACATCGATGGTGTGAACTGGTTGTTAAACACAGGTATATGGCCCTTCAACAATATTCAGCCGGTTTAGCAATTTTACCGAGAGATATTACTAATTATAGTTATTATAATATTTCACATAGTTATTACCCTGGTTATCCTCAAGTTAAAAAATTTCTGATTGAAGATCAAGTAAGTACTTAAGAATGAGAAAACTCACTCATAAAGCATATATATACGGAATCCTGCTAATATCACTTGGAGCATTATTTTCAAAAACTGAATACGATTACCGAAAACTAAGGCCTATGGCAGCATAGCTCACAATAGGCAAGCCTGACCTCAGACATATACATTTCTTATCAACATATCTGCGACATAAAATGTGGTATAATAAGCTGTTAGAAATTAGGTCACCCCCTTATGCATATATATAAAATATCTGACGTTTTCTTAGGGAATGGGGATTTACCTCTTTGGTGAACTACTTATATCACAGCAACCGAAACAGAAACAGTTGGTTTTGGATGTTCTCTCTATCATTGATGGCGAGATGGATCAATGCACGTTGAAGACGGTTCAAGATATGTTGGAAGGAAGAGACTGACGAACATACGTCTCGTCTTCCATTAAACAAAGTCATTAGATTATTTATTAAATATTTTTATTTGATTCGAATGCAATTCTGTTGAAATTTCCTTCCATAGACGTTTTTATATGCACTTAGTAAATTTTTCTATTCCGCTTTTGGTATTACTGATATTCAAGACGCAGATTATTTTTGTCCTTGCATGTGTAAAAGCACGTGATGTTTCCCCCAACCATATGGTGAAAGTAACAACGTATATATCCTATAACTCTATAGCTATGCTAAATTTTCAAGAATTCGTAGCCAAAATTTAAAAATAGCGAGATATCGATGTTAAAAAAAGTAAGCCGGTTACGGTAATGTTTACCCACCTCGCTAGGTGCATGGTTAACTTTTTTCCACATGTCGACATTACGCTGTTTTTCCAGTTGCCCTCTGCGTTGTCCGTGCGCACGGCAACCATGGTTGCACTAAACAGTGGCGTGGCAAGCCTGACGGTTTTCAGGCAAACTATATGTAAACTATAAGTTATTACATTATTTATTCCTCTAGAGATAAATACGCTCAGTGAAATACCCTTGTTGATGTAATATAGAATGCACTCCAAAAGGAAGATGATCTTCGCTGAATTGATGTCACATATGATATTTATATATTTGTTGGATTGAAAAGTAATAAATTGTTAAAATAAATTACAGCTAGTCTCGTGTCATTGTCTATGGTAACTAATCCTGAAAGTAGAGCACCCCCTTAATATACTCCCCACTGGTAACGTCACTCGAACATGCATGCATGCGTAAGAAAATATTAATAGTTTTAGGATGGTATTAGATAGTCAATGGTTTGTTATTCGACATTCAAAAATGACTCGAGTAAAATTTAAGGAAATTTTAATTTAAGCTACGAAATTAGGTTTAACGTCAATAAAAATGCAAAACAGTTGCATTGTAACCAGTGGTATAGAAATGAGATAATAAATGGTCGAGTATTTAAGGCGAGAATACATTAAAAAAAAACAAATCGGTGTTGGCTTTCTATCATATCTCATGGTATATAGCGGTGACGGTCATGGTCTCGCAGTTATGAGTTAGATTTTATGACCACCAGGGCAACTTGCACCTACAACTTAGTAGAATTGTTTTTACTTCTCCTCTTTTGGATATAAGCTGTGCTTCGTTGTTCTTCGAAGTTGGTGATTTGCCAATGAGATGATCGGTTAAAACAAAACTTTTTTAGATTTTAGGCTTCTTACGCGCTTGTAAGAAATATTTCGATACAGGATGCACAGTTTTAAAGAGCGAAATGACATGCTTCAGTATGTTCACTTTTTTTTAAGTTAAAGTAAGATTACATCGTTCTAATGCATATATGGAGATTTACAAATGCTCTAAAGTTTGCAGCAGGTTTGTCCTTGCCGATTCTGAAAATTTTACTGTACAGTTTGGTCTGAAAAAGAGTGACGACACATAGTTAAAATTTGCCCCATGATGCAGATGTGAAGGAAAGTGCTTTTCATATTACGTGAAGCAGAATCGAAGCGAATTTCGTATCGTCAATTTTAGGTAAAACTGTTTTATTTAGTGGATTATCGTTTCATTGAAATCTGGCATACTTACTTCGATAAGAAAGCGGTAAAGAAGAAAGCAAGATCCTTAGGAAAATACTCCTGTCTGGCAGCTTGATTCAGTGCTTGCAACGCTCCTGTTATATCATTACTTGCTGGCTCTAACTTATCTTCACTCTGTATAAACAGAAAATTAGAAAAGTTTACTTTTTGCTGGTCATAACGAAAAAACGCAGTTCTTATTTTCAATTTCTTACGCAATAATAGATTAATGCATAATCTATAATAATATTCACATTCGTTTTCAAAAAACCCTCACTTTTGATAACGAGTTGCTGAAATCCAACCATGCAACTGTGCTCTTAGAGATCACTTTGATAACCAAGCAAAGTAACAAACCTTTAGCAGACCCATGTGGATCAGTAAGCTGTTAATCACAGTTTCAGGTTTACCAGATTTGAGAAATGCTTCTTGGAGAATGACATCTGTAAATATGAATATAATACAAAGGGTCTTTATTGGAAAAATACACACTGTTGAAAGCTATAGGTTTTGAGAACAAATATTTACGCCATTCGCCATCTTCGATATACGTATATTGTTTGACGATGATATCGTTTGATATTTCCTCTTACAAATGCTATAGGCCAGATTTAATCCGGCCATCTTAAATTTAATTTATTTTAATGTTGATTTGAATCCATCATATAATAAACATATTTCACAACAGATGCATGTACATACAGTCACTGAGACAGACACACTGATCTACCTGTGCATGGGATGAAATCATCTGAATTATGAAGAACACATGACGCCTGGAAAATGAAAAACATTTTGTTTAGAGCTAATTGCGCGTAAAAATTGATATTGTTGCCGGTTGATGAAAATATGCAGAACTCAATGAGGCGGTTGCTATCAGGTTGCTTTTTCGACAAATGAAAGCAACTTGACAACAACAACATTCGTGAGGTGCAGCACAATACTCCAATAGTGTTCATGCAGTCCAGTTTTCATCAACCCGTAGTTCTAAAGGCCAAACCTAAGACAAATATTGTCAATTCCCATATTTTTTTCTTTTCCTTTCATGAAAAACGGAGAAAATAGTTAAAACAAAATACCTGAACAAATAACTTGCAAATAACACTTGTATCAGCGATTTTAGTCTGGAAGATAAAAATTTCATTCCCATCACGTGAATTGGAAAAAAATAAAAACAAAATGAACTAAAATAATGCAAAATTTACCTGCAAAGCTTCTTTTATAAGTTCGATTCTGTCAAATTCCGGCAATTTTTTAAAATTTTCTAGCGATGGATGCCCCAAAAATTCTTTAGCAGTTTTGAGATGATTGTCCTACAAAAACATTTCTTTACTAGGTAGAAAAATTAAAACCATGATCCTTAGATAAACAAATATAATCTCAATCAAGCTAGAACACCGCTTTGCTCTTTTAAATTTATACACGAGCAATAAACCTCTCTCTCATAATGACGTCAAATGCGGAAAGCCTGATAACCATTCTCAATGCTGACAATACACAAATTTCATTGGTTCGTTAGCTTTGTATAGCCATTCAGAATTTGTGTGACATCAGGCTTTTCACGTTTGACGTCATTATGAGAAGGGTCCATTGTTCTTCAACCAAATAATTAACTCAAAGAATATAGACTACCTGTTTCTTCCTATCCCATTTCAAGATATCGTTACTCGCATCAAAAGTCAAATTAAAACAATAATTTATTGTGTTTTAAAGGTTCATATATATTGTAGTCTGAACAATTGTTTCAGGCTACATGAGAAAAAGGCACATATATTTGTACGGTACGGACAATTTTGATTGAAGTATTGTATAATTTTATTAACCATAAATAGATCCGTTATAAAAAATGTTAAAATAATACGGAATAAAAAATTCTAAAAGCATCATGTAGATGCATGTATTGGGGCCAAAAGCCGATATATTAAATAATTAATAATTATGGCGAGCGTCTAGCAGACTAACTCGGAGTGTCGTATACAACCGAGGTAAATTGCTAACTTCATTCAAGTCTGCAATTGAATGTTTGAGATATTTTCTTTGCGCATCAGTACACAATGAATCCACCTAATACCCTGAATACACCTGATAGTATCTTCATATTTTCATCAAACCTTATCTAATTCTTTATCATCAACTTCCTTCCTCGACATCTCCTGATTTTTCAACTTCATCGCTATCATCTTCGGATTCATCATCATCCTCTTCATCCTCTTCATCTTCTCTTTCATCCTCTTCATCCTCTTCATCCTCTTCACCTTCATCATCGCTCATGGAAGCAAGAACATTTTCGTGTTTAAGCTCATTTAACTTCCATTTTATTTCCTCAATACCGTCTTCGCCAAGACAGTTCCCTGGAAAGCATTTTAATAACGTTTAAGTAATTTTACAAAAATAGGAGTACAAGAATTCTTTATTTTCCAAACATCCTGTACAGCATTCATGTTTGTGACATTGCGCATGGACTGCCATGAACAGTAGGATTTATCTGCATGGTGCGCATAAGAAATTATGAATGACATACAATTAGATAATATAGGTCAGTGCATACAATCACATACAACACAACGTTGACTGCATAATTTTGAAAATTTTGAAATCATACTGCACGCGCGCGATAAGTCATATACATTATTGGTCGTACACACTGAGCTATGTAATAATTATATAGCTCAGTGGTCGTACATCAATTCTCGTGTAGATCACGTTACACAAAGTAGAAAATAGATACAAAGCATGAACACAACAAAGTATGCCTTAATATGTGAACGCCATCAGGCTCATAGCCTATTTTAACACTGCAACAGTGCAACGTAAGATAGTCCTTTACTAGTAGGATTTTAATTTTTACCATTTAGATCTAATTTCTCAAGGTGAAGTTTGTTTTCCATGGATTCCACAACTCGCATGGCTGCTTCTTTGTTGATCTCGCCAAATGCCAAAACAAGTTCCTGAAATAAAGAGTCAGTCTTCATGACGTATCAACGCTAGACAATTTTTCAGATTGATCCCATGCAGGGGGTTATAAAACTTTTATGTTTTATAGTTAAACCGTAGGTGCCTGTAAAACCGTAAAATACGACTGGCCCCTGCATGGTGGCTGGAGGAACTCAGGATATAGATTTGGCATATACTTGTTAATGACATACTGTATCTAATACGATATACCGTAGCCCTTATAAATTTCCACTCAAAAAAAAACATGAAATGCCGTCCATCAATACGTGCACCATTTAGAGGAATTATAACCATCATGGTGATTGTAAGTAGCAGTTTTTTAAATATGCTCAACTCAAAATTTGTTCTTTCTATATGGGCTTTCTATGCCTATACTTCTATGCCTATGGGCTTTGTATGCCTATGCCTAGGGCCGACTGTTTGACGAAAGTTTAAACCAAAGTTTAAATAACTATAATTATATACTCTCATACATCTTCTGAACTACTGTACATACATCTTATGCTTTAAATGTCTACTTCCATTGAAACTTAAACCATTTACATCGAAATATTTCACCTCATTTGTTCAATAAATTATTTTGTTTCCTATGTTGAACGTATCCATCGTTTTTAAAGCTAAACGCCTTTGGAACACTCGGTCCCTGGTTTTTTTGATCATTGGAATGACTTTGGTTTGGTAAAAGGTATTTTATTTGACAAATGCATCATTACCTTTAATTTAGGGACACTGTTTTCTAAAGCCTCTGCAATTGCTATTGCACCCTTTGACTTCACTAAACAATCGCCGAAGTTGATAACTTCTAAATCTGGAAGACTTGGAAGAATCTAAAGAGACAATGTCTTTTACATGAAACAGTCAAATGACGTTTTAAATATGAAGTATTTTAACACTTAAAACATTACATCTTACCTTTGACATTGCAATTGCAGCTTTTGAAGTAAAGGTATTATCGTTAAGATTCACGACCTAAAACGCAGGGTTGAAAATTCGTATTTATTTAACGTGGATACATATCGGCTCGACTTCCTATCGATTTAAATGCTAGAAAAATTAGAAACCGTTCCACCTACTGGAGTGTGACGAATTCAAACAACGCAGGTTACGGAAATCTCATCGTTACGCAAATTAACACAAAAATAAACGAGAACCAAACTTCCGGGGTGACACATTTATCTACTATATGTTCATCAGTTGCATGACAGTAATCAGTATAAACATATCAACAATGAATATTTGCATACAACTACACACCTTTAAGCCTTGGTTGCTCTTAAAAGACCCAGCTAAAGCAGCCACACCAGCGTGGTTAATACCATTTTGCGGCATGGATATTTCTTCAAGGCTTCCTATTACCTACAAGAGCGTTAACAGCGCCAGTCTGGGGATGAGATCACCTAGTTTTCACTTGGTAACATTCAAGGACTCTTTACATATCAGTTCTCAGGCTTGCAATATGGTGGTGTTTAACATGATAGTGTTTTATTTATTCATCTACCTTGAAGGCTTTTGCTAGAGCAGTAGCTCCTTCATTTTCCAACCTGTTCCTTCCAGCAACAAACACTTTTAATTTTAGAGGACGATGATTGTCAACACTAGCTTTGTGGCATTCTAACAAGGCATCTGATAATATCTACACAAAAGAAATATTTCTGAACATTTGTAACACCCCTCAATTAAGTGGTCTAGCTACAGCTCTGATTGCCCCACAGACACTTCCTGGATTTATTTGATTTTTCTGTACAATACTATCCTGAACACACAGACAATACGTATTAATTGATAAACTAAATTATATAAATTAGACAAACCTGACCACCGCCTATTCCAAGACCATTATTGTTAAATTTTAAAACTTCCAATGAGAAACAAGATGGACTGGTCAAAAGTTTTTTGACAGATCTCACACCATCTGGACCAAACGCATTATCACATAAATCTAATTCAGTCAAATGTGCACCAGCTGCTATGACACCATCACCTAAACTTTCCTAAGATAAAATATCAAAGAATGGTATATTAGAAAAGCATGTTCTAATACATACATGTAATATATGTTACATCAAATCCATTCCAAGGTGCCAAGGGTGAATTACAAGGACTTGTAAGCAATCACATTATCCAGACTAGAACTCAAACTATACAAGTCCAAACAGCTAGTATGTTATGCTTTGTATAAAAATAACACATTTGTTTTTCTTACAATGGTATTGATGATGTTGAGAAATAGAAAAAGTGGGTAGATTATCCTATTTGAACACACTATGTAATAGTATACCTGCTTGTCACTAATTGTAAATTAAGCAATGTAGAATAACTTACCAATGCTATAGGTATTTCTGATCTCAAACGACCAGTAAACATATCATTCCAGAGAGCTCTCTGTAGAAGAATATGCATCATCACTATAATATTTCACTATAATATTTCACCTATTGTGAATTCCAACAGGATAACAAATGGCATTCTCAAATCTCTTGATTAAGGATCCACATAGAATATGACAATGAAACTAGTCCATGCTTTTCCAACATGGAACCAGTTAATAAAGGTTTGATTATATAATAGCATCATATATTATTAGAGAGGTTAAGATACCCCATTTTTGGTATATGGGTACAGGTAGCCATATTTTGTCCATTGGAATTTCTTGTTGTTTGCACATTTCAAGACATAAATAATGCTTACCTCGATCAAGAGGTTAAAGTCGACTAGAAAGGAATTGTCAAGTTAATCTTCGAAAAAAATGAGAAACACTGATGGAAATTCATTGAAAAAAATAAGGCTACCCGTACCTGTACACCGGAACCGGGGTATCTTAACCTCTCTACTAATCATCAGTATTCATATCAGTGAAAATATCTACCTGAAACTCTTGTCGTTTTGACAGAGCACTACCAATGGCCTTGGCAGCCTCAATACCCAAAGTATGTCCTTCAAGAGTAAAAGCTTGAACATCTTTACTTTCCTCAATTGCTTTTATAACTTCAATAACTACAAACAAACATTTATAATTAACTTTGCACTATTTCCAATCCATTACTACCTTCTACAGTAGGTCACATATGCATGACTGACAGCTCAAAAATGGCCAGCTCTAAATTAGCTGCATGAATCAGAAATTCTTATATGCGAGAACTCTAACCATGAGCAACTCTGATCATTCTAAGTCCATCAGACCTTACGTTTGCTTCATGATTTCCCCTCAAAATTAGTTCCTTATCCGTGCTCTGAACCAGTGAATGGCCAACAGATTAGTTGAATGGCCAACAGAGTAACGGCAGATTAGTTTTGACAATAATAAAATTAGTTTGACAAGGTTTCTCATATTTATATCAATGTGACCAGCAAAATATTGAAGGTACCTACCATCCTCAGCAGTGTTTAACTTCCGTCCCTTGTCAGGCAATCTGACAATATTGATCTGTTTAACTGATGTTTTCTCTAACAAACCAGTCACATCGTCAACCTCATTTCCCAATGCCATTTTTAAGAGAGTATATAGTTATAGTTTTTACTGTAAAGTTCAACACACATGCATCATAGTACTGCAAAATGCAAATTTCTAAAATTCAAAGATCTCCCACGTGAGAAAAGCTCTGTAGAACTGTAGACGAGTGAGAAGACATTTGAAAATAAATCAAAGTAAATGACTGTGCAATATGAAGTACTTAACTACTGTGCGCTAAACATCTGCTGATCGACGTTACAAACTGCGCATGGCCCACTGAGCTCTATACATACAGTCACAGAATATGCCATGCTTGCAGTGCCGTTTAATCAATCAATCAATCAATCAATCAATCAATCAATCGTTTAGCTTCAAAGTACATTCGTTTAGTTTTGATCGAGCACACAGAATATGCGTGCAATGTCGTTCAACTTTGATCAATTGGTGATTATTAAAAAAAATTAAAATTTTATTACATAAACGTATAGTAAGTAGACGATTCTTCAACATCTGATCCTGCGCCGATTCTTCAACATCTGATCCTGCGATGATCCCTCATCATTTAATTCAAAGTTTATTCAACTATATTCCGGTTTCGCCCACCGTACAAACGTGTTATTTAAAGATACAAAATACACATATATTAAAATTATTAATAGAGCAATACCAGTATTCACCTTCCCAATCTTTCGGCGCCGTAGTTCGTTTTAAAATGAATAAGCGAAAAAAACAAGTAAACAGCTCAATGAAAACATACCCAAGATATAGCATCTGTACTGTAATCTTCTGTTCTGGCTATTCAACATGGCGATGAATTAATTTGGAAAGCCAAAGTTCAAGCCAAAATCGATTCTTTCAGCCTACCATGTTTATGTACCTGAGCAAAGATTCTTCCAACTTTTCCCAATACTTCTTCGGGCAATCCTTTCTTTTTAAAAAACTACGAAGTGTGACTTTCGTCTCAAATTCAAGCACCTCTTATTACCTGGAAAACATTCCAACGGACAATGCATTTTATACATCGACGACGTACATGCAGTTAATAGTCTGTTTTAAATGTCGTGCCTCTCATGTGCCGAACAACATACACATAAACAACAATAGATAATGAGGTATCCATATTGATTACCTTTGAAATGGATTTGAGGTGTTGAAACGAGTAAATTACATGATTCCCCCTATATTAACTATGTTCTGTCACAGTTATGGAGTAAACGGCAAGACCACTCAGCAGGGCCGAAGTTAGAACGATACGATAATTGGGGAGGGAGTGGTTTTTCATATATTTAGTTCCCTAAGTGCAATAGCTTACAAAAGGAATCTTTGGGGCAGAACTGGATATATTTATGACACAGTAATAACCTCCCCCCTTAATTATCGTTCTAGTTATTCAGGTAAGAGTTTTTTTGTCTCACGCTTGACAGTACAATATTTGCCGCCAGTCGAATGCATTTTCCAGCAAATCAGAACATAGTTTCTGGCTAACGCGTACGGCAGCCAGTAACTGATTCAATATACAGCACCGGGTGGCATAGTGAAGTGGCCCTATACTGTTCTCTACCTATACTGTGATCTTGGTATAGTCGTGTTACTCTTGTAGTCGTCCTACAATAGCATGTAATTCTTTTGTTTCGAAATTGGAAGACTCAAAATCATCTTACACTTTGTTAAATCTCGGGTAACTGGGCTCATGTAAACAGCTGCTAATTGATAATGAAAATAATACTTAAAAATTAAAATTATCCTTCTCTTTTATTTACACGAATGAGGAATGTTGATTTATCAACATTAAAGTAAATATAATTATAACCTCTGTGAACATGCAATTTAACATTATTTGCCTTCGATTATTCCTTTTTAATTGGAGATTAATTTTTGTCAACATTTCTATACAAAAAAAAAGCTTTTAGTTGAAGGTAGAGAATATTAGATAGTTGCCGGAAAGGTTTATATAATGAGACGATATTTGAAGCATTTGGCACGCTGCTTTTCTATGAAATGTATTTTTTGGATCGCATGGATCCTGTCTTCATCAGTGATTTATTTTAAATGGCCTGACCGACCAACGCACCTGCCAATCTGTCAATATAGATAGATCGAAAACTAATCTCTGAAAACTGATCTGAAATCTACACTGAAAAACTGATCGCTTGGAAAATGTATTTGCATGTGGGACGCTGATTTAAGCAGTGTCGTTATACGTGGTTATATTATGCGCAAGGCCTGATTCTCAATAAGGGACTGGATAATTTTGTACGTTTTGGGACCGACTTGTATGTGATTGGAAAAGGCGTGTATTTTTGAGTGTTAGCTTGTAGCGCCAAAAATTTTGAAGTAGAATATAATTGCAATTAGTTTCTCACAAACCAAATTAATTATTTTGGCACATTTTGGGCTCTTTTTAATTTAGAAAAACACATTCGCATTTTATAAGTGTGTACAAGGACACGCTATTTTAATGCCTGGAGAAAGTGTTTTTTCTATTCGACAATGAATATCAATTAAAACATCAATAAATTGAGTAAACGTAATTTATCTTATATACATTTACAGATGCAATGCGACGAACATAATGTCTCAAGAATTTCAGTAAAGGCTTATTTCCACTGTCGCGTTTTTTGCACGCACGTATACGCACGTAAAAGTTTAAAATCATTTAAATGATACTTATGAAATCAGCGATTGAATAGATGCATAGGGTTGGATACTCTTAATGATTTGGTGTTTTTTTATCTAGGATAAAATTAATCATACATACAACAGCTTAGAAGGTTTTAAGCTTTTACGTGCGTGTACGTGCGTGCAAAAACGCGACAATGGAAAGCATGCAGCCCTAAATCTCAAAATACATTTACATACGTTGTACGTAACATAACTAAAGACACCATACAATATAACCAAGGATGGCTTCGATTACCTTCTCAAATCTCAATTGAATCATATATAGAATAAACATAATTTATCTTATATACACTTCAACTCCTAGTGTTCAGATTAAAATATTATTGATATTTAAACAACTGTTAGATGAGACAAAATCATTTTCTTGTATACTCTTTATAAAATTGTTACCATGCATTGACCACACGATCATATAGCCATTTGCATCCTCTGCGTGCACACGGCCCTTGGAAAGAGGTGACCATTGCTCAAAAACAAGTCTTAAAGATTTTAAGGTACGAAAATTTAGAATTCAGTTTATTCATCAAATTGTCCGCCTTTTACACATGGATATATTATACTATGGTCAGCGTTAGACGAATATTTAAAAAGAGCTTGTAGCTGGTTATACCATGCATCAGAAACCAGAGGCGGGATTCGGGTCTTATCGGTTGTTTTACCCGACAAGTAAACCGTGAAGTAATGGCACCTTTTCGCGCTTTTAACCGACCAAAAAGATTTTCAGTAGAACAATAGCGAAGGAATTCGGGAGAAGTAAAATTTAAAAAACTTTAAGATCTCCATATTGGCCTGAGTGAAGATCATTTTCAATTAAAAACCAATTAAATCATGAGTGAGGCAGGTTATACCAATTTCCCCTATGCTCTCGCCTAGCACTGTTACGCTTAGAAAGACAGTGGGTGATAGGGGATCTTTCATAATTTTCATGCTGCACGCGTATTTGAATTTTTAGTACTTTATTCTGTAGAATGAATTTAATCAGCGGATATTTCATGCTGTTTCTTCTGGCGTTCGTCCTCACAGAGCGTAAGTATAATCACGAGCAACACTATATGGTTTATATAAAGTCCAACGTTATAATTATTTTTTATTTTTTAAGCAACATTTTCAGCATCTGTTCACACGATCCAATTTTGTCGGATCCAATTTTGTCGCATCCAATTCACTTTTGAAAGTGAAAATGATATAATTTAATCAGGGTGGCACATTTTATATTCTGCGTTCCGTTGTGAATCACAATATCACATAATAATTTGAGTCAATTAATACAATATTTTTAGTTGTTTCATGCGAGGATGATTACCATACAATTCTCGGGAAAGCCATTTACATTCCAGAAGAAGATCTCCTAGGTTCCATTCCAAATGGATTGACCTTTTTTAGGGATATTGAAGAGCATTGCCAACGAAAGCTCAAAATAGCGACGACAGCTAAAGATCAGACGTATTATAGAAATACCGAAGATTTTTACAAAAGCATTGCGACTGAGACAAATCTTAAAGCTGGTTACGAAGGCCCCTTCTCGTTGGGACTTACGCTTGATATTACTTCTAAATCGATCAGCGGTACATCACGTGAAGTCAGTGGAACATCAATTAACCTTGCAACTAAAGCTTTTGTCCAACAATTCTCACCCAATTGCCTGTATACAGCCTCCCTTGGATCTTCTGTGGTGCGAGACTTTGCAGCTTTACCTACACAAATTAAAAATCCCTGGCACAAGTCTTCTTGGCGCGAGTATCATCATTTCTTAGAAAGACATGGCTCTCATGTCATCACTTCTGTCACATTCGGCTCCAGTATTGACCAGTATGCATTCGCTGAAACAAAGTCCTCCTTTTCATCGAAACAATTTACCGTGAAAGCGTGTGCCTCCCTTGGTGCAGGTGTTGGCCCTGGTAAATTGTCTCTGTCAGCATGCTCTGGTGTCACCAAAGCAGTAAAAAAATTGTCCAATTCCCAAATGAGTACATCAGTGGTAGTGCGTGGTGGGTCAGTCAACTTACGAAACAGACTTCTATATGACCGTTCTAGTGATCTTATCATCCAATTTCTAACCGAAGGTCATACTCACCCAACCCCTATAGCCTATACTCTCACGCCAATCTGGGAAATTCTGCGTCGTCACCATACGCTGACTTCGGAGAACAAGAATACCTACGTTCAAGCAGTTAACCTTGAGTATTACTTCGATGGTTACTTGAACTTTGGTTGTCCATATCAACCAAGCAAGCGCCCTGGCACACCACCAATACAGAAGTTCGACTACGCCTCCCACTCAACATCCTCTAACCCAGTCTTCCAATGTTCTCTCGCATCCCAAGGTTGCCATCACGACAATGATTGTCGCTATCAAATTGGCGTAAAATGTGAGTGCAGAGGTTCATCTTGCATCCGTCACGGGCAGACCAAATTACCCAATGGCAAGAGCCGAGCAACAGCCTCGCCACATTACCAAAGGAGATGGTCTTGGAACGGATGCGACTGGAAATTGTGGGGATCACGATGTGCCTGCCGCCATCCTAATCCAACACGACGTATTATTTTTTGATTGCGAACTAAGGACTTGGTCGTTTTAGTTTAAACTACTTGCTTAATTAATAAACGTTCTTAACTTTAACTTCTTTCACATTCAGTGTCATTACAATCAATTCGACCGATAATGGTGTATTTCTTTTCTGTTACTATAGTTGTCAATAAATGACTATAGTTGTCAATAAATGACAAAGGTACTATTTAATTGTTTTCCATTTTTCTTGAGCTGAAATTATATTTTGAAGAGTTAGTTTTTCATTTTCCTTGAAGAGATATTGTTTACTGTTCATGAAAAATAGCTTGCATGACGCTTGACGGAATTACTTAAGAGTTAAGTGAAGAACATGCACCATATATTATAGTCAAACATTCTGCTGTGCTGCGTATTAAATTAAGAATATTAATGGTCAAATTCTTGTATACAAAATATATACATCTAGAATGTATTTTTACATATTCATTTCCCTAGGCCTAGCAAAACCCCGATCGCATTAAAAAAAGTCACATGCATGCATTAAAGTATTGAGAAATCATTGCGCGTCTTCTCAGTTATTTAATGTTATTCATAAATCGTATCAACGCCTTTTAAAATTTAACTTGCATGGGCGGTTCTTCAAAATATGACATCTTATAATACAACGAATTAGACAATTTTTCCAGGAATTTTCTGGTTAGTTTGATTGGCTTGATTTATACTAGAGACGGATCATCCGTCTGGACGAACTTGAGCAAGCGAAAAATAGTTCGCCTTCTAGTTCGTCTGTGTATAAACACGGGCAAACAGGGATCATCCGTTAACACGAATTATCTGCGAGTATAAATACGGCATGTGAACGAACTACAGAAAAACCGATACTTCGTAACACACATTCAGCGGATTTCGCCAAAAAAATCCAATATGACATAGTTCGTCTAGATAGTTCGCCTTGTGTTTATACTTAGACAGATGATACATCTGCAGATGATACATGGCTAGTATAAATCGGGCCATTAATAAACTGTTAAATAAAACCCACGTTAAGAGGCTGACAAGCTGCAAGAGTGTTAAAATGCATTATTGCATGGTTGTTATATTGTCAATACGCATCATAAAAAAATTAAATATAATTTCTATGGACAACTATATATACAACCCAGGTGACTAAGATTAGTTTCTACAATAATTTTCCCTGTGTTTCCCTACAAATAAACTACCTTTGCGATAATATGGGCATTGAGCCTTTCGATTTGGACGATTGAATTGAGTTTGTTTCATAATTTCCGTCCTCGCTATGGTGTTTCTTCCCTCGAGACCACCACTTCTTTTTAAATCCTGTGTTTTTACTCTCTGAACTGGAGAATGAATGACTCTTGGATTTGTCATTCCAAAATGACCCATTTTCACCGGAATTCTTTTTTGTAATTTTAACTAATTGTTCCCCCTCAGTAAGAACATCAGTGATGTCTTGTTGACTGAGAGAATACTCGGAATCAATGTTTCGTTCAAATTCACTCCCGCTGCAATCATCTACACCGTCAACAGATTCAGTGTACCTGCCATTTACATCATCTCCGTTACATTCCAATTCTTCGGTAGTAGGCCGCTCACTCGTTCTCCCACTCGGATCAGAGGAATGTCTTTCATATGACTTTCCCAACGTTTGGTAAGGAGAGGGATTCTCTTCCGCAGTTAAAAGTGAGGGATATGTGTATACTCGATGATACGAAAGGGATTCGCGAGAGGTAGTGCCAGCTGATCCTAATCCAGCAGCCGACTTGACAGACTGCCCTAGTCGTGATGCATTGACGGGTGAGTCAGTCGACTCATTGCATAAAAACGACGTACAAACACCAAGTTCAAGACGACAAGATGTTTCTATTTGTTGCCAACGATATTGAAGTTCTTCTAAGTCACTTGTTACTTCTGCCAACGACGTTCTACAGTACACAAAAACATTACTCAATACTGAAATCGATGTACGAAAAAACGAGACAAACTATCCACCTGGGACCAAATTGACGACATAGCTTGTAGTTATATCATTATCAAAGGGTTTTATTAAGGGTTTTATTATTATTGTTTTAACTAAGTTCCACATCACCACGCCCTCTACGCGTTGTAAAATCACATTGTTGTTTTTCAATAAAGTCCGGCCAACACATATTCGGGAATTGTTGGGTGAACGAAAATATCGTCACATTCTTCGGTTTGGGAATTTTAAATAACTCACCGAGCTGCAAGTATTCTTTGATCAACATCATCAATATTTTGATCATGAGCAAGACGCAATGCACCAAACATTGAACCACGTTTACGCTTCAATCTGTAACACTAAAATGAAAAACTAGTTGTCATTTTTGTTAATTGGGCCTGTTTGAAACGTACTTCTGATGTACGGAATACCGAAGAAGACCTTTATGCATCTGTTCGGAAAAAGGTGGGAGGTTTTCATTTCAAATACAAAACGATAGGAAGTGGCAAATATGCAAACCATTCGTCAAGACAAACAATTTTTTATACCGGCTTCAGTCAGTAAGATTATTTTACTTTATACAGTCACTGCATGTATACGCCATGGGTCCGCAAAATTGGTCTGCAACGTAATACTAGTCCTTTGAAAAAAAGGCTTTGTTCAGCGACTGGTTCAGGCTTACAATTTTTAAAAATGCAATTATAGCTATAAACAACAAAAAAACTATTATACTTCGAAACATTGCAAGTTCAAATTGAAAACTCGGAGTAGAAATGGAAAAAAATGATGACAACACAACGTATAGAAAATGACGATGCAAGACGTAAGTATAACATACAGCATCTTTGGCTTCTTCCATCTTCTTCATTGCAACGTTACGTCGATACTGGAAATTTTTCACTTCTTTTTGATATGTGATTCGAAGCCATTTCTGTAGAGAGGAACTCATTTCCGAAGACAAATACTCAACTTCTTTTTCTGCTTTCTGCAGTGCCTCTCTTACCTAAATAGTAATTATACATACTTCTAATTATTCCACAAATTTCGAGGACCATATTTACTTCAAAATCAATACGGAAATATTTATGGTTCGGACTTGTTATTGCATGTTGTGTACTTATATTATACCATTGTCGACTTCAACAAGAGAAAACTTATTTATATACAACGTAAAATGTTTACTGCCTGTAAACATAAGCACGCCTTAGCCTTACAATAGGCCTAGTTTTTTGGCTAATGCCTGTAGAGTACACGCGTAACTATCGTTAGAACAGGTGGTCTGGACTTCTCAAAAGTGCAGAAACAAATGACGTAGACATGCAATACCTGAACCAATTCTTGTTCAGCCAATTTAAGTCGAGTGTGAATTTCTTCCGAGTGGTCTTCTCGTGCCTCTCGAAGACGCTGTGCTTCACGCTATAGAAAAGAAACAACTAAGAATTATTGTGGTATACGGGAATAACGCGGGATAACTGCATGCATGCATGTGAGGGAGATGTAAGCATGCATATGTTGGAGTGGGTCGGGGTAGCAATACAACCTTAGAAAGAGTGTATTGTATTGTATTAATTTTAATCACACAACATTCCCCCAGAAATCAACCCTTCAGAAACAACTCCATGCATATCATAGCTATACAAATATATGTATAAAACTTTAATTAAAACAGAAAAAGGGATGCAGCTATCAGGGCCGTAAACTAGAACGATAATTGGGGAGGGGGGGTTGTTTATTCATATATTCAGTTCTGCCCGACGGATTTCCATTGTGAGCTATTGCATTTACAAAAGAAATCCGTCGGGCAGAACGGATTATATGAATAAACACCCCCCCCCCAATTATCGTTCTAGTTACGGCCCTGCCAGCTATATTCGGCTCTTCGTTATACCAAGTTATGGCTCTTGCCAAGTTAAATCGAGGAATATTTCGTAATATTTACTATAGTAAAATAATTATATATCAAATATAAGAGATAAGAAGTGTACCTTAGCCGCTTCAATTTCGTCTTTGAGATTACTTTCCAATTGAAACTTTTCTTGTTGAACTACTTGATGATTTGTCTCAGCTTCTTTAAGCCTTGTCAAGCAAATGTTTTAGGAGTATATTTAATCGTGCATGTATTAGAAATAAAATAACTTAAAAGAGTAAACTTGTTTTCAATTCCAACACACAATAACTATGCTATCGATTTATACCCATGCAGATAACCACAGTAATTTGAAAGCGTGGCTTAAGTGCATCGTTTGCATTTGTTAAGTTCTTGTTCTGTGGTATATTTCGTCTTAAAATGTATACTGTACCTATTTTGAAGACTGGTTAGGTTTTTCTCTGCATCTTGCAAAAATTCTATATCTTTCGTCATGGATTCCATTTGCTTTTGAGCTTTACGTTTTTGTACATTGGAAAACCAGAATCCCATCATTGCAACAAGAACCATCAACCCCAATACGAAGTCTTTTAAATAGTTATGCCCTAAACATATTAATTCGGGGTAAAACAAATTTATAAACCATCTAATCTGTATAATTTTATCCTATATAGTTGAGTACAGAAATTAAACTAGTTTTTAGAATTGTGGTCAAATTATATCATTTACGTTGAAAGAAGGAAGATGAGATATTTTGTACATCGTTTAATAAACCTCACACTTATTTTCGGTTACGTTTCCAAAAAAAGACAGCTCAATATACAGCTATTAAAGGCATATAAAAAAGACTCAATAAATGACTGTCACTTAGCAAACACACAATACGTTTCTCGAGATATTCCTGTGCTATTTTTGTAAATGCCCAGAGTGGAAGGGGTGAAAAATCAGTATTAAGATACCAACAGCAAACCTCGTACTAGGGCTTGTACGCAGGCCGGTTTTGTGTTGCACATCTAAATGTGATATTGTCCGATAAATAGATCGAACTATAGCAAGAAATCATAATGCAAAAAGATGAGCTTACTTCTGGGAGCACCAAAGAGAACAACATCCATTGCTCTTAATGCAATCTTTTTTCTCTCAATTATATTTGTAATTTTCAAATCATTCAACAATATACCATCGACCGGCGAAGCCAACCTACACAAGACATATACTAGCTAGTTCAGTAAAATAGCTAGTGCCATAGGGAACATTCCTTAAATTATATAATGAACCCGTTTGACATGCGCTTAATTGTAGCTACAATGCCAATAATAACATACTATATATAGCTCATTGTAACTGCTCTAATAGCTCGAATGCAGAAATTATATTTGATGATATATCTATGTAAAGACCCTATATACAATGCAATATAGCTACCTTGGTAGATGATGTCCATTTATTTTGTTTTTCGTAAAGACTTCAACATGTTGGGGCAAATTAACATCATGTGTTAACCAGTTTGCAACATCATGAGGTGACCATTTACTGACTACGAAGAAAAAGCAGAATCTATAAACTCGCATAAGTTCTGTTCCAATGATGAACGTAGTTGAAAACAAGAGAACTGATTTACACCAACACGAATACGACGTGCATGGTGGTCTTTCATCTGGTGGTACAATATATATATTAAGCCTATTTCCCTAAATATGCATTTGACAAATACCTGGTTACCTAGCTTATTATATATATATATATATATATATATATATATATATATATATATATATATATATATATATATATATAGATCATGTATAATAGAAATTGATACCAGCTGACATATACACCAATGACATACACAAACGATCCGTTGCCTCATACAAGATCAACATATCAATATAGATATACAATAACTTTCACAGATTTACAAATATATACCTTCACTTTTTTGCCATGCTTTCCAGAGGTCATTAACACTAATCGAACCATCACCCGAATGAAACTTTGAATGACGTTTATGATCTTTCACTTTCAATTCATGTTTTAAAAACTAAAAAAAAAATTTAATAGATCAACTTGTTTGAAGGGCCTGAAGTCAATGATGTATTGGACACATCTTCGATTGATATAGGTGGTTTTATCAACCACCAATAGTTGAAAAAACATTTCATTGTCGCAGTTATTTCTCTTTTTGTAGCCTGAGCACAGTCTTTATTTCAAACGTAATAGACCTTATCGGTAATTATGTCACAACATTATCGTTATTGAGAACCACCTTAAATGAGATGGAATTCAAGTTTTACGCTCGCAGGCTATGTTCAAAGATGCAAACATTCCTCTTTAACACATGAACAAAAAATAATTTTTTATTTTGATCAATAAATTTGAAAAATGTGCTCAGCACAAATGGATCAGAATCACTGATGGAAGATGACCAAGGGGATCAGCCACAAACTAAAGGTATTTCAGAATAGATGCCTACGGAGAGTTTTGAACATGTTTTGGCCAAATAACATCTCAAATTCAGGAGGAGTCAGAGCTATACACGAAAGAACAAGCACCAAGCCGATCACCCTTGTAGTTAGACAAAGACGATGTAGGTGGATTGGACATGTCCTCTGCATGCCACCAATGTCCCTGCCAAGAATCGCTCTCGGCTGGACCCCTGACGGCCGAAGGAAGAGAGGCATTCTTTCCAAGTGTTTCCAGACCTTTTACATGTTATATTTATGATAAAAGTTGACTTGAATATTGTTTTTTGTATTATTCCTCTTTTTAATGAGGGATCGGTGAAATTTAGGTCGCTCCCTTGCACGTTGGAGTTAGGATCGGTGAGGCGCGCAAGGCAGTGTCAACGCACACAACGATGAGGATCTTTCAAACATCAAGTCAGTCCTACTGTATGGAGCAGAAATATGAGGAACAACGAACAGAATACCAACCACCTGTTGCAGCGTATACCAACCACCTGCCAGCCGACTAACATGAGATCTGGCATAGAACATTGGGTTGGATTGAGCACATGTTAAGAAAGCCTGCCAACAACACACTCTGCAGTCGCTCAAGTGGAACCTTTGAGGAAAATAGAAGAGAGGAAGACCAAATCCAGAAGACAGCAATGACAGTTGGACACAGCTCAGGCCAGAAGGCTCAAACAGGCTCAGGCTGTTGTAGATTGCCTGTGCTTTGAAAGGAGCAAAGAGTTTAAGAAGAAGAGATGTTAGAGTTGAAACATCTTGTAAATACGTCTCTCTCATAGTTTGAATTGCAATTTATCTACATCGATAAATAATTTATCATTTGAAAAGCATCTTTATTTATTTTAATAAATTGTATGAATTATTTATGCAATATTTCTAATTAGCTCTTTGCATGATAAGATCAATGTATGAAATTGTCATTTCCAAGTGTGACTGCATAATGTGTGATACAACTTTTTCATTATCAAAGACTTATTTTGTCGTTATCAACCCCATTCTTTGGCTTTGGTTGATAACAACAGACTTCAACTTGATAATTCTTCATATCATGTTCAACCTCATTCAATAATTGTTAATGATTTGATTCATGAGCATGATGGGCAATATGTGTATTAGGAGGGGCAAAAATATGATGAGATGTATATGAATTGGCAGTCAATCTGGCCCCAAATCCTATCAATCTGCTTGAATCATGATCAATTGTTGTACAACATCTTTGTTCAAAAAAATATAAAAATGAGACAATTAGGTGCTACAACCGTGGTGCTACTAAGATTATTGCCAGGACCTCAAAATATAACTTCCATATATAACAAAATACTTATAACTTGAGCATTTAATTCCCATAAATTTGAAATAATTGATACTCAAATTGCCACAACTCTTGCACTTACTGGGTTCACAGTTGAGAATAGTGTTTGAAGGCTGATTGTAAACATTGAAATTCTAATGTTTGTAACTATTTTTGTTAACTATTTGAGATTTGTTACGACTCGAAACTATTTAGCAATCTATATATTAAACAACCAGGCTATATTGATCAATGATTTAGACAATCTAGCTATCCACCTACCTCCTCAGATTCAGAAAAATCCACATCACCATCATTATCATCATCCAAATGGATGTGAAGCTTTTGAACAGCATCAAACTCAAGCTGAGTTTGCTCAGTGACTGTATCATCTAGTAATACGAAAAGAATGCACACTTCATACATCATTCAATCCTGTTCAAAAATAGCACATTATATAAAAACTTTAAATTTGATGGCAGAATGACCTGAACACCAATTTGCTATTATATACCCGGTACTTGATACAAAGGGCTGCCTCAAAAAAAACTGCATTAGTCCAACTCCTCAACCCCAACCTATTCCCACTAGGGGCTTCTTAGGGCCAATGACTATCTCTGCACTCACCATGGCCATGTCACAAACATGCCATTCAGTATTATCATCAAAATCAATCGCAAACAAGCGTTTTATTCAATGTGATTTAAATTTAGTATGTTTTATTAAGTGAAAGAATTCTAAACAATAAAAAGATCATAATAAATATCGCTAATAGATAGAATTGATCGTGCCCAAAAATTGTGAGTGAAATTTTGTGAAAACTATTTAAAATAATTCAATTTACCTATAAAAATAAACAAATGATATGGCAATATCGAATTATTATTAGCTAAAGCTAAATAATCCCATGGATATTATATATTGCTTTCATCACACAGGCTAATAAGTGCTGCGTGTTCAAGTAAGCTTAACCGCAAACTCTTCATGTCATTTCATCAATCCATACCAGACAAATGGGTACAACTGAAGATAAACGTCAAGGGGCAATACGTTATTATAAAACAAAACGATATAAATTATATCCCCCTGGTCAACTCCAGGCCAGCATCCGCACGACGCCTACCTTGGGGTTTAACATTGCTTGTAGCCTTCTCCCCTAATAATTCAAATACCACGTAACAACAACAAAGGAAAAGAACAGCACCAATACGAATACAGTTCATGTTTGCAACAAGCTGTAGGAAAATATGAATACGTTGCCATATGTTGCAGAAATTTGCCGCAATAATTCCAGCAGAGAAACTGAGAAACTTTGAATACTATTAAAATATTAAATTGTCGGAAAATTACGAGGCTCTCCGAACATCTTTACGAATGGAATGTAAGAAAGTTAGAATATTTTTCAATAGTTCTTGCAAATCTGTAACAAATAAAAACAAGGATATTAATCGCTTAGAAAGAAAATCTAATATTACTATCAGTCAATTTTATCGTTTATTGAACTCTTCATAAAATCGAAATTTCACAGTGGTCGACACTCTTCGTGATCTTTCTATCCATATGACGTCACACTTCCTGTGGCCAGAGTCTATGTGACACGTAACTAGGAAGAGAAGCAAGCCATATTGTTTGAGATATTTTTATTTTGTAAAGATCGGATTATGATGGGACCTACCGAGCCTTTAGGTTTGTATACTTCAACTTCTTATACTTTAGTAAATAGTAAATTAAATAATATTTTAAGAATAAATGTTCCGTATATACGTATATGTTTATATACAGTGTATGTTCTATTTTACTAGTCTATTCTATACTATCTAATTCTTCATTCGCTATTCGTCGTCGATACTAAAATTCTAATTTCTTACATAAAGGCTAATTTGCCACAAATGTTCCATGGAATGAGAAAAAATGTTTTAAAAACAGATTATTCACCGGTCGCCCGGGTTTAACAAGGATATTAACGATCTTTTCTCATAAAGATTTCAAAGTTGACGAGTAGATCAGTCAATATCCTTGTTTACAAGGAGATGTTTTCTTGTAATTTTCTCTCTATATGTAGAGCAAAGTTGAAGGCGAGAAATAGGGGTAAAGATGTATTTCAGTACACTTCGATAGTGAGACTTAGTTTTGTAAAAATTTATGTGTTTTATGCATTAATCGAAACATGAGAATACTGCGTTTCGTTGGGTAAATAATTAATGTGTATGATCGAAGACGTGTACGTTTCACCGACTGAAATTTAAATTTGTTTTTACTCTTAGCATCTGGCGTTATTGCTTACAATGGCGACTCAGAACGTGGATGGAATGACCCTCCAACTCTATCTTTCAATACCGTTACTGGCTCAAAGAAAGGACCAAAAATAGACCTAAGAAAACGGGTGTCACACCAAGAAGCATTAACAGGCCGTAAAATAATATCTCCACTAAGTCAAAACCCACCAAATATAATGTATAATCAAGGAAATAATGTGGCTAACGGTACGTAAGCGATATATCCAGTATGCCTTCAAGAAATATGTCGCAAATGACTGTATTATGCCATGTTTATATGTTTCATAGTTACCGTTTACTCAATACTTTCAATGGACGCCCACATGATGCTACTAAGTTGATAATAATTCGTCAGTGGAATAAAATATTTTCATCATATACACCATAATTATACACCATAGAATGCATGTTAGTTATTGCAACATTGACTCGGTTATTTGTACTAGAGAGTACAAACGGATAATGAGATTTTGAAAAATGACCATCTCCTGGGAAAAATCTGCATCAGTTTTGTAGGTGTTCATCAACAATTATTCATATTTGTCATTTTTGTGCATAAACATTTAGAAGATTAAGTAACATCAGCACTAAATAATCCTTACATTCCCTTATCATAGATGAAAAACAGACATTTTGGCAAATTGTAATTTAAACTAAATGTTTACCTGGATAATTGTGTCTGTTTAAGATCTATCAAATAGATGATTTGTCAATCAAGCTGATAAAAGAGAAACACTTTTCCAAGGCAATCTTTATTAGAAATTAAATTAGCAGTTATATACTGTTTTTTTCTATAAATAAAAAATTCACTTAGTAAGTTATTCATTTTTCTCTCTTGAATAAACAGGTTTATCAAATCTTACCCTCAACCACCAATTATCATCCCAACAGCCAACTGCACCACCATCAATATCACCATGTCATAGTAGACATTCTAGTGGTACATATACCCCACCATTATTACCTGATGCTAAAAGTTATGGTATGGTTCAAAGTCAATATCCCATTCAAGGCTACAATATGGTTCCAGGTCTTCCCACAACCCCACCAACAACTACAGCTCCACCCCAGATTTTTTCACCAGTGGAATCTAAGTTGGAATCAAATTCTGGTATCATCCACCCACTGGCACAAAAGTCTAGCACCACCCCACCCATACAACCCATACCAATGTCAGCAATACCACCAGTAACAACAATGCTACCAGCATCAAATCTTGGTAAACCACTATTCTCTCCCAGTAGCTTTAATATGGTACCAATTTCTAGTGCCTTAGATACAACTCATGTACGTGCAAACCCTGACATTTCACCAGAAACTTCACCAGTTGCTTCAAATGATGCAATGGTTTTGCAACAACCATTGATATTCACACCATCTCTGACTAGTGCAGACACTGCAGTACCACCACTCACAGGTACTGTAGTAAAAAGAAGTCCTGTACTTAATCGGGCATATCCAAATAGCAATGGGACAAAGATTTACACACCACCAATGACTGGAAGTGGTAGAAATTCTCCAGTGGTGTCTCCAGCTTTGGGCCCAATAAAGAATATATCACCAGTATCAACACCAATTTGTAGTCGTAGTGCACCTAGTAGTGCACCCAATACACCAAGAAGTTTAACCCCTGATGATGGATATCGTTCGGAAAGTATCAGTCGACATAACAGTGAAGATTTTGATAGTCAGGCAGGAATGAAAGCAACAGTTGAAGCTATAGAAGAAATCATCATCAAATGTAGTAATATTTTAAAGGTATATGTGTGGTACTTTTAATTGCTTGGTTTGAACAATTTTTCATCTGTTTTCTCAAAGTAACAAACAAATGATTTGATACTGTTAAACTCACTATACCAGCGTGAGGGTACATTGTAAACTTTACAGAACATGTTTGTTGACCTAATTAATTTAATGCACTTGTTTGTGATCACTAAGGAATAGAAATGGCTAAAGTGATTATTATCTTTTCAGGCTCGAGAAGTAGAAGATGTGAAAAGAAAGGTGGAGATAATGAAACAACAATGGAGTGAAGAAAAGTTGTCAGTGCCTGTTCAAATAACTATGAAAATGTTGACTGAAGGTAAGGTGTTAGGGAGGTAAATGTGTTGAGGTGAATACTTTGATAACAATTAGGAGAAAAGGGGAAGATCATAGAATGATTGCAGAACAACTGGATATCAAAATTAGAATGACCTATGTACACAGTTAATTACACCTTTTTGTTGTTTGTCAAGCTTTTAATGACTGATGAGCATTTCCTTTTTCATTTCAATTCTAGCACTGTTGTGTGGTGATACTGATACTTCACATAAGCTTCATGTCAAACTTATGGTAGATTATGTTGGCGAGGTAAGCATATTGCATGCATCAAAGAGTTAATTGTTGTTCATTGGAGTCTTTATTTTTGGCATGCATGTTTGTCTAAATGCTTTATGAAGGTTATCACAGGAGTTAATATCTCAACTAAGTTGCCATGAATTAATAAAATTATATCTTTGTTTAGGTTAAACAATGGATGGTTGCAATCAAAAGATTAATTTCAGCTGTGGGAAATATTAATACCACAATTTCATAGTGAATAAGATAGGTTATATCCCAACTACAGGGTGTGTATATACTATATATCATCCTGGGATTATTATTAATTATATATAGTAATATTTATTACCTATAGATTCAATTATATAATTATTGAAAGGCTAAGGAGTAAGGTGGAAATATTTTAACAAATTAGTAACATCCCCTATATCAATCGAGGTAAGCTATAATTAGAAATAGGTGGATGAATATATTCTGATGCGAAATGTAATAATGAAATTTGAATATCTATTGACGATAGATATTCTTCAAATTCAAAATCTAGGAATACTTGGTGCCAGATGTAGAGAACCTTGAACTAAACTGCCTATTTGTGCAGTTACATGACTAGATAAAATTATGACTGACAATTTAAACTAAGTACCCGGTATTTTTTTGGTACATATATAACTGCTTTTGCAGTTTGCACCCGTAAAAAATGACGAAAAACAACGGTTTGAAATTGCATTTTATAATGACTAGACGTATGTGTGTTCAAGACGCGATAGAGAAATTCTTTTTATACGTAAATGTTTAGTCTAATTTTTACTGAAATTTAATTTTGTATTGGCATGCTTCCAAAGAAAGTACTCGGTAAGCTTTTTGGCGATAGAAGAGGTTTCATAATGATATCTGACTTGTTTTAAACGTTGTGCTAAACAATCACTAAACTTACAATGTTAATGAAAAGCACGATGTTTAAAAGAGGCTTTGCTTTAGTGGGTGCTAATAAATGCTTCACATCGTCGGTGACGTACCACTGATGGCGATGAACTTGTGGCAAATCAGACTATATACTACCAACTACCACTTGCAACCCTTGTAAAAAAATCAGTTCTCTGGAGGAGACCGAGGAGTATTTAGCTTCTATGACTATTCTACATTACGTGTATATTCTGTGTGGATTTTAGTATTTTTAAACGACGCTTACATTTTGCATTATGAAAACTTAGGTGGTGGCAACAATAGGCCTGTATAGTATTACTGCAACTTCTTTTATATATACATATATAGTTATTAATAAATATATAATTATACTATATATTATAGAACATGTGAAATAGAATATTATTTACAATAATTATATTTTACTTACAATAATATAATTGTGTGCTATACACGTCTACCACGGTCTCGTGAAGATGTCAACATAACATATCACAAGATGTCAACCCAAGGCACCGCCATATCAACCAAGCGTTGGTATAAAAGACCCTGGGTACGAGGTTGCATATCAACATGTACCAAACACAAGCGATACCTACACCTCTTCACTTTGTTATGTAACTGCTTTTCGAAAAAAATGTAAAATACTCCAAAAATGCATGCAGGAAATGATTTGACGACTTGACTCGAGCTCAGTGGTCATGAATGCTTGCAATGGTTGTTTATTCCGTTGATGATTCTAGCTTCAAGACTTTGCGGAGGGGTCTGCATGGTTTTAACATGATCAACATACAGAGAAGTTACAAAATAGAAAGCTTAGATGCAATTCAATTTTTATTGCTACAAAATATGGAACACTATACACTATATTTAATGATATTCGAGTCGATCCATGCAGTTAAACGCTCTCGCTACAACATACAGGGAGAGATAAAACCCACGCGCCACGCTGAAAAGAGCGTATGGCCTATGCCTATTTGCGATAATCACTCTCAAAGATAACAAAATGCACACGGCAAAGGTATATTTTGTATTTTTGCTGGTATGCGCAATTTTCTTATCAGTTCCTAACAATAGAAAATCGAAACATCAACTTCACATAAATTGCATGCAGTTTGGCATGAAATTCGAGTTCGAAAACTAAAATTAACATCTTATTAATTTTGTAGAATGATGTAAATACATATACCACATAGCAAATATAAACTATAAAAATGTAATGAAGTATGATCCTAGATTATCGCTCCCTGCCGGTAAGCTATATAATAACCTGAACACAAATTCCTTTTCCACTCAATTTATAAAAACCTTTCTATTTCCTATTTATTTGATAAATTTCTGAGAGCGCAGAGATGTTTATTCCATTTTCAGACAACCATCTTGCTCATGATTGGTATAACTTGATCAAAACGCGGACGTTTTGTCGGATCTGTATTCCAGCAAATATTGATCATTTTTGCCATGTGAGGAGCAAATCCAGGAGGCATACTGGGACGCAGTCCTTCGAGAGCGATCTAAATAAAACAACATGATACACATAAGAATAAACTTCATGCCTATGCTAAGTTCTCAAAACCCAAAAACGTGCACTTAATTCACTAAATTCAGTCATATAAATATATAAAGATGCATAGATTCTCGTCCAACTGTTTGACTATATATATTCACAGCGCGGCTTCAAGTGATGCAAGAACGTGACGTATATGTAACTATCAATATCTTATATCTCATATTATCTCACTATATCAGAGTGAGATATCTAACCTTCATTCCAACCTCCATTGGTGGCATGTCAACGAATGGAACTTCCCTTGTTGACATTTCCCATAATAGAATTGCGAAGCTCCACATATCTGCCGAACGCTGGTCGACTTCTTCTGGATTTTTATTCAAAACTAAGAATAAATGAAACAATATTCATTTAAAAGACTTACATGAATAAGAAATTTTAATTCGTATCCACGCAAGTAAATTCGCTGCATCACTTAAATTCCGGATGCCATGAGACGTTTTCGTGCAGTTTTTTGGGTTGTTGAATGAAAATGTTGGAAGTCGTGCCAAGGAACATATACAATAAAATATACAGTATACTGTATAGAGTCATTTAACCCCACAACGTGTCCCTGATTTTTACGCTACTGACTGGCCGGACCTATGCACTTATGGCGGACGCGCCAGTTCAGCATGTTGAGTGGAAATATAAGCTTAAAAGGTTACGACATGAGTGGGTCAATTGGTATTATCTTTATACTGCATGCATGTGGTCGTGTTCTAAAACATTAATTGAAATCGACACATGCACCTAAACCGGAACGTGTAACCAGACTTTGAGTGGTACTATATATTTTGCAAAATTGTCCGTCTTGTTATAGATATGTTGGAATTACCTTCTGGGGCCATCCACTGAGGTTGAAAGACACGTTTAACATCTTGAAAAGAGTATCTATAGTCCGCCATTGAAATGCGTGCCGTTAAATCATCGTCAATCTAATGGGAATAAAAATCTACAAAGTGAGTCTCAAGAACTTTCTTTCAGAACAATATGGCACAAAAAGAATAGTCCTACTGTTAAGGGACAAATGTATGCGAACATATATCCATTTCAAAATTGCTGTGGAAGACTGGTATTCAGCGAAATTGACAGTACGTCACGTGGCTTTCTTAGGGAGAAATCTATACAATGTTGAATGTCCTCACCATAATATGCGAACTCTTGATGTACAATCGAGGTACAAAAGGATCGAGAGAATGCAAATATTGCATTCCTCTGGCAATGTCCATGGCAAATTTCAAAGCTTGTGCTGCATCCACCATAATTCCTGGAAAAATATCATCAACTTGTTAAGGGTTTCACATAAAACAAGATTGTCAAAGCTTGCATGGTGGCTACGTTGTTCGGCAACAACGTGACTCGTGAGCGTTTTTAGTCGTGCACAGTAATGATGTTTCAGCTTACCAGATCCTTCATGTAAAACATTGTAAAGTGACCCATAAGGCATGTACTGACTCAAAATAACTAAGGATCCTGATTCGTTCACAGCTCCCAACACGGGCAGGACATTCGGATGTGAAAATATTCTATAGCAAAAGAACACAGATTAATAATATTATACTGATGTCCAAGCAACAATTGCAATTTCAATTACGTCATACTTGGCAAAATACATGCATATACCTCAATTATACTGTGTATACTCTAATGTTAACTAAACAGAACAGGATGAATTACAGAACGTATAGCGCACATCTGGCAGTTTTCTACATAAGGTTTACCCATCTGTAACACCTTATTTTATCCTTAACCATTCAATAATTTAGGACAGGAATAACATCTTCTCGAAGAATATATGTTTCTATGCACCTTTGCTACTTTCTATTGGGACATTTTAGTTTTGCCCCTGTCATCAGAAGAACATTATGAATACAAACCTTAACTTCGGATATTCCTCAGCAAAATCTCTCGATTTTCTTTTGTTATATTTCGATACTTGTATTTTCTTGCAAACCACTGGAATGTTACTCCAAATACCTTTCCAGAGCTAAGCATATAACAATATATTTAATGAATCCAAAATGATATATGCATTTATAAAGTTCTTGGTGCATGACCACGTGTTCTTAAGAGTAAGGACATGGAGACACAAAAATGAGACTGGGGGAGTAAGAAATTGACGTTATATATATAGAAACGTCACCCTTCCCTAATAAATGAAGTTTTATTAGCCGTGTAGCCGATTTCGGTTTTTACGCGCCGCTTACATCTGAATCTCCTTTTGTTTCTAGTTTATCTTTAAAGGTCACTTCATCCGCTTCAATCCAAGAATTTCTTGACTGGATATCACGCAAATCACGACCTGAAATTGTTTCGCGGAATGAAAAACTTTAGTAATTTCTTATCGCAAAAGTGCCCGGCGTTAAAAGTCAGCTCATAATATAAATAACTTGAATAATGGGCTTATACAAAATGGAAACTGCACATTAATGATTTATGGATAGGTATAAGTATAATATAAAAGTATAGGATCATATCTATTACCACACATGCACTATCAATGACGTACTTACTTCTGTGGAAATGTTTGTTCGCTAAATAAAATGAGAAATATATGAGGAAAAAAGAACAGAAACGAAATAAAACTAGTGTAACTACGTTTATGGCAAATGAAGTTTAGTAAGTAGTTAATGCCAATAATGGTGCAATCAAATTTCGCGATGTTGGTGTATATTTGATTTATAACTACAAAGCTTACGTTTGTAAGGGATTTTTTTTAGATCCTGTCCACATTCTTTCGCCAATGCTAAAATTAAAAATAAACTGAAGATATAGGTGATGTACAGTATATCACAGTTTTTAAATAATAACGGAATGTTATGATATAAAATAACCACGCGTACTTTTCACCAACAATATTGAAAAATGAATTAAATACTATGCCGAAAATGTACCTTTAAAGATATTTTGGTATTTAACTTTTGTTCGGTCTATTGGAGTTTCTTCCAGTTTGTTACATTGTGAAACATTAGCTCCTTTCTTAATGAGTTCCTAAAAAAAACGATTGGGACGATGAGGGAATCAGAAAATAACACAACAGTCAACAAGTCCCGACCTTATTACAGTTTTAAATAGTTGCATTTATTTACGCGGCAAGAATTCACTTTTCAAAAATGAATAGAAAATTTTATTAGCGCATTTTTTACTCGTCTGCACAAGTTTTAAAAATTCCTTTCAGATCCAAGCATTGAGGATTTGAAAAAACTAAACGCGCCGCGTCGCCAAATTGCATTCGGTATGGTGGCCAATTCTAGGTAAAGCGCTATGCAATAAAAGGCTCATTTCGCATCACAAGATTTGGTTATCCAGCTTGTTGAGGAAAAAAAATCAAAATTATTTAAAAATTCGCTAGATCACGAGCTCTAGTCGAGATGGGAATTTATCATCATATCACCTGGGATTGTTTTAGTAAAAACTACTATAGAAAAACAATGTGTTGACTATTTATGTTTCAAAACTCGTTAAAATCGTAACGAAGGACGATTTAATTCCGCCCAAAGGCAAAGTGTTTTCTAAGGCCGGGTAACCTGTTACTAGAGTTTATTAAAGCATGGAAGTTCAACATCTTCGCACGAATTTTTGGGATTTGAACATTTGAAAAATACTCCTAGCGCGTCGCATTGCGGTTATATTTGTATTTCTCCAACAACATCTTTATTATATTAAAGAGAAAAAGTCACAGCAAATATAACTTCAACAAATTGTGTGTGCCATTTGAGAAAATAGGCGTGCCTTTTTTCAAACTCCCCAACCCTCCCAAATCCCAACTCTTTGAAATCATGTAACTATATAATCTATAGTACAAAAATGGATGTTTTCTTGAGCCCAATAGGCAATATTCAACAAGAAAAAAACCCATGTGCACCCTAAATAACTGCCTGTCAAACAGTTCACAATCTACAGACACACAATCTACAAGTTGCGAAAATCACTCCAAATCACTCTAGCCAACAGGTTCAGCCTATTGTAAAACATGTCCCAAGACCCCCCACCAAAAAAATACAAGTTTATATAGGTGTTATTTGTGTGAAATTAATAATTTGCCAAAAATACTTACCCGGCAAATCTCCTCGTAACTCCAAAAGCAGGCATAATGAAGAGGTGTATTACCATGTTCATTTGCAATATTCACAAATGCATTTAGGTTTAACAACTAAAATAATAAATGTTCTAATTATGACAGGTAGTGAGTGTTACAATAATTTGTATTAGTGAAGGAAAGCTAATTTTGCGAACAATAATTTACAAAGAATAGAATATACATCTGATTTCATATAAATAACATAACAGATGGCAAGCAAATAATATTTTTACCACAATAAATTCTAAGCATTGATAGTTTGTGGAGTATAAAGGTCATAATAATAGAGGGATAGAATAAAGGTATACAGGTTTACAAGGCTGGTACAGTATACTACTACAGGGGTAGTCAAAACTCAAAAGGATAAGTGATGTGCAATTAATTGGTGTTAACGACAATACAGATAAGAGTTTTAGGAAGAGATACTCATTACTCAAACAGTGTATCAAAGCTAAACAGTGAATCAAAGCTACGCTAGAACATTCGGCTCAAAATGTTATTTTCCTAATTGCTACATAGTTGAAAAGACTGCCAAGTCCAAATGTTGTAACTTATCTAAAGATATAAATGTAAAGAAGCAAGTTTACTGGTGATTCTTAAACAATAAGGTATATACTACAGATTAAGATACGGCTATTTACACGAATCGTGATGATTATGAATATTAAAAACAGGTAATTGGGAAATGAGAACTCGTACTGTTCATTTAGAACGAACCTTTGTAATAACTGCCTTCTGTCCTTTTTTCACCGCGCAGTGTAATGGGGTGTCTCCTCCGTTGTTTAGATTATTGATCCTCGCTCCTCGAGCGACGAGAATGTCAAATATTGCTACCCATCCTTCTCTTGACGCCCAGTGGAGTGGTGTAAAACCGTGATCATCACTAGAAATGTCAAACCAAAATAGAACATTTTAGACGGTCGCATATTCATATTGTTCGAATATATCTGTGAACTTAGTTTTTCTATGACATATAAATATGTATGTAAAATACACAACAGAATGCTATGACTAACAGACGGTTGTACATACAATCCAAAGAATACAGACCCTTGGTTGAGATCATTCGTGGTTTCTTCGAGCCATTGCTTTACAAAACGTAGGTTTCCTTCACGGCAGGCCGAATAAATATCTTCCATTTTAAATGTTGATGTCTTACAATTTAGCTATTATCTTCTAAGTTTAAACTTTCAGAGTTTTGAGAAACCACAAATTGTAAATAACAGACATTTTAGGCGGCTACCACAGTCACTCGAACGGTATGAAGGATTTTATATCAACAACAGGATATGACAAATATGTCACCAATCACACAGTTGCAATGTGCGAATTATATTGCGGGGAAAAAATAAGAGGACTGGGAACCAAGTCATGTTAGTCATAAATCATGTCTCATTTCACTTTTGTCATTTTCAAACATTTGAATGACTTTATTGGGCGACGAAAGGCTATTAATACGAGTAAATAAGGGGAAAAATAAAATTTTCCAAAAGAGGGAAGGCAAATCATTGTAATCACACATTTGGGAGGGCCATACATGGTGGCTCATCAAACAGTGGGGTGATAGATTAAAAGATGGACAATTTGTACTAATTCTCCTAAATCAAGAATACTAAGCATAATAGCCAAGAATAATAAGCAACAATACTATATCAAAACTAACCTCAGAGATATGAAGTATTAAATTCAGAATCTGGCACTGCAGAGACAAGAAGGAAAAATATTTGTTGTCTTGAGCAGGACTTGAATTTGCATCTTCAAGATTATAAATTTTATTGACAGATTATGGATTTAAAATAACAGTACAGTTCTTAACATTGAGAAAGTTAACAATAAATAACATGTTTTCTGCCTTTCCATTCAAAATAGAATCTGTTAGTATATTTCTCTGGCACATGCTGATGTTTTGATATTTTAGGTGGTGGCACCAATTTCTTTCTAATATCTTCAATGTTCTCCCCTCGTCCTTTCATTTCAAGAACTGTTAACATTTGCTTCTTCAAATCAATAGCAGCTTTAGAAACCAAGCTCCTATTTGAAGTTTTTAAGATATAGTTATCAAATCCTCCAGCTCTATCTATTGCTCTCATGGCTGAAGTTGTCATCTCATATTTTACTTTTTCTTCCAGTATTTCACTGTAATATGTCTTGCGTTGAACATTTGGTTTCCATACTTTCTTCGTCTTCTTCTCTGAAAATGTTGGTTTATTTCCAAACATTAGACCTTTTCCATTGTAAATACCTTTATGAGCTCGGGGAGGAATAACTTTACCGTATAAAATACAACGAAAATTTAAGAACACCATTGCAAGTCAAATGAAATCTTATTCTCAGTAAACTAGGGCGTACATCACGTACCGAATATAACATCATTCCTCCGCTGATTTTTTTGACCGAAACACAAACAGTGGAAACAAACGCCAATAGAAAACAGTAATTTGATCATGTGACTGTTAAAGTCGTTGTCTGGTAATTTCAAATAGTTTTTATTTTGCAGCTAGGCTTGATGTATAAATTTTCAAATACGTTCTCAACGTTTTTACCAATCATCACTGTTTGAAGATTCAAACGTTAAATGGATGTTGAAGAGTAAGTGTGTCTAACTATTCTGTACAGCGTACTTTCGGTATTTGAAAACATTGGGCGTATTGTTTGGCCATTGGGGCGATTGGGCCATAGTCTATAAACTGTTCTATCCGTCTATGAACACTGTAAATAGTTGTGGGCATAACCTAAATAGCCATCCTTGTAGCCAATTTCCTATGCACTAAAGCAGAAGAGCAGGTTTACTTGTAATAATTAGGTAATTGTTTTAAAATATATATTTCCTGGGAGAACTAATCAGAACATTTCGTGAGTGCATTCCTTGTATAATTTCAGTATTCTTCACCAAAGCTAGGATTTAGCTAGTCGTTCATAATTATGGTTTTAAAAAACAATAAAACTGTTTAGTAAATTTGTGTATTTGGTACATAGTTTACTGTTTACAGCGCATGTAATAAGGCAATGTTTAAAGGGGATTTTAAAAGATTTTTAAACGACTTGAATTGTATCTGCTTATAATATTTCTTTCCTTTGGTCTCAATATAACATGTGATGACAACCTATGTGGTCTGAAAATAGGATGCACGTCTATCTTTCTTTCCAATGCTGTCATATCATTTTTTCATATATATTCTTACATAGGGTAATGGACATGGATATACAGGATCTTAATGGAACAAAAATTGTTCAAGATGGTTTGGTGGTTATGGTTGCAGAGTTCATGCAGACTTTCGAAACAATGTGGGGGGAAATGGGGATCAGTGCATCAGTTCATAAAAACAGACTGGATGTTATTTTACAATATGTCCGAAGTTTGTTTGTGGATATGATAAATGATGAAAAAGAGTTTATGTTGGAATTAAAATCAAGTATTGAAACCTATGAAAGAGAATTGCTTGATCTAGCAAAGGAACTTGGTGAAGTCCCTTACCAGGTATAGTAAAGCAAAGTCACTTTAATATTTTGTATTTAGAGTAATATTAATAGCATATTACAGTGACCTTCAAGCCAAGCTCTTTATTTTTTAGCCTGAAGGAGATATAAAACTTGTTGAACTTGAGAAAACATTGCGAACAAAATTGAATGATTGGAACACGGTATGATAATGGAAACAGCTTTTAATACCTCTCTATTTGGGATCCTCTATTAATAATTATCTATGAGATGATTGACATAAGTTACTTGGAAATTACTATATTATGCATAGGTAGATTTAAATGATCGAAGCAAGCATGCATGGTGTCAAAGTTGCACATTTTCTTCAATTAAATAAATAGCTGGGAAAATACATCAGTGATCTCATGATTGTCACTGCCCAGTTGATCTAAATCTGCCAACACTGACTGCATTGTGTGTAAATATTAGCATCGATCTACATTGTAGGAAAAATATCAAAGACTAAAAGCTCACAAAAGACTTTTAGAGACTGAAGAAATGCTTTGTAAGAGATTGGCATTACCACCACATGATGCTGGGATCAAAGAAGTACCAACAAAACAACAACTTAATGAAATAGAGGAAAACATTAAGTATATGGAAAATCAGATGGTGAGTACATTGTATGTGAATGCATGAGTGGTTAAAATCTGTTTATGAATGGAAAATTGATTTAGAGGGTAATATTTCGTTGTTTCTTATCAAACAGACACAGGGAATTGAGCAGTTCAAGACTTTACGTCTTTCAATTTTTAATCTTTGGGAGGAGCTCGAGAAAGTCCCTGAGACAGAATTCGAGAAGGACTTGGCACGTGATGATTCTGAGGCATCATTTGTATTGTCCAAGAACAATCTGAATGCCATGAAAGAGCTTAAAACAAAGGTATAGTACATATATAGTTGATCTGTTGAAATGCATTTATATTATTATCTAAGTTAATGAATGCCCAGCTTCCTTATTTGAATTTTTTTCTAACTGAATATTTTCATGATCACTTGCACCTTTGCATGTAGTCGCGTACTCTGTAAGTAGCGTAACTAAATAGATTAATATTAGCGAACTTAAGATTGATATTTCTTTCAAAATTAGCTTGAGAAACAACAAAAGGAGAATTTTGGTAAAGCAGCTCGCCTTCGTGAACAATTAAAAAGACTCTGGGATAAACTTGATGTCGATGAGAGCGAACAAAAAAGATGTAATGGAGCTTGTTCTGGTTTTAGACCATCTGTAATACTTAAAGTAAGTAGCTAGATTTTATTATACAAATCTAATATCCTGTTCTAAATAATTGATAACCCAACTCGCAAAATACTTGTCCACAAATCATCTAATCATTCGTCGATCTCAGCCACATGCATTCCCCCGAAATCTGAAAAATCTTTAAGTTTTTCATATTTTTTTCCAGTTAAAATCTGAAGTGGAGAAATTGGAAGCGCTCAAAGTTCTGCACATCAAAAAATTTATCGAGGGTTCAAGGTGGGCATATTAAACGTTATACGTAAAAGCTAGCGGGTTTTGTCACTTCTCTTCTATGTAACTGTATAAAACTACCTGCATGTAACGCATCTTCCTCTCTATTCGATCATTTCGCTGTTTTAGAAAAGAGTTGATGGAGATTTGGGATAAATGCTACTTTGGAGAGGCGCAAAGACACGAGTTCACGCCTGCATTCGATGGTATGAAATGTTTAAAATATTCCAATTATTTATAAAATACTATGTTCCAGTACTCAAGACAGCAAAAGCGCACCGTACGTCTGATGTATTATAAAATATATACTGTTTGTCGTGCAGAAAATTTCAGTGAGGATGCGCTTACTCTTCATGAACATCAAGTCGAAATTATGAGAAATTATTTTGAGGAAAACAGCGCAATTTTCAAACTCGTCGAAAAGAGAGAAAGCCTGTGGAAGAAATATTTGGAGTTTGAGGTAGATTTCATCCTGTATACATTTCTTTAGATATCCTAAAATCATATACCCACCTTTCCTATATATACCCTGCGTATATATAACCTACATTTTCTCTGTAATGAGTCGTATAATGTTATACTTGTCACTGTTTTTCAACACGCCATGTCTGTCTGCAGCTCTCTTCTCTGGTAAATATTTTTTCTAATTCGATTTTGAAGAGCAAAGAAAATGATCCAAACAGATTATTTCTCAATCGCGGTGGTGCTTTACTCAAAGAAATGAAAACAAGAAACACTGTACAGAAAGGTTTACCAAAGGTAAAACTGAAAAAAAACATTCTTTTACCACGAATTTTTAATTCGATATACGTTGTCATTTTAATACCATCGGGAAATGCGTGAAATATAGTCTAGCTACCTTGAATCTAGTACGGTTTCTTGATTGTACCATGCAGTATATGTTTTTCGTTCTTAGGTTGAAGAAGAACTGAAGAGCGCTATAGTAGCATGGGAACATGATAACGAGAATGTGTTTTTAGTGAATGGTGAAAGATATCTTGAGGTTATAGAAAGACAATGGCTAATGCATGAAGAAGAAAAGAAGAGAGCAATTGCCGACAGGGTATGTTTTGCTCAGAGATTTATTATTTGGGATGCACATAAGCTACGTACGTCAAATCAAATTTACGGTACCGTCAAATTAACTTCATCGAATGTTCTTTTTTGTTTGTAGCAAAAAGCCAAAAAAGAAACACTTAACAAAGAGATGGTTTACGGTTGTACGCCTAGCAAAAAGTAGGAAATATATCATTATCGTGATCCTCATTAATTATAGTATGATAAGTTACATGAGTCAGCTAGGTACATACTTGCGTCTGCATGACCATAATCTAAGGTATACTACTTTTTTTTAGAGCTACGCCTGCAAAAACTCCGCTCAGCAGACGGCTACGTTCTGCCAGCAAGGTAATATATAAATAAAGTTTATCAAAAACACATAAATTTCGTGTATTTCTAAGGTGCAATCCATAATGATCTTCAATTTCATGTGCACTATAGATGAACTCGACCGCAAGTTCAACCGCTACAACTCCATCAAGATTATTTCAATCAAGTGTGGCCTGCAACAGATCTCCACTAACACCACGCAAAAATCTTATGTCCACTTTAAATAAACCTGCAAAGGTTAACAAAGGCAAAGTGATCAAGGTTTGTGCAAAAATAACATGATAAATAATTTGATACCTGCACGCACTTAAAATGCAGCTCAATAAGTAATCGTCAACGTACGTATTTATTCGTTTTACAGAAAAGCACAATGATACATTTATTCGGCATGTTGCAGTTATGGGACATAAATATCAGTTTACTCTACCTTGAGGTCATGCAATCACTGCAAGCATGATATATTCAATACTCACGATTTTCTGTCTTCTATATAGAGTCAAAGACGACGTTCATCTCGACTTTCAAAAAAACTGGCCAAAAAAGTGTCAAGCAAACCTCTCAACACAACAAAGTCATCGGGCTCTTCAAGAGATTCAACAATGATTGTTGCGCGATCTGGGGACCCTACGAATAAAGAATCGTTATCATCTTGTACGTCATATACTGAATTTACAGTGAGTATATTTACGACGCAGTCAGACTAGTTATTATATCTTGAAGTATTTATTAGTCTATATAGTGTCTTCAATTTGCAGTTGCAGTTATTATAAAATTCGGCAATGAAAAGAAATTAGAAATTCAGTGGTAGTGATTCAACTCTTATATAAAGGTTGCTTTGCAGTTGCTACTTTAGTTCCTCTAATTATATCTCGTTTATAATAGTTACTCAAGGATGTACGTTAGACTATATGTGCCCTTATAGACCATGAATCTCATTACATGTTACTAGATTACCTGATTCAGCTGTGAAGAATATGTTTATGATTATTGAAGTGTGTATTTCATGTGTTTTAGAGTGGTTTACGAGGACAAGCTGAGCCGACTGCAGTGTTAAACAGTACTCGATCTCAAATGGTCACATTCGTCTAAATCCGATTGAGATGGCCTCCCCATTACAGATCAAGCCTTAGATCCCGCAGGGATTGTCACACATATATATATATGCACATATACCAATAATAGATAGGGTGCAAATGATTGACAGGGTATATATAGTTATGGAATAGTGTGAGGTGTGACAACAACTACATTGACACTGTTTATATATATATATATATATAGGTTTGCCCTCGTTGCAGGGAACAGTCTAAGCGGCAAACGACTGTAGCGTACATCAAGGCGGTCAGTTATATATAGTATATTATAATTATACTATATCAGCGCTCTGGCGTACATCATCCTCCAAGAAACCTTACGATTGTGGACGACAACGTGCCGATGATGGCCAAACCAACTTCTTTCAAAAGCAATATCTTGTCGTATATATTCGTACAGCCAATTTAAGTATCGCGAGTTTATGTTTAATGAAGAAACATTTGCTGCAGCGACATGATTGCATTGTCTGCTAGCCGTTGTCATCGCGTTGCCGCTCTAAGTTGTGAGATTCTAATAAAAGATGCATGAATGCCGTCCTCTCGCCACTCCCCTAGCGATATGCCGATTAATTAGGACGTGCAGACTATATATTAAAAGCATTGTAAACACTTTTTATCAATCCCTTGCCCTGTATATAGCTACTGTAGACAATTTTTAGCCTTTACCACCAATATATACACGTGTATTTGAGTGATGTGTGATTTTAGATGCGATTTTCCTCTTTAGGTATTTCTGAGCAGCTTGGTGCATGGAAAAGAGGCTTATGAGGCCGACCCCTGCATTCTTGCGTTATATTTCGAAAGATGTGAACTAGACGATGAGTTATGCACATTCGCCCAGAAGAAGGGTCCGCAGAGGAGGTAGTCCTTCATGCATGGGGCTGGCTGCGTAGATGCCCCCCCCCCCTATATCTAGTCTACCTGAGTATGGACCATGCAACTAGTAGAGAAGAAAGGAAATCTTCCACTTATCATTAAATAGACTGTCAAGCGTTGTGATCAGACGAAATTACTCGCAGCGAGCATATTTAGCATGGTGTATTGCCAATGGTAATTTACTGAGCTACCAACTATCATAACTAAGCTATTTTATATCGAGCACTCAGCTATAATCTGCTCATAAATCGCCAACAAACGCACTTACGATATTCTTATCAACGAGACAAACCAATTTCAAGGCGTGGACATTTGTTCACAATGTTTATTTGGTATACTGTCTGAATTACAAAATTTTTCCTCAAGGGCAGTTGTAAATCTGAATTCTTAAGATTATCTCCTTTAAACTCTCTGCATTTAAGCTGATGGTTTATATCGCGGATTGTTGACATTGATTTTTATCTCCCATGCAGCCTAACAGGATGGTCCTTAAAGATATGGGCAAGGTCAACGACATTGTTTAAGGCCTGTTTACATGAAGCGAGTTATCCCGGCTAGGCGAGGTAAAAAGCGCATCACATCGTAGGCCTAACCTGATTAGTCTTTCATTATATCACAGTTAATAGAAATGGGATTATATATGCAGTTTTCACCTCGCCTGGCCGGGATAACTCGCCCATGTAAACAGGCCCTTAGTTAACCATTATATATGCTCTCTGATATACGAACTTCTTTAGCTCCAGGGAATCATTACATAGAGCTATTACAATATGGTCATTACCGATATGAAGTGCAATACGCGCCCTGCGTTAATTGAGAAATTTCAAATCGTTTGATAGTATCAGTAGAAAAAAAAGAACTATATAAGTTCTGTATCATAATACTGTTTTAATAAGTACGTTCTGGTTCCGAATAATTGACATGCTAGAAGGTGGCTTAGTGCTCTTTTTAGCCACATTATAATCTTTTAATCCTAGTTACCTACTACTCTATAGAAAACCCTTGTAAGCCAGTAAACAATTTTCATAGTAGTGATAAAAATTCCTTCAAGGGGTGTGTGTTCGGGAGGAGGAACAGGGGAGCCAAGTTATATTTAATAGATATCCAATAATTTATATTCACATATTTCAAAGTTGGCTGCTGATCAATCTCAGATCGATCTCAATTTTTTTACGATTGGTGACTGAATCTGAGAACAACCTATGTGTTAACAGACCCAAAAAGCCATGTTTAATACAGCGTAATGGCCAAACATTTTTCATTCTATAGGCAGTAGCGAAACATAAAAGCTGAGCTTGTGTATTGGGTTCTCTAATTTTTTTATCAACACATATACATGTTGTTTTGGCTCTGAAGAGAGATAAGATCATTACGTGAGTGCATGCCATTGATATACTTGTCAAAAAAGCTTATGCGCGCACGAGCACTCGAGATCAAAAACAGGAAAATTAAACTAACTTAACCAGAACGTTTTGTACCTTTGACTACGAGACTGGTAAGACTCTTAAAGCAGGACTGAAAAAGTAAGGTAAGAAGAGTTCATATTAAATTCCTAATACCAAGCGGAATTTTGCGCCAGGTTTCAGTGCAGCCTCTCTAGTGCAGCCTGTTACTCTCGCTCCAGCTAATATTGTCGTATCATGAATCGACCATGCAGGATAATGATGAGAATATGAATGAGTTTAACGTGTACACACATAAATTGTATACACTATTATACACGAGTAATATACATCTAGTAAAAGTACAATATATTCAAAAAAGATCATTTTATATAAAAATAATACTGGCAATGGTCACGCAAGCATTACTATTAGCTGAAGGAAAATTTACAGCCCTGAATTTCTCCACTTTACAGTAATTACTTATTGTTTCTTTTATTTAGATGGTATTTTATATCTTAATCGTATTCTTCTACATTTTTCCTCTTGGCGAAAATGGTAAGATTCGTCATTTTGGTGTCTGTTGTAACATAAATTCCTCGTCACTTTTCGCCTTCCGCCGCTGACGCTGTTAATTGCGTGAACATTTTCTCGTAATGGAAAGGAAGTAATATAAGCGCCTTGTTTTCCACACCTATCTTACCTGCTTGAGGGGATTTTTAAAGCCCACTAGTACTCAGTTCGCGTGACACAGGCAAAGCGACTAATACTTGTTTTCTTTGCAGCTTTGATGTCAATGAGGATTAAAAAGCGACCAAAAAAAACTATTTTTGGTCAGGTAGGCCAAGCCCATTTTTTGCAATGGGTTATCAACTATTCAGGAAACGTTCCAAACTTTAAACTGGAAACAAGCGAAACGAGAAATAACATAGTGTCACACTGGGAAAACGCGACGACAATAATAATAAACCTCCAAACGAGATTTGAAACGGCTGGCAATCATTTTGTCGCACTAAAATTGACACAACAAATGGATAACAAGCTTATGTCAATTGTCATATTGCGCATCCTGAAAGGTGATTAAGATGAATTGTTTTAGGATAATTTTCATGCATTATGAAGGTGAACTTATGGCCGGTTTTTCACCAGGAGGAAATTGATTTTCTTTTCAATTGTGATCTGTCAAGTGAATCTGACTTCGGTCTTAAAGCGGTTGAAAAGAAAATTGGGTGAAATATTTTGCCCAACCTAAGTTAGAGACTGGAAAGCTTCTAAAAATTAGAATACAGGCAGAATAAAATTTGCATGTCCCTGTCGTATGTCACTTATTGGCATATGAAGGTCGTATATACGCTTAAAAAAATCCGTTGAACTGGTAGCACTTCGCGTGTTATAGTAACTTCTGTAGTCGCCACACAAAAATCGACTTTCTCTTTTTGAAACAGACTTTAGTAGTCACTTTACATCTTATAATCTAGGACTTTATTACATATACTTTATATATGTCAGCCCCCAGGCTCAGTATAGTTATTTTGATAAAGCACAGCGAATCACTATAATAATCGCTATAAGATGGTATTTTTAGTTTCCTCGACTTTCGTCTCAGTAAATTTCTCCTCTGAACTTTTAGCGACAAGCAGTGCCAATGCCTCTCAGTACACAATCAAGCCTAGTTCCAAGACAAGTAAATATGATTTACAGTTTTCATAGTAGCTTGACTTATTTCATACACATCCTTATATGTCTAAATCATTCCCCTGAAAATTTCAGCGATCTTTGATCATTTCAAATCCCCACCCCTGATCGGGAGAAACACTAAAGCAGGTATACTGTTATCATAATTAATGAATGCTATTATGAACCGAAAATAGTTGTGTATGAATCAAGGTCCTTTTTTAAATTTCGAGGTAACTTCCACTATTCTAGTAAGTGACTCAGTTTGGGATATGAAATTATTAACGTCGAAATAACGGCCATCTTTTTGAGCGTTGTGCATGTGCAAATAGATAAAAACAGGTATATAAAAAATTGCAGGCTTTGTCACCGCTTCTTCAGCACCGAGACTCCTTTCTGTGTCTACCATTACAAAAACCGGTAAGCCTTGAAACGATGTTTTTTCAAATTTCATGTTTCAGTGAATCTAGCGTCTCTAAATGGATTGCCTTGCTTCTTTTCAGTGTTCACCACAACCTCTTCAACAGGTCCAATCGTACACACTTGTAAGTCATATTGCCATTAAAATTTAAAAAATTGCACTTGAGGACTAGTTACTAGCAATAGCAAGATTGGCAGTGCATCGTGGAGCTGATTTGAGAAACTATTCTATGTCCCAATTCCATGCGGAATCTACCTTTACCCTATTGCTTAATGCTATGCTATAATTTTCCATCACCGATTGTCGCTGAAAGAAATAACTTACCATACATCCGAAATTCTGCCATTCTGATATAGGCTCTCATAAACCATCTGGCCGAATTGCCCCGAAACGCAAGGTTGATCGGGTTGAGACCCATCTGACGGGTAAGTCTCCAACAGAGCCTATTGAGGCAATTAATGAAGCCAGAGGTAAACGTAAAGTAAAAGTGACCATTGGGATATATCGTTTATGGTAGTTTTTGTAGCTGGACGTAGAGTTATTTCGATGAGTGGAAGAAAAAGCGGGAAAATGGGGGGACAAAACACCTGTGCGTTTTCCGCTATTCGTTAAATTGTTTTTCAATCACACGCTCCGGAAATAAATAAAGCGACATTCAAAATGATTGATTTTTTAAAATATTGCATTATACCAAAAATTTGTTTAAAGGAAAAATAGCGTGAAACGCCAAATTCATAGAAATAAGATTAAATGCAAATATACACACCAGAAAACCAGCAAACTCAGCAAAGTTGATGCGGCAGTTATCCAATTCTCCACATGTAACCCGACTCTAAGTAATCTTCAATATACTACATTTTAGATAAAACGATGATTATAATAATAATCGCTGTGATAATTTCTATCGTGGTTATAGTCACTTTACAAATCATCATATGTGTTTCGGTAAGTACGGAATATCATATTCACTCATGATGAAAACTTAGAGGAACAACTATAAGTATTTAAAATCTGATTCGTAGAACATGCATGCATTCAAACCAAGTTAGGACCGTCGTGAAATACCTATCGATAATGTATAATCTGCACAAGCTTCCGCGCATGTAGAGTGAGTTAATACAATAAAATTTTAAACCAAAATCTTAGTACATTAGAAATTTTGTATACCCGTACTATGGCCGTATAATTAAAAAATGCAGAAACCCAGGGTAGGTCAATACCGTCTGGCACCAAAAACTTAAGAAACGTGAACACGGTTGTCCCTATGTATATGCATCTTACTGATTTACATAATTCCCCCTAAGGTCGATGAACGATGGTAGTCTTTGCATGTAGCTATAAACACATCTGCATGCTACCATTAATGAATCAATTTCCAAAAATTTATTTTAAGTTACCACGTGGACACAGGACTGTCAGGACAGTTCAGTCGATGCCGGTGGAGATGACGACAAGAGGTAAATCTAAATATTACTATCAATGCCATCTGGTTGTACGAATTCCAATTTTAAAGCAATTTGTGCACAATCGCATCTTATTTGCTTTTGTTTACTGACACACAGTTGTTTACATAATGTTAATTGTCTCACCCTCAGGAAACGTATATTTGCCTGACAATTATACTGACATTAATCCCGTATTAATATGCCCTGTGTTGTGAAATACTCTAATTTTGACTAGGAGTGAAGTGAACAAAATAAAGATAAGTAAACGTGACAACTTTTGTTAAACTTATTTAATATTAATATACATTCTTTTGTTAAACAAATTATTCAGTATTAAATGTATTACATGTTAGATGCATTTATTAAATTATTAAATTATTTAAATGCACGAATATAATATTTATAACTTTGTATGAAAACCTATTTTGCGTTCATTTTGAGAAACCAGTCACTACCGATCCACTGACTGCAAAGCACATTGCCACCCCGAGAAGAAGAAAATTTTTCCATCCCTGTAAAAAGAAAAAGCTAAAACTACTTTTTAAGTCGTAGATATGGAAGGCAAAGAATTCACATCTTACCGTTATTTCTCTAAATACAAATATTCCCCATATGGAAGCAATAATTCCTGGTCCCTAGGACAAACAAACAAAATTTATAGTAATCATATCCTTGATCATATCCTACCGGTCATGTAACTCATGCATGCATAAATATAAATATTAACTGTACTCACAGTTGTTACAATTGGAAAACTGACGGACTCTGATAAATAGGTATTTGCAACAAACCAACCAACTATAAGTTAAAGGGAGGCATCAACAAAAATTAGTTTTGCAATTGCTATTAGTTGATAAAATTTAATTAACGTATGTTAAAATGAAGTGGACTAAAGTCTAAAAAACTAATGTATCCTGGATTTGTTATCGAACAAGTATATATAGTTATGTAACTATAAACTCTAGATCTTACTCTTAATCTCTTCGGAGAGTAAACATACTATAAGTGAAGATGCCCCGCTCTTCTATTTATTTTTACCTACCATCTCCAACTGCCCATAATATTCCCGACAAGAATCCTGGCGCAACAGCTTCAGAATATATGTCTGGTTTATTTCTTTTGTAAAGACAATATATGAGAAAGTAGACCGTGCTAGCTAGGAGAGTGCCACTAAACTGAGAAAACGCGTATTGTATTCCTGTTGAAAACAGAAAAAAACAAGTATAAAATGTATAAAATCAGTCTCACATGCATGCAGTATATTAAAAGAATTGAGTGAGGTAAATTTTCTAATGTTTCTTCTTTCAAAATCGCGTTATTTTTAGCGACGCATAATTCGTTGGCATGAAATAAAGAGAAGCATGTTTCGAGCAGTTGCTTCCGACCTGTGAACTAGAGAGTGCTCATGATTACAAACATCTAATTAATAGCACGTGCATGAATAAACTATAATTAGCTACTATATATATACCATCATCTGGAGCATCTTCGTTGTTTTTCTGAATAATATACACTGGAACAAAACTGATGCCGTATAAAATACCTGACACAACAGACAGAAATATTCCACTAAAAAAACACATACATATCATCATTAACATTATAGAATGACTTATAACCATACAGCATCATTTACGATCATATCGCCAACCTCGAAAAAGAGAACCCTGCATGGGTACGGCCGTACGGGACGCGGATCAGTTTCTATAGAACACGGATCAGTTACTAAAACTATATGTACACAATGACGTTTTCATTTTCGCTTTCATACCAAAACGGTTTCAAAAACCGTCAAGGCAAAGGCGAAGAAAACGACGCTCGTGTCCACACAGCCTTACCCCAGCATGCATGACGTTTTCTTAGTGATAATGAGTAAATTGATTGTGGATTAATGAAGAAATTTTCTTCAATATAGATATAGACGTCGAACTGGAAACGCTGTGAAAAGGCCATTAAAAGATTCAAACCAAACTCTGTTTTGTTATTCTCACTTCAGGACCGACCTCAGACTTTGTGGATATGAGGTTTTATAAAACTTTACCAATTTAACTAATGTTTCTGTTTTCAATTGTGAACTTTGTGAACGTACATAAATCGCTTCTGGTTTTTCGAAAAATTATCAACCCAAGAGGAGTCGCTGTCTTGCTTTACGCCCGCAAGCAGATAAACATTTTCCTCATCGTCGTCATCTTGAACTAAGCTATTATCGCCACGGCCATTACTGAAACTTGTCTAAAAAGTTTCAAATTAGACATAATTTAAAAAAGATAGTTTTGTATACTCTGTAATTTTTGTATTTCAAATTGATATGTATAATAGTTAGGCTAATCATTAACATACATTTGCAGAAGCAATATTCTCTGTTGGATCTTCACTTTTGATGAAAATAAACATTCCAAGGCTTTGAAAGACAAAAATATTTTTAAAAGAATACACAGCAGTCCTAATTCCCTTTAGCTTTTCAATTTGATACAAAATTAAATTGAAATATAGAAAAAGAGGTGCATGTGTGTGCAGATATCAGAAGAAAGTTCAAAAATTATTACGAGAAATACCTTATCATTGCTAACATGACTCCAATATAGTTCATTGCAGAATGCTGTACTGGTTGCTCACAAATTAATCCAAATGTCCCAAATCTACAGTATATATGTATAAAATGTATGTAATGTATGCATATAGTAGAAAGGCTTTCTTTGCATTTAGAGCAAGTTACCACACTAGTAACCTGTATAAGTTTTGAAGGTGACTGCAGTTGCATCCAAAAAATGGAACACAATGGAGTGAGGATCATATTCATTGATACATTTAATACCTGCCTGTTGCCCATCCTGCTATTAGATTAAGAGTTCCCCAAATTAATAACCCCATTGCTAAACCAATCGTTTTAATAACAGGAACAACACACATATTTCCAGTACACCAGATAACTCCTCCAACCATTACCAAAGGAAAAAATTTCCTTTCATCTCCATTGTAAAGATGAACAAATAATCCTAATATCCAAATCCCTAGACAAACTATCCATTGAAAGAAAACACCTATTGGTATAATAGAAAACAAGGTCATTGATGTATAATATTGGCAGGCATATAATACATATATATTCTAGTTACTAGTAGAACTCAATATACACTACTACACCTGGAAGCAGGAATAATGTGTATTTCCATATGTCATGCTTAGTAGAGGTGGCATAAGGAAACATTCCTGCTTATAAGGTCCACATACATCCAAATAAAAACAAGACATGGTACGTTTATTTATTTTGTCTGGGCACATACCATCTCCTGTGGTTATTTTCTTCACAGGAACAAAATTACTTCCAAACATGAGAATTGCCACAGAAGCACCAATATAACCAGCAGCGGGAGATAGGTTTGATATCTTGTGTTGACGTCGTTCACAGATTGTTAAATTGCTACTTCTGTTTGTTCTGTGAAGATTATCTTCAACAAAAAGCATTATTTATAATTGTAATGATATTGTTTATATATAATAGAGGTCATTATACAACCATTTACTCCCAACAATGTAATATTTTGTTAGCTTTGGTTGGGGTCATAGGTGGGTCAGCTCTAACCATTTATGTATCTTGAATAGTCCAGACAAGACCATAAAGATATAGTGATGTGCTTATTTGTCTAGGCATTGCAGTCAGTAGTCCACAACACCTTGCGACTGGGTATATTACAGCACCAACATAAATTCATTGAAATTGCAACATATTTTTTGTTTAAAATTTAATAGTAAATTAGCCATATAGCCAATTTACATGATAGTGCTACAATTAGTAGCTACTAATTGTAAGCTATTTTTAGAAGGTTTTTATTGGCGTCCTGGAAACGTTTTTATATTTTCTATTTACAAGTTCTGTTTTCTTTAAAAAAATACTATACATTATGCTATTACATATTCATGTTGCTATTTATTATACTAACCATAATTAGCGCCCTCTGTTACATCACAACAGTTTAAAATACAGCCGACGCAAATAAATAACAGTTTTAAAGCGAACATATTGAACAAGCCTGGATACTTGATTTCAAACGTAATCTATAATATCTAAAAATGCAGATTAATTATGTAAAATCTTATTTACAATCAATTTTCGTGACATATATAAAATATATGACGTTCGACATTCTCTCTGCACTTCCGCTGGTGACCTAACGAGAGAGCTGGGAACTAATGATTAATCAGAGAATAAAATCACATTGGGAAAATTTTATAACCAAGAAATATACAAAATTTCTGTTGTAAAAGTTTTTAACATTTTCTTATTGAACAATTTAAACTTTTATATAGATTATGTGATCTGTTTGTATAGTATTTTAAGTGGTATGTAGAGTTTTTATTTTATTTTGATTATGGTAGTCTGAATTAATAGTATGTGACTAGAAATTTCGGGTTATTCTTTTTTGATACACGTGTTACTGAAAATAGTTGGACTTCAGACTAGAAAAAATATTTTGGGGGTTATAAAAAGATAACCTGTTTAATTATGTGTTAGTTAAATTGATTTTTAATTTGTAAATTTATGACAAGAGATACAATTTATACTTTTTTGTGCCTTGCTATTAAAATAACAGCAGTTCAATTAAGATTAGCAAATCAAGCGAATACATATACAACATTAAAGTCATTGGGTCTCCTTGATTTGATACACTAGTGAAAACAAAGGTGCTGAAATGGTGTTGAGTTACATCTTGTGTTTCATGTTAGAAATTAATTTTTTTCAATATTGCATCATAGAGTGACTGGAGTTTTTGGAAGTAAAGGAAGAGTATGCCATCTGAAACCTTTGTGTTAAGAGCAGTTTAAAAATGCCTCAAAAGAAAGAAAAAAGGAGGGGGAAGAGAAAAGATAGTGATGACTGGTAAATTAGTTCTAATTGTTACATGGTCATTATATATAAATACCATTTTCATACCATCCACATACCATTTATTAAAGAATAAATTCATAAAATTAAAGACAGCCATTCCAAGGAAGTCTTATGCTCATAATTTTGAAAAAAGTAGTACCCCCAACATAATGGCTTATTCGTCATTGTGAGAAAGGTTAATTATTTAAAATGATATTTTCAGGGAAGATGAGGTTGCAAATGAGATTGAACAGATGAAGTTAGGCAGTGCTGAAGATGATACGGGTACCAAGGTATTGTTAATCATCATTCAGTTGTTTCATGAAATGCGCAGTTCTAACTATAGCATGAAGTGATGATGTAAGAATATAAAACCAAGAAAGCCCTCACAAAGTAGCTAAAATTTTATTTGGATTGTATTAATCATTGAAATGTAAACAAAATTGTGCAATCTGATAATATCTTTTCCAGAGTGAAGTTGGTAATGACAATGAAAATGCCAAGAAAAAAAAGAAACACAAAAAAGGGAAAGGGGCAGTTTCATCAGAAGAAGATGAAACAACAAACAATGTTGGTCCAAAATCAAGTTTTGGATTGCTTGATGTGGAGGATATTGATGACATGGGTGACGAAATTGAACCAAATGAGAGAGTAAAAAAAGATAAAAAAACAAAAAAAGGAAAAGTAGAAAATAAAACAAGTGAGGAAGACCAAGATTTGGAAAGTAAATCAAGCAATGATAATGTTTTTACTAAAGAAAGCACTGTAGGCAATGATGACAGTATAAAGGAAGTAAACTCTGATGAGGATGAACATAATTTTAAGAAAGAAAAAAGGAAAGCAAAGAAAAATAAAACAGAAAATGAAGAGGATGAGCATGAAAAAGCTGATGAGGAAGAAGAAACAACTGTCAAAACAGCAGCACAAAAGAGAGCTGAGAAAAAAGAACGAGACAAGAAAAAGAAGGATGCTCAGAAAAAGAAAACAAAGGAAACAAAAACTGAAAAAACTGAAAAAGTTGACGATCCTGAAAATTTAGAAGAATCACATTTAGGGGAGGGTAATAAAACAGCAGGTACATTGAATTACTTTTCTTTCAATATCTATATCTACACTAAGTAGGCCCTAAGTAGTAATATACCAAAACATAGTGTTGGCATGAGATTTTCCATAAACTACAGAAAGATCTGCCTTCACGATTTGTTATTAAGTGCGCCCAATCATTAAATGTCAACAGTCTTTCACAACAGATACAATAGATTTTAGGTAAGTGATAACTGTTGCAGTTATTCATCAATAGATATTGAGGATCATGAAAAATCTGTAAAAGTTGAAAAGACAGAACATGAAGAAGGTGCAAGAGGAGGGAACGTCTGGAGTGAAGGAGCAAGATGAAGTGGAAGATGGGGAAAAGATAAAAAGAAGAGAAAAAAAAAAGAAAAAGAAAGTAAAGGAAGAGGAAGCGCCTAAAGTTAAGAAACCTGCGAGGGGGATGATCAAGCAAAATGCAAGAGGCTCTTGAGAAAGCAAAACTCGAACAGGAAAGATAAAGGCAAGAAGAAGAAGCTAAAGTAAAGGCACTGGAGGAAGCTGAAAATCGACGACTGGAAAAGGTACGTTGTGCTCTAATGGGTCATATGTGAGAAGTCATTTTATGAACTTGTGGTGGATCTCTATGTGCTATGTGATCGCGCTCGACCACCACAAGTGCGATACTAAACCAACTATAGTGAGTACAAATTATTGCTTTGTTTTTTTATAGATCGACTTGAAAAAGACGTAAAGAGAGACAAAAACAAAAAGAAAAGGTTAGTAAGGAAAAGGAAAAGGTTACATAAATTCATTTTCCTATGTATGACAAGTACAGTGCAGTACATAGTTCGATCACTTCACTTCAGAAAGCACGTTAATGTAATATGATAATTATTATTTCAACAGGAGCGAAAAATGAGGTTGAAACAGGAAGGAAAATTCTTGACTCCAGCTCAGAAACAGAAGAAAGCTCAAGTTGAAGCACAGTTGGAGGCTATGCGAGCACAAGGTTCGTAATACATCATTAGTAGCGAGCGATACGCATGTGCAAGTTGCGGGATGCACTGTTAGTTAAAGTCTAAGCGTGCAAAATTTGCGTGGTATGTAGACTATTGCATATGTATATATATATCAATTACAGAACAAGAAAAATAATGTAAACAGGAATTTCAGCAATGGCTCAATAAAACGTGCTGATCTATTTAGGAATTGCAATTCCAAATCGCAGCGGTTCAGACCCGGGTGACGGAAAGAAACCTGTTCGATATGGTTATAAAAAGAAGCAAAAGCAATTCCAAGATAAGGCCGAAGATACAACAGCAGACGGTGAACTAGAAAACGCAGGTGAACTTATTGTCAGTCAAGTCAGTACAATATTTTTCATAGGGGAGCATAGCGAAAAAAAACGTTCGACACCAGACCTAAACAAGGGTTTTGCGTTGCCTGATGATCGTAACAGTGTTCGCACACGACCAGGCAATGAACTCTGCCTCTATTAAACTAAATGCTAAACTGGGAAAAAAAAGCGTTACTAAGTTTTTTTAGTGTTACAAAAAAAAGGTGTACTGATGAACTTACTTGCATGGACAGGAAACTGCATCTAAGACTATATATCATAAAAAGGGAAATTGATGTATTTTCAGAAGACAATGCAACAGAGACAGTAAAAGAAACTGAAGAAAACATTGAAGATAAGGTAATGAGATTTATTACTTCAGCATTACATATGATAATGTGTGTGAGGTCTTTAGGCCTGGTTCGAACAATGTGGAAGACGTAGCAATTTTTAGCTTCAGCTGCATCCTCGTTCCCAAAGTGTGCGAAAATCACTACGCGAAAAACCTGGAAGCGAGGATTATCCAGCTGGCAAAAGAAAAGAGGAAAAGCGAGTGTTTGTTTTCTGTCTTTAAGCAAGGTCTTCAATCAATCGTAATCTTTACTCCAATCTCAAAAAGTATTTATAGAATCACTGCATTATTTTGTGATATATTTTTAGTCTGAGGTTCAGGAAGATGATGTAAAAGAGACCTGGGATGATCAAGATGAGGAAAGCGATAAAGGTGTAAATAATTTGTTGTCCTAGGTCTTTTCAGGAATGTCGTAGGTTCTAAAAAGTGTTAAAGCTCAATCTTCTCACAATCAGCTTAGTGCAGTAAAATAAAGATCAAGTCAGTTTTGCGATTAGTGAACGTCATGTTCATCTCATTCGCTATTCCCTTCCGTGCAAAAAGACTGAATAAAAAAGTTTACTAAAACTGCAAGGTGCATCCTGTCATTTTTTAGGAAAATGAGATTGAGTTGATTAGAGATTGAGTTGGGTTATTTAGACACGAACCATGATCAACCAATTTTACTCTTGTTAACTTTTGTTACAGATACTGCCACTGCTGAAACACAACAGGTACTAACCTTTTATTATTTTGTGTTGAACCAACTGCAGTAGTTCAATAATGAGATTATATGTTCCCTGCAATTCTCAATTATTTTTTCACAGCAGCACGTTTTCTGATCACCACTCACTGGAAATTGTTTGAATTTTCCTAGAAAGCCTCGGGTGAAATTAATGAGGATGAAGGTGGGGAGGATGAAGACGAAGAGACAAGTGAAGATGAGAGTGAAGACGAAAATGGACAAGAAGAAGAAAGTGAATCTGGTGAAGATACGGAAAGTGAGTCTGAAGACGAATATGAAGAAGATGAATCGCTATCTAAAGAAGAAAGAGAATTTTTCAGAGCTGAAGCCAGAATAAAGGTATTTATTGCAAATTCGTTCTTAGCTATACTTAGCCTAAGCCTTCAAACTAAAACAATTTTTCTTCCCAGAAACGAAGGGAAAAAGCAGAAGCAGCCCGATCGAAGGAGAAATTACGGTCTCCCGTGATTTGTGTGATGGGTCATGTGGACACAGGAAAAACCAAAATACTAGATAAGGTTAGAAAATACAAAACAAATTGTACACTTCCAAATCAGGTATGTTAGTATGTGCGTGCGATACATGTTTTCGTTCAATATTAAGATCCGTCATTCTCATGTGCAAGATGGTGAAGCAGGAGGAATTACTCAACAGATTGGAGCAACCAACGTCCCAAGTGATGCGATAAAACAACAGACGAAAATGATTAAAGACGTATGTACGCCTCATCGAGCTGATCAGCATGAGTGCATCTATTATTTTTTTGTGCCTATTTGTAAATTATTTGTAAATTAAAATTTTAATTTCGTGCCTTTTATACCATTAGTGTTATGATGACGCAGTGTTTTCGAGACGCCTCGTGACGTCACGATTGTATTCTTTTTTAATCTATAGTTTACAGAATTTGACATGAAAATACCTGCTTTGCTGATCATAGACACACCTGGCCATGAATCTTTCAGGTACCATAATGTTTTTTACTAAATTATATTTATATTATTAAACGACATCATTGGGGGAGAATTATGAGCCAGCTTATATCAAGTTTTTATTGAATTTTCTTGTTTTATAGTAACTTGCGATCACGAGGTTCAACATTATGCGATATGGCAATTCTTGTTGTTGATATTATGCACGGTCTAGAACCGCAAACAATTGAATCTATAAATTTACTAAGAAATAAGAAAACACCTTTTGTCGTTGCCTTAAATAAGGTATGAAAATGAAAAACTAAACAGTGTATAAACAGTGTTTAAAAGCTGTACCTAATATTGCACCTGATGCTTGGAAACGTGACTGGTTTTCTATTTAATATTACCACTTTTTAAGGTTGATCGATTGTACGAATGGAAACGAGGTCCAAACTCGAGTATTATAGATACTCTTAAGAAACAAGGAAGGGGTACAAAACAAGAGTTTGAAGAGCGAATGAATAAAATTATCGGGGAATTTGCTGAAGAGGTTAGAAATATATTGCCCTATGCTTATCTTAACACAGTTCAAATTGTGTTCTAAATCTATACGAATTCGGAATCGCTATTTTAATACCATCAAAACTATTTTCTGCTGATATTCATGAATGACTAATGTAATTTTTATATATATAGGGATTAAACGCTATATTATTTAATAAAAATGTTGACGCCAAGACTTACATATCTCTGGTCCCTACATCAGCTCACACTGGGGATGGCATGGGTGACCTGATTTCATTGATTGTCAAACTATGTCAGACTAAACTAGCTCAAAGATTATCCTACTCAGAGGAACTGCAGTGCACTGTGCTTGAGGTATGTTTCATTGACACTATAGCAAAGACCAGCATGCTTTCGAATAATGCCAACGATTATGTTTGTCCTGTGGTATCTTTCAATCCTTTTTCATACTTTTCCCAACCAATGGTTACGAATCAAACTAACTATAAAATAAAGTTGCGCCTCTAAACGTTCTAGGTAAAGGCTATAACTGGATTAGGGACAACGATTGATGTAATTTTGACGAATGGTCGTTTAGCAGAATCTCAAACAATTGTATTGGGGGGAATACAAGGTCCTATTGTAACCCAGATACGAGCTTTACTCATGCCCCAACCTTTGAAAGAACTCCGGGTAAAGAATCATTATAAAGAATTTAAAGAAATTGAAGCAGCACAAGGGGTGAAAATCACCGGAAAGGAACTTGATAAGGCGCTTGCAGGATCGCCTTTGTTTGTGGCTTATGAAGAAGACGAGATTGAAGTACTTAAGGTGAACGTCTATTACAATGTTTGTCAAAGATGATTCAGAGCTAAGATATTTATGTACGCCCCAGATAAAAAAAATGTGCTGCACGCGCAAGAGCTCAGTTAGCTTCTATTTGCCACAATAATTCGCCACTGTATAGATTTTATTTGAACTATCTTTAAAATTTCCAGGTGTATCAAAACAACTATTTCCCACAATTTATCTTTATATTATAGATTTACTGTTGCTTTTTCGGCATACGAGATTTGTTTTCAGTTTTTACGAAGCATGTAATTGACACATTTTTTAGAGAGACGTAAACGAAATTGTTCAACAGACACTGAAATCGATCAAAGTTGCTGACAAAGGAGTCTGTGTACAAGCCTCAACACTTGGTTCTCTGGAGGCTCTCTTAGAATTCTTGAAAACTTCAAAAATACCGGTATGTACTTAAAAAATTCAATTGAGGTACTGTTTACTCGTAATTTTAAACTTTGAAATGGAGTATTTCTATGGAAAACGTGAAACTAGATATTACAACAAATGTTTGTAACAATTTGTGTTCAAATTTCCCACTTTTCTATTAATAATTTTTTTTCAGAAACCCTAGGGAGCCACCTTAATTACGTCTGTAGCAGCAGAATAAATTATAGCTTGTATTTTTAGAATTTTTATCTGACACGGTGTTATTTGTTTTCAGTATTGTAGTGTTAGTGTTGGTCCAGTTCATAAGAAAGATGTTATGAAAGCCTCAGTGATGTTGGAGCATGATAATCAGTAAGTATTTATGACCAATAATGAGATAATTATAATATTGAGGTTAAATACTCTTGTGCATGTATATGTGAAATATGTGACTGGATTTTTAGGTTTGCAGTCATTCTCGCATTTGATGTAAAAGTTGAACGTGATGCCCAGGAACTTGCAGATAATCTTGGTGTAAAAATATTTACAGCTGATATTATTTATCATCTATTTGATAAGTTTATGAGCTACAGGGAGGTAAGCTGTTTGTTTACTCCCAGTTTTTTTGCGCGTTGTATAACCTCTTGATCATTGGCATTGCTTAAAACAGGGAAACTTGACACGAACACTTTCGTCTTTGGCTGGGGAAGGGGGAGGGGGTGCGGGAAAAGTTTGGAAAAAGCTACAATTAAAGATGATGAACTATTTTTACAGGAATTAAAAACAAAAGAGACGAGATGAATTCAAGCACATTGCGATTTCCATGTAAGTTACGGTTCTCACTGAACACATCTTCAATACTCGAGATCCCATAGTGCTTGGCGTTGCTGTTGATGCTGGTATTGTCAAAGAAGGAACTCCGATATGTGTTCCTAGCAAAGAGGTAAGTGGGGTCGAGGTTATTGTCTTCGTTGTAACAATGAATTATGCGTCTTTAGCACCCGTGTGGTGTGATTGTCTTTCTTGAAAGTCGTTTCTATAACCTAATCACTACAGTGGACTGAAAGCCGGAATTTTATATACAACGTACGTAGCCGTAGTATATTTCAGTATGATTTTTGTATAGTTTGTTGACATTGGCATTGTGACTGGAATTGAACGAACCATAAACCTGTGGAGAAAGCAACTAAGGGAATGGAAGTCTGTGTTAAAATCGAACCAATTCCTGGAGAAGCACCCAAGATGTATGGTCGTCATTTTGATTATACAGATCCACTTGTTAGTAAAGTAAGTCAATACTTCAGTCAATAAATGATACATCACATAGCAATTAGAGTAAGGCATTTACATAATATCTGTCCTCACAAAATCCTTTACAGATATCTCGGGAATCAATTGACGCTGTTAAAGAATACTTCAGAGACGACCTTCAAAAAAGTGATTGGCAGTTAATGATTGAATTGAAAAAACTATTTAAAATCATATAAATTGCCCAATTTCAATTCTATTTACAGCTCGTAAAAGATGTCTTAATTTCTTTTAAAACGAAACTCAGGAGACGTTTCTCATTCGAATGCAAATGAAAACATAAAATATACTTGGTTCAGTCTTTTAGATCTTTCTTTTGCAATAGTTAATTCTGCGGGCTATTAATACTTCGGGACCATTATTTGGTACAGTTTGCAAGTCGCCATCTTGCATAGTATTTTTTCCGATTCCGGCGCAGTATGCATCGGTTTAATCCCAAAATAGAGAAAGTATAACGGAATTCGTTCATCTTATTTTATTTTCTGTACGAGAGATTGACGACGATTATAAAAAACATTGAATTAGGAATCAGTTCATGGTTATAGGTTACATTGGAGGGTGTAATAGTTAAAATTATATAGATTTTATTAGTCGTATTTAATAAAGTATGTTCTTTCCAGTTTCTTTGCTGGTTTTTGTGCTTTCATTGTTATACAACCGACATGTATTTCATTCCTATCTATGTAAATTCGTCCCAAGAATCTTTTATTTCTACGTCGGCTCCAGAATTCTCCACTTCCTGAATTTCAACTTCATTTCTCCGAAAATGTTTAATGAAAGGCATCCATTTCAAGCGGCCAATGCTCTCGGCGTCTAACGAATGCTGGATACGATGCAAGATTTTATGTCGTAACTGCGTCACTGCCGGTACGCTTGCACTCAAGAACAGTAACAAGGCAAATATTCCCAAAACGAAAGATAAAATAAAAGCAGCAGGCATCGAAAATATTGTCAGTAATCCTCCAATGAAGACAAGTGTTGTTGCTATAACAGCTATTGCAAATGGTATCCAGAATGGAGCCAGAAAAACTACACATGCCAGTAATAATAGTTTATAGACATACACGTTGGTTGAAATTCCCATTGTTTCTCTAGACACACTCTCCATACAGTCATCTGTAATGTCAATGTAGTGTGGAAAATTATCTTCTATACTAAAAGTTCAGGCTTTCTTTCGTGCTGTGTATAATTGAGCTTAGATTTGGCAGTCTCGAAGCAGGTCACACAAATTGGCTCTTGTGTTGTGCCTCTCCTAGCTTGACATGTGTAACTTATAATTTTAGCACCATGCAACTCTCGAGTGTAGCAACTCTCCGTAACACTATAATCACCATCAGTCCGTTAAATAATAATGCGATTCTTACCACAGGTTCGAATTAGAACCATTAGTTCACGTGAACAATACCCAACCCGACCGAAACCCGCTGTACCGAGTCAGTGCTGAGAGTCATGCAAAATAGATTAAAGTTCAAGAGAGAAATTTCTTACCTGCATGCACAAGTCTTAATTTTTAAAATCTTTGGTGAAATATATGACGGAAAATTAATCAAATTGTGATGTCATAAGACTGATCTACAGTAGACTGGATTAAACATTTTTATTCAGCTGCGTACAACCATCACTTGACTTAGCTCCTCCACAGTCCATTCTCATTCGTCCAGCGTGTGTTATAACAACTTTCTATCACATATAAAGATGGAGTATTTAAAGGGGATGATTAAAACCTTTTTTTTTCAATCCCAACAATTGGCAGCAAACTTTCGTTATACTGTATGATCACTATATACAGTTCAGTAAGAGGCAGGTGCACTATGGAAAGCCTATTTAACTAACATTCAACAGTATAAAATATAATATCAACTGTAAGGCTGTCTAGCTATCAGCATCTATTTCATTAACAACCCCTGCAGCTTTCAAACAAGAAAAGAGGCTGTTGTTTCCACTGATTTGAAAATGTAAAGTCCTCTTTGCATAATAATTGCTGTCAATATTTTCAATGTTATCTATGATATCTTGCAAGAGATGAGCTCTTCCAGCAACACTACCAGGTGCCTCGTACTCTACATGCGTGAAATGCACGTGAAAATGATAGTAAGTTGGCTGGTAATGAACGAACACACGAAGTTGTGATGGGTAAACATTGTAAGTCTTCAGGATTGCCTCCTATAAGATAAATATATACCTATATTACTTTCAGAACAGTTTTACAAGAATATCAATTTCTTTCAAGACATTTTTCATTAATTTTCATGTATCAATTTCATTACTGAGGCAGATTGAGGGTAAAGGTTTCTTACTGATCCTTGTTGAAGAATATTCTTTAGAAGTGGTAAATGTGAAGAATTTAAATCCCGTAATGTATTTATTCCATGTTTATAACAAATTGCCATAACATAAAGACTTTTCATTTGTGTTTGTTCCCACTTGAGATCAGGCAAAACGATAAAGCCATGTTCAGAATGTGAATCTTCATATATGATCCGATCTGATTCTGCTTTCTTCTCCAAAATATTATACACCCACTAAATTATAACAAAATATACAATACGTTTACCATTTATTCTGCAATATTTAGTTTTTCTTATGTTCTCTTCACATCGCTTATTAAAAAACTTTATGAAGAGTCAGTTTTACAATCACAATTGCCATAGACAGAATACTTTAAGACTTTATTAGCTATGAGATAGATTACATCATTACATAATCTGCTATTCAGGTGACATATTTTACCTGTAAATGAACAGCTTGTTCTTTAATGAATGGAAGAGTGACTTTTTTATAAACATCTGGTGTTTCCGCCACTAAGTAAAATTGTTGAGCTGAATATTTTTTGACATGTTTTTCAGTAGCTGGATATATCAGTGTATTCTTCACAAAATTGATTTCTTCTGGAAACTTGCAAAGAAGTTGAGAGTAAATATCATTGTTAAATTGCACTTTCATCTGACCATCACTGGAAAGAATCTTGTCAATCATGGTATTAGAAAATGGGGTCTTTTCAAGAATAGACACAGCATCTTTATGCTCAATTTTATCTAAACAAAGGAATAAAGACAATCAGCATGTGGGACAATCAGAATTTACACTATTAAAGGTTAGAAATCAACCCCAATTCAATAGATTTGACCCCATCTATGGCTAACATTTCGAACTCGAAGCTCACTTCAAATTCTTGAGAATAACACTTTTAGATGTGCCAGAATGATACGACGGATAGACTGGTATTTTATTCATAATTTTTTATTGATTGATATGTATTCGTAGCACAACTGTACAAAACTACTGACCTTGCAAATGCAAAATTATTGTTTTATTCCTAGCATTCTCTGAAAGAACTTTCACCAATTTGAAATCACTCATTGCACCATGCTTCACTTTCTTAGAGCTTTTATTCTCAATTTCGCCAACCAATGATCTTTTTTGTGAGCTATTGACCTGATCATTGATCTTATCACTCCTGGCTTCCGCCATGTTTAACTTCCCTGTTATAGTACTTCATGTGCGCGCGGAGCAAAACAAATTACCATAATTTTGAGGAACCAGATTACCAGAGGGCGCAGAAGTCAGAAAGGCTAAGGTTCTACGTGAATGAACGTGAAAGCCGCTCCAGAAAACGTGATGAAACTCGTTTATATGTTGCACTTCGGTTTCGTCGAAAACAGTAAGACAATTGATTAGATGCTCACAGCTCAGCCTCCATAATTACTATCGTTTCTCCGTTCTGATGCAACCGATATGTGACGCCAAAAGCAGATAAATACAACTTTAATGTAAGATCCCAAGCATATAGAGTCCACTGATCCCAAGTAAAGTGAGAGATAGTCATTTCAGCAGGCAATAGGTTTATTTCATGAGTTTCGTCTACTTCCATAAAGCAACTGACAGTACTTGATATAAATATAAATTTTTGAAATTAGCCTGCACTATCTGTTTATTCACATTTAGTATAAAGTTCATGGATTTTAGAAAGTTAAAAATTTTCTTTGTCACAAACTAGCTGACTAGCAGTAGTCTGTGTACAACTGCATAGAAACTGCATATAAATGTTTATTTATCAAAATATATTTGAAATATTTTTTAAAAAGTTTTCATCATTGTCTTCTTCTAATTCAGAAAAAGATATGCATTGCTGGTCTCCCTCACATATTTTCTTGTTTTGAGAAACCTCCAGGTTCTTGTCATCATTACTTAGTTCTCTTCCTTTTTCCATAACATAGAAAAAATAGTGAAAGTAATAGCCAAAGATATTTGTTGTAATTGACCAGTTATACTCAGACTTAGCAAGGTACAGCTTCCTGAAGTGTGGCTGTGAAAATGCCACAGATATAAAACGCCCTCCAATCTTTAGGATCTGAGAAATCTGTAGGAAAAAATGTAAAGGTTTTCAATTTCAAATAAAGCTAGGATTAGGGACAACCAATCTGAGAAACCAAATTAAGTTTTAGTTTTTTCCTATCCATTAATCATATTACTAAAATGTTTGCTGGTACATGTTGTTAAGAAACTTACATTAATTCAATAATTTTTATCTATTTAGCTTTCAGCTAATATAATTGGCAATGGTGGGCAATTTTGAATAGTTTCATACCTGTAAAAGAACAGTATGCATAAACTTGCGGCTATGTTCTGATGGGTTCCATAAATTTTTCTCGTCCACTAGGAAAGTATCTAAAGTTCCCTTCTCTATAATAACATCAAATGAATTCTTATCGAAAGTCATTTTTGTAATATCCATTTGCAAATATTCCATTCCAATAAGTTCTTGATGTTTTTGCCTCATTTTCTCAATAACAACTGGGGAATAGTCGATATTCACAATATTTGTATATCCATCATTATACATTTCTTCACTTAACCTACTATTACCACAACCTAACATTAAAATTCTATCACATTTTCTAACATGTTGGATTGTTAAGTGCCTAAAATCACAGTAGCTTTTACACCATTCAAAATTGTCTTCAACAGCGAACCTTTTGTTCCAATATTCTTTTAGCATATAGGTTTCACTACTGTCTGGTAAATCCATGATGATAACTAACCCAATGTACCACAATAGAAAAAACTGTAAGTAAAAACCGGCCGGAATAACGAATGAGATTACTATGATTACGATTTATTTATAAAATTATTAGAAGTAAATGGTAAATACCACTGCCCAGGGTGCAAAGTGAGCCCGCTACCCAAATCTATCGTTTTAAAACCTGTTGACTTTTGAGGCCTGCCTAAAAGAAAAAAGCAGCGAAAACAAGTGACAGAAGATCCAAAATCATCCTAGATTCGCTTAAGATGAATGCTGTGGCCATGGTTGACGTTTGACTGTTTATTTCACAATTTCCTCCGTGGTGGCGAGCTCATCATTATCAGGCGCGAAAAATACTTATCAGGCCCGAGAATATCATTATCAGGCGCGAAAATGCAACGAGCGTCTTGCCCTTGAATTGAAGTTTAATAGATAGGGAGCACATTTGGGAGCTAGGGTGTGTCAAGTATACACGTACATAAATAATCGCACCGCGCCATTGCTATCTCCACTTGCGTGCGTATGCGCACGTAAAGTTAATATTTTCTAAGACTGAGTTTTTCTATGCCAGCAAAAACATCTCCATCAAATATTTTTTTGGTTTTATAAGTATCATTCATTTAAACCTTTTACGTGGCACGTGTGCGTATAGTAAAAAAAACGGGAAAGTGCTAGTGGATTGAGTGAAAATCCGCCCTTTTTCGTCGTGTTTACATCGTCTTTGACGCTGCCATCCTATATCTGCTTAATAGCCGTGCAGGATAACAGAACAATTCTCAATTCCTGGCTACATCAGGCCTACCAAATGCTTTCCGTGCAGCATAGCGTGATCCGCTATGCACGGGAAACGTGGCGCCGGATTTGCTGTCGGCGTCTTGGCGAATGAAATGTATTCTGACCCTTCTAAAAACTCGAGCAGCATCTCAAGGGCATAGATCATGCAATCTCGCACGGGATACGTTTTTTAAGAAATTTACCAGAGTGAAACAACGGACCTTTTTAAAATTCCGCGCGTGAAGTAGATTTATCACCCTCAAGGCCTAAATCCATATTCTTATTTCTACTTTTTAGTTAGACCAAGCCGAATATTCTCTAATTTAATTGGTTTGATCAAGTCGAAAGCATCGCATAATGATAGGTTCCCAAAACGTCGCTTTTTGGAAAAGGCGATCGGATTATATCATATAGATATATATATCGTAATTAAAAAAAATTGTATGTTTGTATATATGTATGTCTCTTTGGTGACGGTAACTTTACCTACTATACCGACTAATCCAGCCTAGCCGCTAATTCTGTAGAAAAGTCAGAGAAATACATAGAGAAAAGCGCACTTTCCATAATTTATAATTAGCTAAACTTAAATTCTCCTCTCCCACAAAGCAAGGTTTTATTCAAATTTCACATCTGCATGAAATCCCTCCTACTAGTAATTGGTTAATCCCTAGCAGGAGGTATCAAGTTTCACAATGTAATAGATCAAGATGATGAAAGAGAACCTTCACGACATCACAGCAACAAAGGGTATATAATATGTGGCGCAGAACTTTTGAGATTCACTTAATTAAGGATTTATACAAATATGATCGCTAATTCTGTTTCATCGCCACCAGAACAATCAACAGACCACTCTACCATGTACTCTACTACACAAACACGCATACGAGTTATTGAACAGACAAATGGACAGATAATTCAGCCTGTAGACGTTGGTACAACATCAAATGAAATATCAAATGAGGTAAAAGATAAAACAGAAATATTTAACATCAAGTTTGAGAACAAAATGAATAATGGTGTAATGGCTGATGCAACAAAATTTGATCAGTGTGAGCATTGTGTGAGCGATTGTGAGACAGACCAAAATATAAACACTGTCATCACGGAGACAGATGAGACTGGTATGGCCTGTGTGGGCGCTTTAGACAATAGTGGTAACTTTTAGAAGATTGCTCGCCACAAAAACGTCGAGAGAAAAGACAGAAAAGAAAAAAACGAAAATCTCTGATGGAAATCTTATTTGTGTGACACGCAGCGTTGCTTGGGATATTTAATTTTCAAGAGAGACCGAGAGACCACAGAATAGTACCCCCCGGAAAACCATCAGATTTTTTGCCTTCAATATACCCAAGGAATTTCTTCATTAGATATTGACGCACATTTCACCTATCATTTTAATAATTTAATAGGATCGGATGTTGAACAACTAAGAACTAACCATGAGAGCATTGTTGGCAAAATGACAATGTTTTTTTATGGATGTACAAAAAATAATGGAATATAACTTTCGATTTCTCATTTTTAGGTCAATTTTTTTATAAAAGTTATGACAATCATTGTATGGTTTAAAAGTATTCATTTTGAAAAGTTTTTTAATAGTTTAAGGGTCCATAGAGTTTGTCGAGCCAGACAGACGAAATTATAGAGTTGATATGCCAGCTTTTGGTTTCTACGTCCATGTGCTAAAAGACTGCCAGGCATCAGAGTAACATTTGACAAAGACTGATATTTATTCAGATATTGGTTCGGTTAATCAACTACTATACAAGACTGATATTTTACTGATATTGATACAGTGATACTGGCTATCTTTAATAATAACCACAGTTACCATACTTTATCTTTACTTCATTTTGGGCATTTCTTGGGTATTGATTTCATTTATTGATGTATCGCTGGTTTGTGATCTTTGTCAACAGCTGAAGAAAGGACTATTTTTCCGAGACATTGAACCAAAGGATATGGGGTTCCGAGCATTAACCTTATCAACTATTAACTATTTTAAAGCTAGATAATAGTGTACTATATAAAATTCGTTACGCTGAAATAATTTGAAAGCGGAATCCTTGAAGGAAGCTATATACGCTAGCTTTTGCCATTCTCTGATTGGCTGGGGATGCTCACAATGAAACGAAATTTGAGTTCAGTTTATGGACATGTACAGTCCAATTACACTCCACTGTTTGTTTTAAAGCAATGATTGCATTTTCTACTGTAAATATTTTGTTTGTATAATGAAAACTCCATTATCCTTAATTATGTTGTAAATCCAGTAATAGGATATTAAAATCGTGTCTATACACCAGCGTATAACTATAAGTCATAAATCAACTGATTCAACTCAGTTCGATACTAATATCTGATTTGCAAATGCGAATGGAGAGGAACTATATTACTTTTTATTAGGATTAGAAAATCTGAAAATTCAATTGAATATCGAATTGAATATGGAGAAACGTCATCGAGGGTCTCACCGATAGTGTGCTGGATAGTTTCAGAAAAAAAGATCACACGATAATATCAGTCTATCAGATTTTGCATATATGCACGGTAGATCATGGAAATCTGAAACACCATAACCATGTATAAATGTTCGAAGCCTTTGCATATGATTTGAGTATTACACGTGTACACGGAAATTCAAAATATTTAGCTATTCCTATAAGGCTTTATTCTGTCTATCACACATCTGCTTGTACATATAAAACAATCAAAAATATGTCAAGTTAAATTCAAAATAATCCCATATAAATTGTCTTAAACAAAAGAATGCTTTTTATATGGCAATACGTAATACGTTTCAAGTAAACAAATAGTTTCAAGCATTGACAATGGATTAAGTTAGATTACCAAAACCTGACCCCTACTACGAAAAGAATAGAATGGATTCCAGGCGTAAGGCATTATCATTATCCTTTTTTTAATAACCTCAAGCGAATTTGATTCAGAGTGTGAAGGAATGTTTCGTTTATTTATTTATGGTATGTTTAATTCCTTCTCAAATCGGCTGCAATATTTTCACTATTTTTAAAATTATTTTCATCAATCAATGGACGGGAACTTGGAGATGTCTGTTGGTTCAGTTACGGGCTCATTTCAAAGAGTCACCACTGAGGCACTGACCATTACTTTAGCCTAAATCTTCTTAATTTTTTTGTTTCTAATATCTGCGTTTGGCAAAATGATCAAAATATATGTCACAATCGGGCTTGCTAATGAACGAATTGAGGTCATTTTTCTCGTAATTTGCCAAATTTTGAATTCATGCCATGACTGAGTGAGTCATTCCGTTTGTGAGTCACGAAAATATCGTTGTTTATAAATCGCGTGGTGTTTGTTTGTATATTCGGTTTTCGTCATTCATCGTTAATAAAACACAGACAGACACAATAACCGTACAATTAAGTGATGATTTGCAGGATTTTTCATTTATGTTCACAGTTCAGTTCACTGGCTGCTGCCACTAGCTCATGCAGTGAAAACTGCTAAAAAACGCTCACGTTGTTCCAACTAGTGAGGCTGCACCTCATAACGGCCATAATTATGAAAAACATTGTCTTTTTATTTCACATGATGTTGCATTTTTCACTATAAACTATGTATTCCGCAGTGTTCCTGGAATTTTTTATAATACTGAACAAGATCTGAAGATATTCTTGGTTTGACGGTTTGCAAAGCTTGAAGGAAATGTTCATGTTTAACATTCATTGCATTAATGTCATCTTGCAGAGCAGCTAATGCCGCCTCACGACATATCGCTGTTATTTCAGCCCCAGAATACCCCTCCGTTTGAGCAATAATGTCATCGATATTCACCCCAGGATCGAGTGGTGTATCTCGTAAATGAATATTAAATATCTCCTTTCTTGTTTCGGGATCTGGTAACGGGATATATATAATACGATCAATGCGACCTGGTCGCATTAAAGCTTTATCAATGACATCAGGTCTGTTTGTAGCTGCAACTAACGTTACATCATTCAGCGTTTCGACACCATCAAGTTCTGTTAGAAGTTGTGTTAAAACACGTTCAGATACATTAGATACATCAGCATCACCGCCTCCACGTTGGCTTGCTACGGCATCGATCTCGTCAAAAAACACAACACACGGAGCGGCTGTGCGTGCTTTATGAAACACCTGAAAAATATTGAATTTTATTAGAAATGTTTTTCAACGATGGTGTACTGATTTAGTTAACACCTAATCTCTTAGGCTTAGGCTTGAAGGAGGATGATTTTATTTAATTATATAGTAAATGCACCCAAATATTCTCCTGCTAAGAATTAATTTCATTAATATGCTGCATAATATACCTGTCGTATTGCCTTCTCTGATTCTCCAACCCACTTACTAAATATCTCGGGACCTTTCACCGCAATAAAATTTAATCCACTTTCGGTTGCTAATGCTTTAGCAATAAGAGTCTTACTGCAGCCTGGTGGGCCATACATGAGAATACCTTTAGGCGGATCGATATTCATACGAGTGAATGCCTAGGAGAAGACGATCAGGTAAAATCAGTCTTAGAAGACAAGTGATGAAAATTATCTCTAGCTGTTGTATCTACACACCTCGGGATGTTTGAGGGGCCATTCGATTGCTTGTTTCAACTTCTGTTTTACTGTTGCGTTCCCTCCGATGTCATTCCAATACACCTAAACATGCAAAGTGATAAACATTTTGTTTTCGGCAAATGACAGTCTGTGAAAGATAAACCACAGCATGGAAGAGACTACACTCGACATGCAAGGACGTTAGATTTAGTTGTATGGGTATTGATAATCTTGAGTACTGGTAACTCACATTTCAGGATTTACCTTAGGCACATCAATGGCAACTTCTCTCAAACCACTAGGTCGCACATGTTGGAAGGCTTCTTTGCAGTCATCAATTAAAATGACAAACTGTTTGTTTTGTTCAGACTCGTCATAACTCTTTGGTAGAGAGACATTCGGAAGATTTCTTTTCAATGCAATAATGCTTGCTTCCTTGACAACAGCCATAAGATCCGCTCCAACATACCCATGTGCATTATCAGCGAACCTGAAGATAAAGAAGAGTAATTCTTCCAAACATAACAGCTTCAGTTGTCGGGATGCATGAGTAAAAAGCTGAATACGTTTCTTTCAATGGGGCCCATCATCATCCAAGCAAAGCTCTAATGTATTGACTCACATTATAATTTCATCATTTGACAAACAATGTGGTATTTTCTTCAACAGTTTGGAAAGAATGTCAGCTCTTTCGCTTGCTTTCGGGATCCCAAATTCTATTTCTTTCTCAAATCTTCCAGGACGACGCAAAGCTGAGTCTAGGGAATCTGGACGATTGCTCGCAGCCAAAACAAATACACTTGACGCTGATGGCTACACATGCAATCAATATAAAAACATCAAAAATGAAATAGTTCATTAAGACGCTATCTTCAGTTAACATTTCGGTGACGGAAATAATTTCGAAAACGGTAATACCTTTGTCGGCCTATTTTTACAAAAGTATTTTTTAGGTCATAAAGGCACGGGAGTGTAAAATAACCAGGCATTGGACTAGTCCTACATGAAGCCACTACCAATCATGAAAGGAAATATGAATTGTATATTATACTATAACTACAACTAAAACTCACTTTAGTTAAGCCATCCATTAAAGTAAGTAAGGTAGCAACTATTCTCTTTTCAAACTCATTCTGAAGTTTGTCACGTTTTGGACACAGAGCATCAAGTTCATCAATGAATATAATTGATGGAGCGTTGCGCTCGGCATCAAGAAAAATATTTCGTAACTTTGCTTCACTTTCACCATAATACCTGTCACGACAAAAAGACGTACAACTGTATAAATACTAGACCACAAAAATGTGTATTGCGATTAGCGGGACTTTCTCTACAGACCGTTGCAATCAATTAATTCTTCAGACTTCAGTTGTGTCACATTCTGTCATATTTATGCATGGTCCTTTTTAGAATATCGGTAGTATTGGTAATAGAGTACCTGTCCAATACTCTTTGCTGTACACAACATTTTTGCCCAACTTACCGACTGAGAATGTCTGGCCCGTTAATCGTAATACAGTGTACACCCGACTCGCTCATGACCGTCCTTGCTAGAAGTGATTTTCCTGTACCTGATTGACCAAAGAGCAGGGCACCACGTGGAGGAGTTAAGCCTACAAATATGTGGACAGTAAGATGCACAAATCTTATCAGACCTTACTTCTACAGTGTATATTAAAATTAGTTGGCAAAATGAAACATGATATGTGGCTACTTTTAATACTTTCACTATACTAGACTCACCATACGATTGAAACACGTGAGGCGACTTGATTGATAACTCTACCATTTCTTTTAACGTTCGTATTTGCTTATCAAGTCCTCCTACCGAATCATACGTCAGTTTCTCGTTAATAACTTGTTCAGGCTTGTCCTTCCCGTCCGCTGATTGGGTAATAATGACTTTAGTAGCTGCAGCGGTGATGTAATATGCTACTGTTTCAGATGGACAACAAGAACAAGATATGTCGTAGGAATTGTTCGATGATTCTTGATTTGCCTTAACAGGCGTTGATGTTAACATGACATCAGAACAATTCTGATTATCAGCGGTATCTTGACGGATAGACTCATCACAAAAACTGTAGTAGGTAGACATACTGTCACCGTCAATATTTGAAACTTCAGTTTTGTTGCTCACAAATGAATAACTCGTGTCACAAGAATTATCGATACATTTTGAAATATTTCCGTTGCTATTGCTTATATTTAGAGTTGCCAAATCCTTAGCAAGAAATTCATCAAGATTCTCAATTGATTGTTCATATGTCCCAAGATCCCCTTCAACCGAAGTCACATAAAACTGCTTCATTTGGCCATAATGTGGAATATCAATTACTTCACCAGGATAAACAAACGCGTTTTCTAGAAAAGTAAAGATCGGTTCCCTAATTTCTTTAATAACGTAATACAAAACACGAAAAACACACAAAAACAGACTAACCTAAATAGAACGAAGAGTATTGCAAAAATTGTGGCGATATCTCAAATTCTGATGGGTCACTATACAAAAAGCAAAAATCATTGTCCATAATGTCGATTGATGACAAGATTTTCGATTAAATGGTATGGTAATATGGTTGCATATTTGAGGAAATAGGGCGTCCATCGCTCTACAATTTTGTGCACATTCAACTCCGATAAAAATAGTTGAAATTACCAAGAAGCAAGTAGAACTTTATTTGCATGGGATGATATACCAAGCATACCATGAAGAACCACCATATCATCGTCTGTCACCTGAAGCATAAACGATCAAAAAACTCATTTGCCAGTGGAAAACCCGATAAGGTGCTCATCAGGGTATTCATGTAATAAAGGTGTCACTTGTGTTATTTAGTTCTGTTCTTCGGGATAACCTTCAAAGTTCACCAAGAGAGAGTCTTGCCGTATTTTGCGAAATTTCCAGGTTAAACCATTTTTAGCGTCATTTACTCAAGCAATTTCCGTGCATTTACACGATGTCATTTTGGTCTCAATCACCTTGAAATTGGTTGATACTGATTCGTGAATGCCAACGCCTAGATTATTGAAAACGTAACTTTTAGCATTTGTACGTCGTTCTCAGTCCTTCACAATTAATTTAATTTCCTTCACAGGTAATTTATTCAATCAGTACTAATTCTGATCTATATATAGCTATGCCTATGAGGGGGAAGATTCGGTTTTAAGTATCAAAGAGTTTAATTATCACCTAATCAGTAATATGCATAAAAAATTACACACTTACGGTCTAATTGTATATGTGACGATGGCCATATTTTTCTGACAATCTAACATAAAAGAACAACAGCAAATTTTGCATTCAAAAAAACACTTTGCCTTTTTTCATTCTCTGTATTAATCAACTTGAAAATCTCCTGTAAATCTCCCGTACAAATTCACTATTTGCATTTGAGTTTTAGGAGGTCTAAATGGGTTGTTTGTCCGCAGGGTATTCAATTATTTCTATGAGTTCAATGTCAATAATATGAACTTACATGTTTGTTGTTTAGATGTACAGAAACCAAAGACCCTAAATGTAAGCCCAGAGCTTTTATTGTAGATGTATTGAGTATGACAAAGTTTCGTTTTTCATTTAGTAGTTTTTCATCTGGAACAGTAAAAAAATGGATTTTTGTGTTATTTGAGGTATTGCTCACTTTGCTGACAGCTAGTTCACATGTAAACTAATACACTCATTTACTCTTCCTGAGAATTCCAGTTTGACCTACATATTCAAGATTCAGGTAAAGGTTTCTCCTTACCATACTGATTAAGCTACTTGATTAAGGACAAAGCTTAATTAACTGATCATGCATGGAGACATCAACTCTATCAGTGTCTCTTTTGTGCCTTCATCCTCAAAAGGGTCTGACCCTTTTTGACTCACAGATACTCCGTAGGAGTAAAACTTGTTTATCTGGTCATTTACTAGCCAACAATTAATTGGCTATCAATGCATTTGTGAGTCGTCTCATTGAGACCTTTGATTAATCCTCCCCAGGCCAATGTTTCAATCTGGACCCATTCAATGTGATATCAGCATGACTAATGACATTGCATGCCCAGGGGCCACCTATATGGTAGGGCTCACTTAGAACCTAGGTGCCTCTGGTTGACACTGAGCAAATAGGTATTCAAATTTTAAGCCTGTGGACTGTTTTAAATAGGCTTTTATAGTCTTTCACTTCTGGTTCCTAGCAAGCAGTAATTAATCAACATACTTTTCATGGATGCTGTTTTCAATATTTTTCCATAGAGAAGCCCTTTACTTATAAAACCAGACTGGAACTTGCTAGACAATTCAGTATTTCCATATTTCTCTCCTGGAATACACATGCTTTCATGTTGATTAAATAATTTCCTGGGAAAGAATCTTTTACATTTGCTGCATTTCATCCAGTCATCCTGCTTTTTACCAGACATCTTTAGGAATGTGTAAGATGAAAGATGGAAGAAAATATGAACATAAATTCAGAATAATAAAAGTAAAACAATAGAAGAAGATAAAAAATTAAAATGTAAGTAGAAATGATCAATTTAAAATTTGAAATAAAAGAAAGGAAAAAAGAGGAAATAAGAAGGGAATAAATAGACGGAAAGAAATGGAATTTCCTTCGAAGAAAAACCGCTGCTGCATGGACTGCTTATGCGTCACTAGACAACTCCGGTCTAACCCGACCACAATCTTCGCAATCTTCTCGTACAATCTTCGCCATTCTTCGGTCACCTTGAGAATTACGCGCCATCTTTGTTCTCCAGTCAAAAGCAGTTGAAGGCACGTGAAGAAGTTCAGAAAAGCCAAAAAAATGCCGTCAGAGGAAGATATTTCAAGTGAAAGCAGTGCTGAGTCAAGTGATGAACAGGTAAGGTACAAGCCTATGTTTCTAGTTGATAGAAAGTGTAGGAGGAAATTTTTTCGTTACAACGCGGATAGCAAATGGCGACATACAAAATGTACGCGATACGCGCCAAATATAAACAAGGATCAGTTTACTTTCCTAAACATCAAATTTCATGAAAAGCATCGCCAAAACTGCTCAGAACATTATTTTTTTTGCATAGTTTTGGTTTAAATAACGGTAGTTTCATAATATTCAGTGATATATTTTTAAACGGATAAAGGTTGGCTGAGGGGCTGATTACCTTGGGTCTTTAATATGTTAAACTTCAGGCCTGCGGTTGAGAATTCCTGTAAGTGAACGTCCATAAGAAAGTTGTTAACATGGCCAGGGAAACAAGAATTAAAGAATTATACATTTATACTGCTTGCTTTCTGCATTTTGGCACAATTATAACCTTACTCTTCCAATGCTATGTTTACTGCCTATAAAGTTTACCCAGAAGCAAATAAGTAAACCAAGCTTATTGAATTTTATTTCACAATTTAGTCAGTGGAGAAGAATGACGAAGCATATGAGGAGAAGAAACCGGGTACATCAAAAACTGGCAGAAAAGCACAGATAGCACCAGAAGCATCAAAAGGTTATGAGGAAAAAATTGTAAGTCTTCAAAATGTACAACAACATGCATCCAGGGTTTAATGGGCAGATCATCTGCATGTGGTGTGAGCTGACTCAACTTGGTGATTTTTCTGATGTATGAATTGATTTTGAAAATTTAGGAAAAAGATCGTGCGACAAGGTTCAACTTCCTTCTAGCCAAGACGGAGATTTTTTCTCATTTTATGAATCCCACAAGTGGAAAAAAACCAAAAAGTCCTTTAAAGATGAAAGCACCAGATTTTCCATCTCCTGGCAAAAAGACATCTGATGCTGGAGAGTGAGTCAATTATTGAACATCTAGCATCATTTGATATTATTACATAAGTCTATGTAGTCTGCTAATGCCCTCTAAAGGCCAGTCGGTTACTAGCCTCCAGACCAGGTAGTTACCAGCTCCCTGACCAGGCGTTACTAGCAACCTAATCAGGTAGTTACTAGCCCCCTGACTAGGCAGTCTCTAGACCCCTGATCAGGTAGTTATTAGCCCCCTGATCAGATAGTTGCTTGCTTCCTGACCAGGAATTACTAGCACCCTAATCAGGTAGTTACTAGCCCCCTGACAAGACATTACCAGCACCCTAATGAGGTAGTTACTAGCCCCTTGATGAAGGGCTAGTAGCTACCTAATCAAGCAGCTAGTCATCAAGGAAACTGGCTGACCATTGTTCAAACATGTTGTAGTCATCGCCACCGTCATACTGAACAAGAAGAGGATGCTGAATTACTGGAGCAATCTAAGCATCAAAAAGCCATTGTCCACTTTGAACAATCACCTTCATGTAAGTAATATATTCATTCTTATGGTGGGAACAGACAACCATGGCATGCAGTGCCGAGGGAGGTATATGTCCCTATTAGTTTACAGCTTAGTATATCAGCTACGCAAAAACTGTCCTCTCCGAGTTTATTGTTTCTTCATTCTCTATGGTTTTTTGCTTGTTGATGCTTTCATATAAATTTGCAACATTTTCAGTTATTAAGAATGGTGAGATGAGAGATTATCAGATTCGTGGCTTAAATTGGATGATATCATTGTTTGAAAATGGCATTAATGGAATTCTTGCTGATGAAATGGTACTAAAATAAAATTAACATGATATGTTTTGCTATATATGGTTTGCTATAGTTCTAAATGAAATAAACCATGATTTCATTAGGAATGATCATCATCCTTTTTCATTGATAATTCCTCCGACCCTGCATAGCAAAATAGGGTATTGTTTTGCCAATCACCTCCCACTAATAAATTATTTCATTTGCTATTAGGGTTTGGGAAAGACTCTTCAGACCATTTCTTTGCTTGGATACTTGAAAGTATTTCGTGATGCTGCAGGTCCCCATTTGGTTATCGTCCCAAAGTCAACATTGGCCAATTGGATGTCAGAATTCAAGCGATGGTGTCCAGCAATTAATGCAGTCTGTCTCATTGGATCACGTGATGAAAGGGTAAGAAATCTTACTACCCTTCTGGTTCCCCCAAAAGAAATTGATTTAATTCTACAGGAGGGTGCAGAGTTTGGTAGCCTTATCAAGTCCCAGTTGTGAACCTGATATATTGTGTTAAGTCCAATAACACAATATTAGGAGACAGAGACGAAGCGTATCTATATCCTGCCCCTGGCTTTAGGATCGAGGGTGTTTTTTAACCAGCTAAAAGCTTATCGTGCATGTTGATGTTTTGTTTGCAGGTTGCGTTCATCAGAGATGTTATGTTACCTGGGGAGTGGGATGTATGTGTGACCTCATATGAGATGTGTATCAGAGAGAAAAGTGTTTTCAAGAAATTCTCCTGGAGATATGTGGTCATTGATGAGGCTCACAGAATAAAAAATGAGAAATCAAAGGTGCTGTAGAGAATCAGTTATTTGTCGTATACTCTATGCTTGCGGTGACTGACTATGTTGTAATCTATAATTCATAATTTAACTTCCAGACTTTTGTAAACAAATTGTTTTAACAAAACAAACTTCTATGTTTATTAGTTATCCGAGATGGTGAGAGAAATCAGATCACAGAATAGATTATTATTGACTGGAACGCCATTACAGAACAATCTTCATGAACTTTGGGCATTGTTAAACTTTTTACTTCCGGATGTATTCAGTTCAGCAGAGGTATAGGATACTAACTTGTGTTGTTCTCCTCATTACTTGTGGGTTGTTTAATTCTTATTTTTTTCTGTATCAGTACCTTTGTTTTGTCACTTGCGTTATTCGTATTTTAATAACATTGTTTTCAAACACAATCATCTTATTAGGATTTCGATGCGTGGTTCAATTCCAATAATCTTGTTGAAGAGAAGCAACTTGTTGACAGACTTCATTCGGTGCGTAAGAGTTTAAAAACATTCTTTCATTGAAATTCCATCCAGTTGCCTAGATACTTTGTAACATTCTGCCTTTTATATGAAAAATATTAAATGCTTTGTAGAAATATTAACTGATATTTAAAAGGTAAATGTTTAGGTGAAAGGATGTTATAACTAGTTGCATACACCAACTGATTAAGGATAAACGTTTAGGTTCTGAGACCGTTCTTGTTACGACGTCTTAAAGCTGATGTCGAAAAAGGACTTCTGCCAAAGAAAGAGACGAAGATTTACGTTGGACTCACGAAAATGCAGAGATCTTGGTGAGACATCATTGTTGTCGCCCTACTTGTGCATTAGGGTCTAGTTTTTCCATTTTCCGGTTCATGGCTAATACACCATCAGGCCGCATAGTGTTTATATTATCGTGACCTGGGACCGGTTGTACGAAAGCTGGAAAGCGCTATCAACCGGTTAATGTTTTTTGCAAACGCTCCAAAATTGCTGTTGTCTGAAAAAACCTAGATGAAATCTTATAGTATATTTGCATTACGGGTTCTCTTTCATAACTGTTGTAAACGGTGGGAAAATTCACTCCAATCATTACGTGTATATCTGCTTTGGGTTTCCAGGTATACGAATATCTTAATGAAAGACATTGACATCGTGAACGGTGCTGGAAAGACTGACAAGATGCGGTTACTGAATATTTTGATGCAGCTAAGAAAATGTTGTAATCATCCGTATCTCTTTGATGGTGCAGAACCAGGTATTGCGTTACGTGAATGAAAAACAACTTCGACAGCAAAGTTTCCATAAATTCTTCATATATATACGCCTTATAACTAAGTGTTCATTAGGCCTGCTGCCTCAACAAAAAGTATGATTTCATGCATTAGCTTTAACAATACGAAAACCGTTCCTAGTAGTAGCTATGTAGTAACTATTTACGTAGGGAAAAAAATTCTCTTAAATCTATAAAAACAGTCCCCATTATGATCAGGATTGAAGACGTTCCCCCAAAGTGGCCATTGCCAGTAATTTCCAGTTGAAAAATTATTTTTACTAAATTACTTTAACTAGTCCAGCAAAAGCTATTCATAATTTAAAGAAACTTTTGTGTTGATTTATTTAAGCATTTAAACGGATATTTTCGTGCAAAATTATAAAATGTATGCTTGGTTTCCAGGATTGTGTATTATAACTTTCAGTCGCTCAGAAAGTGTAATTTCAGTGCATGCAGCTAATTGTATTAATATTGTAATTTGTAGGTCCACCATACACTACAGATCAGCATTTAGTGGACAACTCTGGTAAACTTCGTGTTCTTGATAAACTGTTGCCTAAACTGCAAGAGCAAGGCTCCCGTGTGCTGATATTTAGCCAAATGACCAGAGTATTGGACATTTTAGAAGATTATTGCTTGTGGAAACAATATCATTACTGCCGTCTGGATGGTCAAACACCACACGAGGAAAGACAAGAGTCCATAAATGATTACAATATGCCTAATAGTGAGAAGTTTATTTTTATGTTAAGTACCCGAGCTGGTGGACTGGGTATTAATCTAGCGACAGCTGATATTGTTATACTGTTCGATAGTGATTGGAATCCACAAGTTGACCTGCAAGCTATGGTACGTGCTGTATGTAATACTAGTGGTCAGAAATACCTTTTTTGTCTTCTCCTATGGGATCAATTTGTCGTCGTTGATTCAAGAGGAGCAAAATTTGAAATCAGATCTTGTGCCTTTACGGAACACTATGCATTACATGTAATTTTTCTCACCATACAGGACCGTGCCCATCGTATTGGTCAAAAGAAACAAGTTCAGATCTTTCGCTTTATCACAGAGAGTACCGTTGAAGAACGTATCGTTGAAAGAGCAGAAATGAAGTTACGCCTTGATAATGTTGTTATTCAACAAGGTATGAATACCGCAACAGATTATCCAGGGTGCCACTGCCGATGTTGCTTTAATATCAGTTTAACGTTAATTGTACTTACGAACTCTTAATGTGAATGTATGCTATTGAAAACACCACAATTGAAGCAACCCTTTGAAACGCACCAACAAACCCTCTATCTAGACGAATATTGCGTTCCAATAACGTCTCTATACTGTTCGCTGATATACAAAACAGCTTTGTGCATGAATATATGCTGATGTGCTTTATTTTAGGGCGTTTGGTGGATCCTAATTTAAAAGTTGGTAAACAAGAAATGTTGAGCATGATTCGACATGGTGCGGACGAGGTTTTCGCTTCGAAAGATTGCGAAATAACTGATGAGGATATTGACGTGATCCTAAAGAGAGGTGCTGTCAAGGTGAGCAGATGAATTGCCTTTGCTGTTCTGTACTGTTACCTGCATGGTCACTAAATTAGAGAAACCATACTTTCATTATAAAAAGTTACCTAGTAATTTCTTTCTGCCTCACATACATTGTATGTTGATGAAGCAAATTGACCCTTTCGTTGGTGGATTCATTTGATTTTATATAAATTTTAACATTCATTTTATAGACTGCTGAATTAGAGGAAAAAATGAAACAGTTTGGTGAAAGTACAGCAAAGAAACTCACTTTTGACTCTGTTCCGGTCGAAAGTATATTTCATTTTGAAGGAGAGAATTATAAAGAAAAACAAAAGGTATTTGCTGTGAGGTATAATTTATCTGCAGTTAAACTTGTGCTTTTCCTCTAACCTTTTCATTTATTTTAGTTTCCTGGCGTATCCCACTGGATTGAACCACCAAAACGGGAGCGCAAAGCCAACTATGCAGTCGATGCCTACTTTAGGGAGGCTCTTCGTATTACCGAGCCTAAAGCTCCCAAGGTATTTATCTTGGTTTTAAGTAGCGACCTTAAAATCTAATTTTGAAATAAATGTTGATGTTGATTCAGAAAAGACAATAGATTATTGTTTAGTGTACTAAAAGGTACACAACACCAAGTTCTTCAAACTTTATAACTACAATTTCCAGGCTCCTCGTCCACCGAAACAGCCCAACGTACAGGATTATCAGTTCTTCCCACCACGACTTTTCGAGTTATTGGACATGGAAATCTACGCTTTCAGAAAAAACATTGGGTACAAGGTACGCGTGTGAGAATCGAAGCATATTGTTTACCTCGGTGTAACATAATGGAGAAATATAACATTTTCCAGTAAAGTGAACATCAATCAGGTTGATAACGAATGTAGTTGTGGACTACCTCTAAGTTAATTATTCAAAAGGTCCAGTTAAACCTGAGTTACCGTTGCAACGGTTTAGTGACTGAAAGGTTGGTTGATTATCAGATTAAGTAAAAAAGTTGATCGAAGAGTCGAATGCCGAGTTTCAAAAATAATTGCTGCTTGTTACTCTGAAGGTACCACGTGACCCTGAAGATCCAAATGGTGCTCAGAATCAGAAGGAAGCTCAGAGAATGATCGATGAAGCTGAACCACTAACGGAAGAGGAGATTGCAGAAAAAGAAAAATTACTGGAAGAGGTCAGTAAAGAATCTCTCATGTTTTGTCTTTACCCTCTTAGGAAATATAGTTACTAAAAGATAGCAAAAACTCTAACCCTAAAATCAACTATTACAATTTATTTTATTATATATATTGTATGTTATTATGTCCCACGCAGGGTTTCACGAATTGGTCAAAGCGAGACTTCAATCAATATATCAAGGCATGTGAGAAATATGGTCGAGATGATATTGATAATATTGCACACGATATTGAAGGAAAAACACCTGAGGAGGTACGTGATCTTATACACTGTCTGCAGTCCAACATTTTGTACTTCCAACAACACTCTTAAGAAACTGAAGCATCTAGTTTTTCTACAATCTGACATGTTTTGGGCAAAAAGTACGATATGTTATGACCACACCCTTTAGCTAATGTACCACCCTCACTCTAGATCTTTTTGTTTGGCTGTATATTATGAATTAACTGTGAAATCATTAATAATATTTAGGTGCGTGCATATTATGAAGTGTTCTGGGAGCGAAAGGAAGAACTACAGGATTTGGAGAAGATAATGGCCCAGATTGAAAGGGGGGAGGCAAAAATACAAAGAAGAATTAGTATTAAGAAAGCACTTGATGCAAAGGTTAGAAAATCGTGTATTTTCAATAAAGACAGTGGCAATCTGGCGTATTTTGATGACGTGCTTGTAAATAATGTAGTAGAGAGATGTAACAGATATTTCAATGAGTTTTGCTCGTCGATTATTGCACTAGGGAATACAAGTTCTAAAAAATGTTTTCAATGTTTACAGATGGCAAGATATCGTTCACCGTTCCATCAATTGAGAATAGCATACGGTACAAATAAAGGAAAGAATTATACTGAAGAGGAAGACAGATTCTTGGTGAGTGTTACCACCAATTTAGGAATATAACTCGTAGAACTTTCACAGGAACCTGAGCGCAGTTTTTATAGACGCATTTTTCAAGTTCACCATGATGACTATGAGGGAGTCTTGGTGGGACGTGGTTTAGCTCGAGAAGAGAATACAAGAGAATTTCTTTCAAAAAAGTTCTAAATGTATGCTATCGGAAAAATAAATGCGAATAGACGTCGTAAAATAATTAGATAACGGAAGGTTTCAAGAGGAGTTTAAAAAATTCTAGAAAACAATAATTTAACATAGATCCCCGTATTTAACAGGAATGCATACAATGATCAGCTCATTTTCTACTTTACCGTTTCATATTCAGATTTGTATGCTTCATAAACTTGGCTTGGAAAAAGAAAATTCATACGATGAACTACGTATTGCGTGTAGAAGTGCTCCGCAATTTAGATTTGACTGGTTTTTAAAATCAAGAACCGCACAGGTGAGGAGATATCGGTTTGTTGCCCTGCTGTCTAGCATCAGAATACATTATAAAATACGTTTGTCTAAAAGTAATTGGGTGTCAGCAAACAAATGTTAGACCATAAAATCAGTGGACCCAGCAACCTTAACAAGTTAAATCGTTTCGTATTAAAACCTGCTTTCTGCTTTCTATTGTATTAAGGAACTTCAGCGAAGGTGCAATACGTTGATTACTTTGATTGAACGAGAAATGTTAGAGATTGAAGAAAAAGAGAAGAAAGAGCGAAAACGTGGTCAGAAACCTGGAAATACCAAGGTAATTCATGCAAACAGCTTTATGTTTTTGCGATAATACAACATCTAAACCACATTAGGTTTTTAGGGACTAAGCATCTCATGATTCTTTTTGTACGTCTTTTTTTACGTAGTAAGTTTCTTTTTTACAGACTCCTCAACAAAAGCGAAAAGCTGATGGCACACCAGATGGGCGAGGACGAAAGAAAAAGAAACAATAAAATGGTTATAGTAAAAACTTTCAAAGGGTCGTTCATGTTAATAAGGATCGTTAAATGTTAATAATTACGTGTACATACATTAGCTGAAATCGTTTTAGGGAGATTCACGCTTTATAGAATTTTACACTCGATTTGTACCTATAATGAATGGAAATATTTCAGAAACATGTGGTATACAGTATAAGTTTTATTGAAGAAACAGTACAGCAACAGGTTCAGTATTACCAGAATTAATAGTCGTGCTCTTTAATGATCTATTTACCTGCGCATAGGCTCGGCAAAGTTAGGAATTTTAACTGACCACAAATATAATTTTTCGTGTTAAAATGCCTCACAATTATTCCTTCTGTTTAGCCTTTTTTCGCCTTGTGGGAAATTACCCTGTTTTGTTGGCAACAAAATGGAAACTTGGAAATCCTTATTCAGTATATGGTTTGAAACGTTTACAAGTTTTAGCTAATGTTATTTATCTAAACTGCTGAAGTCTGACTCCCACACAACTCAGTAGAACACAAGTTTTATTTTTTAATTAACTTAGTCGTATTTATCTGCGTAATTTTGCTAATTCCTCAAGCCAATGCGATGAGTCCAGGTGCATTCATTATTCGTTTGTGGTTTGGTACAATGCATTGTACCAAACCACATGAAAATTGTGGTATTATCCCAAGACAACCCAACCGAGGATATCATTACTATTAATGAAACTTATTTTGAGTGTTGAGAATGATCACATGGGTGCAATGAGAATTTTTGACAGGAAAAGGACTGTAGGAGCATAGATGATGATCTCATATCAAAGTTCTTAAATCTTTCAGGAGAAAAACATGGAACTAAAATGGGAAAGCTAAATCTACACCCAGACCAGATAAAAACAAACACAGATTTATTATGGTATTTTTAATTCATAAACTGACAGTTTTATTACACTGATTCTAACACAGGAGGTTCAAACGAATCACGTTCAATTTTTGCTCCAGTTTCATCAGTGGTCACTGTCGTACTTCCACTTTCACCATGCATCTCCATCAACTTTCCAACTAAATGATGAAAAGAAAAATCCAAAGATATTTTAAAGACATGTTAAAGCAGCAAGGTGGATAGAGTGAGAATGAGAGTTCATAAAGCACTGTGATTAATAATTTATTATGATTACTGTATGTTAGAAGTTGCTCACCATCGAATTTTGGTTTCTTCAGGACTTTTACTTTGCGTATAAAAACATCATGAAGTGGGTATATAGATTGGCAAGCCTTTTCAATATCGCGCCCAATGCTGTCTGGAATTCTATACGAAAAATATATAAATATATGGTGAATTGCAAACCTTACTAGTTTACTTTTATAGATTTCTTCACAATAAAAAGTTCAAAGACCACTTACAGCTTGTTGACGACTTCCTTCAAATCATTTGTTCCCACTTCTTGTGTCATAATTTCAACCATTTTCTTTCTGATCAATTTGATCTGAGAATGCTTGGCATAAGATGTTTTCTTAATTTGGTTTGACCTTCTCTTAGTAAAACCAATACAGAACAACCTCAAGAGGTAACCATCTGTAGTTTTGACATCAACATTACCCTCAATTAATGTCTAGAAAATAAAGAAAATCTTTACTCATATGAAATTAAAATTGAAGTAGAACTATTTTGTGAAACAACAAACAACAAAAAATTGTTAACTTTGATTGTACAAACCTGCCATTTTTTGACTAATGATCTCAACTTATCAGTGGTCATATCCAAGCCATGAAAATTTGTCAAACATTGCTTTCCTTGCACATCCTCAACCATCAACTTAAATTTACGATAAGTCACCTCATCATCTTGGAGATCAGCAAGCGATACCTCAAATACACGTCCTTTCAGAGCATCAGATGCAATCTCTAGTAGGAAATATAAAAACCCCTTGTTACTTGCTATGATTTGATAGAGGTAACAGAGCTATATAACAGATAAGTATTGAGTTTTTAAAGGGGACTGGTTGTAGGCACTTTATAATAATCTATAATCCAAAAGTTTAGAAAATTATTAGAAAATTCAATGAATTTCCATTCCTTGAATACCATTCCTTGATACCAGTCCTAGTTGGTTAGAATGTTTCTACTGTGCAAGCCTTAAGTTGCATTTACTAGTTAATTCTGAAAAAATTAATATGTTTTCAACAAGTATTTTAGCTCTTTTACTTTAGTGTAAACATTTCCACAATAAATTTCTATATTATCTGTTATAAACTAACTTGTTCCAGTTGTTCTATTAACAACAGTCTTTCCTATTTGTCTCTTAAGAAACATAGACGGTGCTTTCACGTCATACCAATCTTTGCGGGTGAAAGGATCAACACTACAAGTTAAAAAAAGGAATAATCATAATTCTGGAGAATGTTACTGAAATAATCCAACCCATCTAAGCAACATCAAAGCTTCTCTAAGGCCACTCCGCCCGCTAGCGAAAAGATGGACATTAAAGTCAAAAGTTCTAATCTTATTTTTATCTTACATTTTCTTTTTCTGACCCTTTTTGCCTTTCGTTAGGCGCTTATTTTTGCCAACAACCATGTTGGATTTTGATGAAATAACAGAAGAGAAAGCAAGCCTCGTTCTCGTTCCCTTTACAGTATTAACCGCTGCCACAAGAAAAACGCATGTTCAAATATGCCAGTGAGCTCTATATATACTATGGAGTCAGCTTCTCATAACTTTTCTATTTTACTCTCCCTCTCAGTTTAGATACCCAACACCCACATAGGTGGGGAAAGCATCGCACGCCTTGACCATGTCAGGTTATTTTTAACTTTTAAATATTGATTTGATATTATAATTATGATAAATCGATGAACTTTACTTTTTAATTTATATTCACCATTTACTGGTACAAGTGCCTACTACTGCCCAGGCTTCTGCGCCATATGCGGGTTGAAAGTCAATATGGCGGCTAGTTAGTGTTTAGTGTCATTGAAGTAAATGGTTAGTGTTCGAAATCACTGTTTTGTTTTGTTTTTAAATAATATACCTAAATTCATTTTGAATGGAAGACGAAAATTCAAAACGCAAAAGAAGGAGGCGGAAGAAGAAAAAATCAAAATCACTCTTCGTAAAAACTTTAGGATTTGAGTCTAAAAACAAGGATAACAGTGTATCTCTATTGAAAAAGTACAATGTGACAAATTGTATAAAACCATTTATTGCTGGGACTCGTGCGAGTTCCCCACGTCAAAATATTAAAGACTCGAACCCAAAAGGAAACACGAGTAAAAAAAGGAAAGTGAAGTCTAAAAATCGTGTCTTTATAAACGACGTTGATACGCTGCGTCTTAGTAAGCATAGCAGTGGCAGCAATTGTTTAAAATATTCAGAGACGTCAAGTTTGAATCCAGAGGCTGTTGATGCAAAATTGAATACGTCTGTAGAAACATTTCCAGATAAAATGAGTAATACTCCAACCAAAAGAGTAAGCTTCAAAGAAAAACTACAGAAAAAACTAGAGTCTGGCAGATTCAGATGGATAAATGAAAAATTATATACCACAAATAGTTTATCTGCATTTAAAATGTTTAAATCAGAACCAGAATTATTTGATGTGTATCATAATGGATTTTCAAGTCAGATTCAGAAGTGGCCAGTTAATCCAGTTGACACAATGATAGATTGGATAAAGGAAAGGTAAGATCAAATTTCATCATTACTGCAACCTGTTTGCATGCATTTTTGACTTTATCACAGATGATGCGCTCTTTGAAATTTATTGACAATAGCAATAACTACAATCTAACAACTTTGCCAATTAGGCCTTAAACTCGCTATCATTGAAATATTCTGGGTCCAGTAGAGCTTTGAATCCATAATAATTTGATACCTTAAGTCAAATTTTGCCTGGTACTATTTATGGTAAGCTGAATCTCACTCCTATTGTCCTTAAGATCATTGTTAGTATAAGTCATGTTATTTTAATATAACTGATTTGGGAGTCACTGTATATACCAACATGTAATGACATACCATTCATATTTGCTTTTAGATCACCTCAATTAATTATTGCAGACATGGGTTGTGGTGAAGCTAAAATATCACAAAGTGTTCCAAATAAAGTGTTTTCCTTTGATTTTGTTGCAGTTAATAGTTTTGTAACTGAGTGTGACATGGCTAAGGTATACTTCATAGAATGTATTAGCCATCATGTCTATCATATTAATAACTATTACATGTAGTTTTACATTCCCAATCAGCGCTGGTGCCAAACTGTGTCAATTTAGGACAAATGTTTTCAAAATCATGCTACTAAAGAATTTGATGATTATTACTGTATGTTTCAATATTCTTGGTTACTATCTAGGTTCCTTTGGCAGATGGGAGTGTTGATGTTGTTATTTTCTGTTTATCATTAATGGGGACTAACCTTAATGAGTTTTTGAAAGAAGCTCACAGAATTCTGAAATCAAAGTGAGTGTACTAGAAGTTCTTCCCATTTTCATAAAGAGTGTTTAGTAAAACATTTACATATCAACCTCTATGCTTGGCTACTTGTCACCTTAGTTTCTTGTGTATTACTTAATTTAGATGACTTAATAGTTTCATTTATTTATAGTGGGATTTTAAAGATCGCTGAAGTTGTTAGCAGATTTGAAAGCTTGGGCAGTTTTGAAACAACAGTTTCTTGTCTTGGATTTAAACTCCTTATCAAGGTGAGAGTGGTCCAAATGTATCACATTGATGCTTCTGCTGTATCTTATCCATGTAAAGTCACACGTTTGCTGTGACTAAATTTCTAATAAAGACTTTACATACATCTTGTTGTGAGGAGAATGCTCATAGACTAATCAACTCTATGATTCTCTGGGGTTCCTACATTAGTTATAAAACTGCTATCAACATAGGTTTACATAGTACGCAGAGAAAAATCCATAGATGGTGCACATGCTGTTGCACTTCACTAACAATACAAGATGCTTTACTATAATGGTTGAAAATATGATTTCTATATATGGGGATGAATTCAAAACAAAGGACACGTCATGATGAAGTGAATGAACACGTGATGATGAAGCTATACTCATGAATCTGTCGGATGCTTCATAAATTTCCATGAAGGGCGACAAAATCTTAGAACAATAAGTTGCTTATCCTTTAAGTTCAAAGAAAAATACTTACAAACCGGTCAGGAAATAAGACGAAAAAACTTTCCTTTCAAAATGCAAAGAAATGGTAAATTGTAAATGATTAGTCGACTAAACGGTAAATATTTATTATAATTTCTTTCAGGATACAACAAACAAGATGTTTGTACAGTTTCAATTCAAGAAATTGTCCAAGAAACCTGATAAAACAAAGACTGTGACAGTCTCCCTTAAACCATGCTTGTACAAAAGACGGTAATCGAGTCATTTTCCATTACTCTTCGCCAGTGCAAGCCTTTCAGAATTTGTTCAGTCGTGTGCAGTCGTCGTGTGCTACTAGTGGCGGAATTTCAATTCAGTCCAGGAGTAAATCTTCCCGAATTTTCACAATTTGTTAGCCTTCTCAAAGCCAAGGGCGGACCATGCATTGAAAGCGCATTTTGTTGTTTTTTGGCATTGGAAGAATATTTTGTCACCAGTTTTCCTACATGAATATTTTTTCACAAATACGAGAACGCGAAGGAAATTTTAGCCTTAACTAAGGGAGCATGGCAACAGAGCGGCATTTAATATAACACTTGCATGGTGCCTGTCAAGCGAGAAAATGTTTACAATTTGAAGCCTTTAGATCCTCGAAAATGGAGAAATTTCCGCCACTGTGTGAAACGAGTTTGGAGAACGAAGCAAAAGCCCTTTTCACACTGTTTTATTGTATTTAAAGATTGAGCATATTACACATACTCAACATGTAAGGTTGAAATACATCAATTTTTCTAATGAAAGTAGTGTCAAGCAGAACTTAATTACTACAGTCTTGTGTTAAACTATATAATCTGTTCATGCGGTAGTGTCCATTTTTGAAACCAATAACTTGTTGTATTCAAGAACACTTTTCACAGACTCGAAGTTTACAGACGAGCCCGCAAACCATGTACGTCTGCTGCCTTGCATTTTGAAGATGTCCCATAGTACACCATTTGCCATGTCATTCGGTGAAAACTTGGGAAAATATTCCCAACTCTCTTGTCGTACTATCTGGATGTTCGAAGACCCTGTTGTTGTGAGGTTTCTTCTCAGTATCGTTGTAAGGCAGTTATTACAAGGTTTTCCTTTTCCGTATTGATAAGCAACTCCAGTTCGAATGAATCGGTGATCAGGGCCGCCAGGCAAAGATCCGTTTTTATAAGCTTCTCCGTAATAATTGCTGAGTGTGCCGTAAGAATCACGTTGAGCCCATAACGAATGTTCGCGTTTGTTTTCCACATTATCAAGCCAATAGTCGATCGGTGATTCACCTCGGGTTCCGTAGGTTGAAGAGAAAAGAGTTGTACTAAACCAAACTGGTTTGAGTTTTGAGAATATATTCCATTCTTTACGGCAAGTATGTAGCCGTCTACGAGTTGAGTACACACTTGGTGTCCAGATAAGAAAATCAAAATATGACCCTCTCCTATAATATCTCCGTCCGTAACGAAACTTTCTTACAACGTAGACGCAATTGGTCCGTCTTATAACTTTTACGACATTCACATTAGTAACAACTTTAATATTTTCCCGTTCCACTATCGTCTTCCACAAATTTTGAAACCCGCCGCGAATCATATTTAAACCGTGCGATACTCCGATAAACTTACCGGCCAATTCTTTAACATACACTGGCGTGTTCCACATGAGACCGTACAGTGCAGATATTTCATCAATATGTCCGTACCCTTGAACTGTATGCGATGCAATGAAGATTGGCTTTAGGACTAGAAGGTTATTTTGCTTTAGAAATTCTTCAAAAGTGCATCTAAGTTTTCTCATTGTTTCTGATCCAGGTTGCCGCATCAAGTCTCCTTCATACTTACCAAACAGTTGTCGATGCAATGCGCAGTATTGAACCATGGCTTTTAACAATGCAACTTTGGCTACGTTTGGGTTGTTCGTATTCAAAATTTTCATAATTTCAAGTATTACATATTTTGAGTATTGAGATGGATTTGAAACATGATCTTGCCAAATATTAGCTGAAGGTATGTCTACAGGATCCCAGAGTCCATATTCTTTGGCCAGAGCAATTACGTTCTCTTCATAATCTGGAGTTGTATAACATGTTCCCATTTCATGTACGGTGTTGCGATACTCAACTGTGAGAGATTTCCCTCCAATTCTACCTGACTTTTCGTAGACAACGATATCTTTAAATCCCCTTTTCTTCAATAAATATGCCATATGGATGCCTGCAGGGCCTCCCCCGACGATTGCAATTTTGTCCTGAACACTCCGTGGAGAGGGAATCGTGGGAAATGGAAAACCTTTGGCTGGTGGGTTTGAATTAACAATTTTGACAATTTCATTGTAAGCATCCAAAGGGTTGAGACCATAAGATTGTTGTATTAAGATTGTTGAACATAGCATGAAAGTTAACATAATTGTCCGAGAAAACATCTAACAAAAGAAAATTAGATTTTTCTTGTCAAATTGAATGGTTGGTGTTTATTGATAATGAAACGATAGAAATTTTCAATGTTTCCGCGCGAATGAAAAGGCTTAGATGGAAGAGCCTTAATAAAATACGTGCTGAGAAAGCGACCTCACTAACGACCTGGATAAGCCGAAATTTTTGCCCAGCTTTTTAAAAACCCGAGCAACGATAAATGCCGTTGGGCGTTGACAGCAGAATAAGTGGTACAAGCTCAATTTATATACTACAATCGGATCATCCGTCGAACTTAGATGAAGAAAAGTTAGTTGGTCTGATGATCCGAGCGGATATAAACAAACAATGAGGCGGATCATCCATTAAGACGATAGATATATATTTTCTTTGTGATCGCTAGTATCAGTACAGCATCAGAAAAACACTAAAAGAGACTGATCGGGTACATACAGAACAATACATCTACGAACTACACAAATCAATAACTCACCATCAATGACTTTTTATTTCAGCAACAGCTTGAAAATCAAATGACTTGCCACTATTGAACACTTTGTGCTTGTAATGTCTTATTTATAATCCTCGTTTAAACTTTGAAGGTTGCGTAGGAGTGGATGCTAATGATGCTTCATCTTGACAAGTTAAACATCCCGTGACATTTTACATGTGTTTTAATCAGAGCGTTTCAACAACTGATATAAAAGAAAAACATTTGCGAACTGTAAAAGACAACATAATTAATTTAGTCATAAAATTTCAAATACGGTTAGGCCCTCTTTCAGATTTTATCAATTATCCACGCGAGTGAGCCAAAAAACCCTATAATTCTTATTCACTGATATGCAAATGTCTGCGAACTTATGTATTGTCTGCGAACTGACCAAATCAGACAGTTCCTTTAGTGGCCTTGTGCCAGTAGTACGGAGTTGGCCACAGTTTTATTATTCTCGCACGATCAGAATGCATTTTAACTTCAAGACTGCCAAGAACGACCAGCAAAAGTCACAGTTTAGATTAATTAATTATATTCACTCCTTTTAATTAGGACACTAGTTTTTGTCAAATTTTACAATACAGAAACTATTACAAATTTGCATATGAATTTGATTTACCCTATCAAAAAGGGGGCGAACACAACACAGAGACAAAGGTTTTTATCGCTTCCCTGCATTGTATTGTATTCCTATTGAAAACTTATTGATACAGAGACAGGGTGCATGAAAAAATCCCTAGGCCTTGGACTTGGTCTTGGGCTTGACGCTTTCAAAGTGATCCATCCTGTTCTGAAAACACAAGTTCAGTTTCTTTGAATTTCAAATGAAATGAAATGGTGCAGTCGAGTACATGGTGACAAAACAGAACGAATTGAATCTGTGATTGAATAGAATTGAGATCAGCAGTCCATCAATCACCGCATCAGTAATTTTACATGTTTTTATGTTTTTAATGTGTTTAAAAGCTATTTAAAATTCCTTGAGAATTAAAACATTTTATGCTCTAAAAGTGAATTCGTGTTAACCTCCCTTTGCAATATACCGCGGAGTGATTACGATTTCAGTCTTTTAGTTAACCGCATCAGTTTTGCCACTTTGGTCTCAGGGAACACTGATATATTTACAACTGACTTATATTTGACTTCCTAGGCGTTGTATCTTTCCTACTACATATATCCTGTGAAGGTCGAATTTAGTGTATAAGTTTCCTTCCTATAATCCTTCAATGTTAGTTTTTCGTTGACTTATTTTTTCTTCTCTAATGCCGTATTGTTAACTAATTTCTGTAATTTGTATTTCTCAAATATCAAACAATTGAAAAAAGTTATATTAAAAACTCCTAAATGCGACACTGACTACCAGCACTGAAAATATTTACACAGTGTATGACGCTTGACAAATCCTATTAACTATATTGACTCAAATAATATGTCATTACGTAAAAATAACGTGCATGGATAGAGTTGTGGAACATGAAATTTTTTATTTTCTTCTTCTACGCCATTTCACATGTCGGGTATAAAAAATTGTGAATACCCATACTCTGACATTTTGGACATGTTTTTAGCGAAAAATATTCCCGCAAATGCTAAAAGGATTGGCGAAGATTTTACTAAATAAGACTCATATCTCATATAAAGTTGAACATAAGCCACAACACTTGCCTCACTGAGACAAGCCTCCTCGGAAACGACTTGACAAGTGACTTCTCGTTTTTAAATTTATCCGGCAAAGCTGTTCACATGCAGGTATCCGTTCAGCCATCGTTTTTAAATTCTTCCACTCTGCACGGGGAGCGTTTTCATATATTCTTCCGTTTCCAGTGGGCGAAAACGCCGGATACGTGTGGACGGTACGCGTAACCGTAAGAAAATTCTTGCGTTTCGGCAAAGTCTTCCGGCATCGTGTGGACGTGGCTTTAGATTGTCATGGGCGATTTCAATGCTTTTCGGGGAATTTTCGAAGCACCCTGTCCATTGAAAGTTGAGACTAGGAGAATTTGACTAATTTATTCCAGCGTCAATGTCTGTACCTCATCAGAGGCACATATGCTTTGAACTCCTTTTTTTCATGATTAAAGGGAACGACCAGCTATATAGCTTGATACTGAGCTCGACTTTCAGCACGGTCTAGCTGTTTAAATACAGTTTAAATTTTGGAAGAGCAATGAGCGATTAAAGATTCGTCATTCGTCGTATTTGTACTCATAAAACAAACCAATTTTTTTAATGTAATCATATTTTTCGCCCAGCAAGGTATTTGTATCTTTACTTTTACATGCATGTATAGCATGTTACTAAGTTACACTAAGTTACTAAGTTGCAAAGTTAACAGATTTGCCTGTCAGGGCCTATGTATCAGGGGTCTGACCACAGTTAATAGAATATACATGGTTTGGAGACCTCATGAAACAACAATACAACACATTAACTATGTTGAGGTACATTTATGCGAAAAATTGTTCCTTTCTCATCACATATCTATTGTATTTTGCACAGATAAACTAATAGCAATCTCATAATTAACAGATTTTTCAAGTCAAGGTTGATGAGCTTAGCAAGACGACTGCCATTGGTAAATTTGGCTCAAATACAATATAGACACGTGACGAGAAAGGAACCATTTTTTGCATAAATGTGGACAATAACATAGTTGTATGATGAGTTAATGAGTTGTATTGTACTTTTGTTTAGTCTTCATCAAACCATGTATATTCTATTAACCGTGGTCTGACACACCCTAACAATCTCTATTCTTGGAACATCCATTCTGAGCCCTCTTTTTTATTTCAGTGTCGTACCATCTGTGGGATGCTTTTCAATTATGAATATTCGTTGTTACGTAGACTCATACTCGCAGGCTACAATTTAATTACTACAGTCCTGTGTTAAATTATACAATCTGTTCATGCAGTACTGTCCATTCTTGAAACCAATAACTTGTTGTATTTCAGAACACTTTTCACAGACTCGAAGTTTACAGACGAGCCCGCAAACCATGTACGTCTGCTGCCTTGCATTTTGAAGATGTCCCATAGTACACCATTTGCCATGTCATTCGGGGAAAACCTGGGAAAATATTCCCAACTCTCTTGCCGTATTATCTGGATGTTCGATGACCCTGTTGTTGTGAGGTTTCTTCTCAGTATCTTTGTAAGGTGGTTATTACGAGACCATAAGATTGTTGTATTAAGATTGTTGAACATAGCATGAAAGTAAAGTTAACAGAATTGTCCGAGAAAACATCTAACAAAAGAAAATTAGATGATTTTTCTTTTCAAATTGAATGGTATAAAAGTTTATTGTTAATGAACGATAGAAATTTTCAATGTTTCCGCACTTTTCAAAAGGCTTAGGTGGAAAGAGCCTTAATAAAATACGTGCTGAGAAAGCAACCTCACTAACGATCTAGATATATGGCGAGGTTTTTCAATTCTTGCCCACTTTTTTAAACCTAAGCAACGGCAAGTCGGGGCCTGTCGGTATAAGTGGAACAAACTCGATTTATATGCTACATCATCCGAACTTAGGTGAAGAGATTTCAAGAAGAGGTATGTTGACGATCCGAAAGGGTATTCAGTATGACTCTAACTCAGAACTTTCCAGCAACAGCTTGAAAATAAATGACTTGCCACTATTGAACACTTTATACTTGCGATATCTCATTTATAATCCTCGTTTGAAGGTTGCGTAGGAGTTGATGTTGATGATGCTTCATCTTGACAAGTTAAACATCCTGTGACATTTTACATGTGTTTTAATCAGCGCCTTTTAACAAGTAATATGAAAGAAAAACATTTTAGGTTAAAAAGACAAAATAATTTAGTTCTAAAATTTCAAATACGGTTATAAATTTCATTAATTACCGACGCGAGTGAGCCAAAAAAACCCGGCTAATACTTATTCATATGCAAATTTTCTGCGAACGTATGCATAACTGACCAAATCAGACAATTCCTTTAGTGGCCTTGTGCCAATAGCACGGAGTTGGCCACAGTTTTATTATTCTCGCACGACCAGGATGCATTTTAGACGACCACGACCAGGATGCAGATCTTTGCCAAGACTGCCAAGAACGACCAGCAAAAGTCACGGTTTAGATTAATTAATCATTCCCTTCACTTTAAGGAAACTAACTTTTGTCAAATTTTACAGTAACTATGTTACAAATTTTCATATGAGTTTGATTCATTCTAGCAAAAAGGGGGCGATCACAACACTGAAACAAGTTTTTATCGCTTCCCTAGTAACGCACAACTGTCAAATTACTACACAATGGAGTGCACGGAGTCGAAGACAAAACAGAACGAATTGAATAGAATTGAAATTTTTTGTTAACTTGAAACGACAAATTGCACATTTTTTCTCCTCTAATGTCGTATTTTTAACTATTTTTAGTAATATGTATTTATGAAAGAATTAAAAAAAATGATATTAAAATTCCTTACCAATACGATTACACTGAAAATATTTACACAAAGTATGACGTTTGACCACTCCTTCTATTAACTATTGACGCGGCACAAATAATTTGTCATTACGAAGATTTAACAGAGACGTCTGCGATATGGTCTACGTAGGAATAACGTAGATGGGGTCGTAGCACATAAGATTTTTTATGTTCTACGCCATTTCAGACGTCGTGTATAAAAAATTGTGAATAACCATACTCCGACATTTTGGACATGTTCTTAGCGAAAAATACTTCCGCAAATGCTAAAAGGATTGGCGAAGATTTCACTCACCGTGAAAATAACCTAAATAAGACTCATTTGACGCTAATATAGCAATATAAAGTTGTGCATAAGCCACAAGACTTGAAACAAGCCTCATTAATATGGAAACGATTTGATACGTGATGTAATCGTTTTCAAATTTATCTATCCGGCAAAGCCGTCCACTCGTATCCATTCAGCCGCCGTTTTCAAATTCTTCCACTCTGGAGAGCGTTTTCAAATTCTTCCGTTTCCAGTGGGCGAAAACGGCGGATACGTGTGGATGGTGCGTGTAACCGTAAAAATATTCTTTCAAATTCTTCCGGCCTCGTGTGGACGGGCATTGTGTAACTTCATTTTTTTCATCAATCATCACCTTATGTATCATGTGAAATTGTGAGCTGCCCATCAAGATGATAAAGAATGTGTTTGTCTTCAGCATACAATCAAATGATACCATCATGTTTGCTTTATCTATTAACTTTCGCAATGTCATGGCAACGGCCAATCTATGGGTCCAAATACAGTGTTGGGCATGTCAATTCTAACAATGAAATTGTCATGATGGGCGATTTTAATGCGTTTCGTTTTCTTCGAAACACCCTGTTCATTAAAAGTTGAGACTAAGAGAATTTGATTAATTTATTCCAGCACCAATGTCTGTATACCTCATCAGAGGCACAAACACTTTCAATCCCTACTTTTCATGACTAAAGGGAACGATCAGCTATAGCTTGATAAGCTCGACTTTCTGTAAGGCCTGGGTCAATGGGTTCAGGGACGTAACGTTGGTGTTGTGCTTGGGAGGGGGGTGCAGGAATATTTTGCCCGACGAAAAACAGAAAGGGCGTGGTCAAACAGCAAACGTAGGGGCAGTATGCATGAGAGGCTACTATACTCATTAGAAATCTAACTAAAAGCATTTGAGAGTTTCATTCAAGTCATTTAAAAGTACTTTACCCAAAAACATTTCACAAATTTTTGCCGGATGAGTGTGTCTTAAAGTGTCGAAATTAGCCTGACAAAGCTGCAGTTTTACGGCCTTGCCTGGGTGAGAGATTAAAGATTCGTCGTATTTGTACTCATACATGAAACAATTTTTAGAAGGGATCTTCATTAAATTAGAAATCAACAATATTGTTCGTATCTGGAACATATCTGCGAGATATAAACATATCTACAAGATATCTGCGATAAAGGTCGTGCTAGCTAGCATTAGACAATATTTCGAAAAGGAAAACGCTTTACCTCTACCACGGCGAGAAGAGTACTCGCAGCATAAGAAAATAATGCACGCAAAAGATGCGTTTCTTAAAAATGATGATTTTGACCCAGAAGAAGCAATAGAAACTGCAATTGATGAGACTGAGAAACTTTATTATTAAGATCCCGTTTACACGTTGCGTTTTCATTAGAAAAATGACTTATTAGTAATTAATGATTATTAATCCACTCCATTTAAAATTACTCTCCTTCGGTGTTCTCTCTCTCTAGTCTCTACTATCTATTTTCGGTTTCATTTTTCTGGCAGCGATATTCTTGTTTAAAATCTTATTGGAGAAAAAATGCCACATGACAAACAATTATAATGTTGTACCGGCATCGTGTAAACCCTACCACTAAGCGGAACATTTTCAAACCGCTGCAATTCCAATTTTTGCACCCTTTTCAAACAGGCTATAAAACCTTCTGAAAAATATATATACGGCAGTGCTAGCTGGAAAGGTGATGACGCACATGAATAATAAATAGCTATTCTGCTTATGTATCTGCTACGTCATTATCTTCTAGCGCCTCACCTCATCATGAGGCATTTAGTATTGATATTTTGTTATTTTTTCTTATTATTCTATTATGTTCATTAAAAACGTTTAAAAGAAATGGGAAATGTTGAATTTACCAGTCATCTCGAGAAAGATCAACTGAACAGTCTATCGTCGGAAAAGTTGGATTTGAGCAGACGTTTGACTTCTTACCAACTGGATCAGGTTTGTATTAAGTTATTCTATTTTTATCTTTTATATATACTTTTTTAATTATAGTTGCATGAATAAACTATAATCTCCATTCGCCTATCATTGCATTAATTGAATCGGCGATTTGGGGAGACCTAAATCCATGTAGAAAAAAGCAAATGCTCAACCTAGAAACAGCTAGAATTTGCTTTGTATGCTGCTAGGATCACATTCTGGGACGGATGTGGATAATAAGGTTAATACAAAAACAAACTTTATTACTTTTTCTGTGCTTGATCTGACTATGATGATTCTAAAAATATGAATTTGTAACCCTATCCTGTGGAGTGTATAAAGTGCACACACTAGTTAACATGGATGAAAATAATTTCCCATCCTTTATATCATTTGTATCTATTTTATAGCTAATTAGCTACACTGAATGCTTGTCTGCCTGTGGGCTATGGATATAGCTACCTTTCTTTATACTATCCTAAACAGGCCTGCATGGTCCTCTATAGTAATACAATTGATAATTCTATACTTGTTTATAAAAGACTGCAGAACCTGGAACCCCGCCCCCAAACCTTTGAACACCAGAGTTGCCAGATTTGTGAATATTCGAGGCCACATTGTTTGTAGTGCCATCAAGAAAACAAGAGGCCGATTTGATTGGTCTAGTATTGTGCATCACTAGACAATTGATTTATAGATGAGTCACAATGTCTATAATTTTTTTAAAAATTTGTATAATTCAAAACTTTGTAGTAAATATATAAAGTGAAAGAATGCATTTATTTATGCAAGTGTACTAAGGACAACAGAAGACCCTTAGTTTGTGAACCAAAAGTCAATGCATTAACTGTGGCTACTGCCATAGATTTTGTTCACACATTATGACTTTATCTCATCTGTGAAGTATTTTGCAAAGTATTTCACTACTTGAAAACAAAATAAATTAATCCTGTAAAAGGTTGCTCTCTATGGGAAAATTAATTTTAAATTTTCTTGCAGCATCTGCGAAATGAAGTGGTTGAAGAAAATCCTGGTCTTGTGGAAATTCCTGCCCGACTATTTGCTCATATTTCTTTTTATGAAACATTAATTGTTTCATTTCATTGCATAACACAGATTCCTCAAGAACTTCCACTACAATTGCCTCACCTAATTCATCTTAATTTGAATTTTAACCGAATTTCCAGCTTGCCTGAATCTTTTGGCATGTTAATCCACCTTGAAATACTTGAACTGTCGCATAATCTGTTATCAAAACTGCCGAACTCATTTTCTCTGCTGAAATCACTTCAAAAGCTTGATCTTTCTAACAATAAGTTAAGAGCATTACGTGATGATATGGATAATCTAAAAAAGTTGAAGAAGCTGAACGTGAATAATAATTTTTTGGAACAAATACCGCTTTCACTTTGTTTAATCGATAGTTTAGAAGTTCTGGTGTGTTTAAACAACCGTTTAACTACACCTCATCAAGATATCTGCGATAAAGGTCTTGCTAGCATTAGACAATATTTTGAAAAGGAACACGCATTACCTCTACCACGGCAAGAAGATATTGTAAATATATTTCCGCGTGTGCGAAAAGGTGATGCATTTACTCATCCAAATTTGAACACTGCTATGACGCAATTATACAACGAAACACAGACACAAAGTTTTCATATGAAAGTGAAAGTAAAGACACCGCTTCTTCCCCCGACAATGGCGACCACATTTCCACCGGATGAATTGTCTAACAAGATTATTGGTTGTATCTACGGTGCAGCTATTGGCAGTGCTCTTGGGTACTTAACTGATTTCTTAAGCAAGAGTGAATGTGCATTTTATTATGATAAAGAACAATTAAACTACTGTGACATCATAAATGATATTCATAGAAACAATTTCGAGAAAGGATGCTGGACACATTCATTTGATCAAATGGTAAGTGTAAGCGAGATTTTGAGTGAAGATGGTGATTTCAGAAGAAATTATTTTGCAGTTGTTACAGATTGTTTATTGGTTTGAATGAGAGTGTTTATGATGGTAGGTGGAACAGTAATCGAAGTTACTCATGCTTTATGCAGCTTGCGTAATTTGCAAAAATTGGCTTTAGTCAGTTCACTGATACCTATAGAATGATCACGGACCTAATGTTTTTTACCCATTTATTTATGGAAGCTAATGTTAATTTAGAATGATGATGTAAACATGCAAAAACTAAACCATTTAGATATTGATCTTGGATTCCATTCTTTCCTGGGGTGGAGTGGTCGACGAACTTGATGTCGCGCGTAGGTTAGCATCGTGGAATAAAAATGGATTTTCAGAGTTGGGTGAAATAAAAGGTCCGGATTTCAAAGGCTTATTTGGAAAGGTAGGCTAACAATTATCAAACACATTACTGAACAACTACAAGTCAGCAGGAACACGATTATCTCATCTTGTTTCATTTTTCTCAGGGCGGGGACAAAATTTACCAGGGAATTGAACCCTCTGCTTGGCCTCTTAAAGGCAAGACATAGCTCGTTTTATGTATAAGTTATAACATTTTCTTTCAATGAGAATCCATTTTTTTAGATCTTGAACGATGCTGAATATACAAAAGATCCTCATTTTGTAGCAAAAATGATAAGTCATGAAAAGCAGTATTGTTCAAATGCCGCAGTAGCACGAACCGCTGTTTTAAGTGTTTCACATTTTTATGACTTGGACGAAGTTTGTGCCAACGCCGCGAGAATATGTAAATGTACTCATGCAGATGCAAGGTATAGATGACGTAAATTAAAGTTCAGCTAGTTTTAGAATAAACGTTTGTGTCATTGTACAGGTAGCAACAATTTTCCGACTGTTAGCATCATCAAGCATGATCCCTCTGACAAATAGTCACACGAGAGACGACAAGGGACTTACATTTATTGGCCTGTTTTAAACGTAACTACATATCAGAAGACTTTGCGAATTGTATCATTTTCTACGAAGAACCTCGCAAAACATTCTGATAGTTCACTTTTCTCAGAGAAGTAAACTTTTTAAACTTGTTTTAAGCAACTTAATTGACGTTCTTGACAGTTTCAAAATCAAGAATCAGTGTAGTTGCAGCTATGGTCTATGCATCTCGTCCAACTAACTATAATTTCATGATTAAAGATATCATTCTTATCAGGATTTTATTTTATAAAACTATTCTTGTTAGGTGTATCGCAAGTTGTGTCGCGGTAAATACCATCATTGCTCTTCTTCTTCAGGTATATTTTATTTTAAATATTTTAACAAGTTTCGTTGGAAAATGGAAAAACGTATCGCGACCTTTTTTTGTACAATGATGTGATGAATTTTGAGGCTCGTTTCATTTTACGAAAGACAGACTAACATAGCAACTCGACTTTAGATCTTATACAAAGTGAATTGAAATATTATACACAACCATGCAATTATTAAAATACTGAACAAATCTTTCGTTGAAAGATAGCGCATGGTGACGATTAAAAATGAATATGCATGAGCGAAATTTATAAAATCTCTCATACACCGATCGTTACCATGCTTTTTATTTAGGGTAAACATGACTTGAATGACAATGATTCTGTGGAAGCAATCTTATTTGAAGCTGCAGAAAGATCTAAAAGATATCTGGATGATGGCTCTCAAGTGAGTGAAATAAATAAATACGTGGAATGAAGACATTCGAAAGGTAGGTGTAAATTTATGAGATTTTATACCCATGCTATTCTAATTTTTCTTAAAACATTTAGAGACCAAAACAGCGGAAATATATTCACTAAACGACGTTTTATTATTATTTTTGATACGACTTTACAAGTTTAAAATAACTTGGTTTTTGCTATATTTTCTACTGACCCAATACACCGATGGCTTGTTGTCTATATCAGTGTATATACTGGAAGTCAAGAGTAAATTCTCTAAACTGTAGAGCATATATATAGATAGGTTATATAGATGTGTGCCATTTCAAAGCTTAATTCGCTGTTTATCAGACAATAAAATTTTTAGATTTGTTTAATGCAAACCAGTATGGCAGATGAAATACCAATTTCAAAATTACTGTATTCTGTAATCTGGTATTGACACCAATGCGATTACTTATTGCACGAAACGTTTTGGGGGCATTGAAGATGTATAAATCAGGGAAAACAATGTTTTATAGTTAATGTTTTAACCATGCAGCTTCTGCATTTTTATAGTTTATTTAAGTATATTGCCTGCTATATATTTATGCAACTATCAACAGAGTTTTTCTTTCGACAGTGTACAATGTAATGAGACAAGAAACATTGTGTACACGTTGAAACCACTGGGCTCAGCTGCTGTTGGTCTTAGAAAACTCAACGAAACTTTTCAGTAAGTTGATTATTACTCATAAATTACTTGTACAGGACGATAAGCCTATAGTGAGGGAATAATGAATATCAATGCAGGTTTCCTGTATTGTAACTTTATTGGTACTATTCCAATTATGCATTGTAGAATGCACTGGGAATTTTTAAATCATGACGCAGGTAGAGATTGTAAATCTTAAGTTTTATCCCGTTTTTTTGCTCCATGCCTTAGACGTGAAGACATGTGTCTAATAATAGGCTGAATGATATTCTATAGGTCGTGCATTACCGACTTGATTTTTGAAGGAGGAATGGCCAGCTGTAACGCTTCGGTTGTGGGAGCAATATTGGGGTGCCACACTGGATACAAAATGCTGCCGAAGAAATGGATTGATGGAATGTCTCAAAAACACAAAGATTGGTTGAATAATAAACTGGATTGTCTGCTAAACATAATGGGTCTACCGTAATATTTAAGTCATTAGAGAACTAATGCCGCTAACATCTAATTTCAAGTCATATATGAAGGTAGTTGTGGTAGTCAAAATTTTGCCACTCGGTTTCAAAATCGAAATTGATTGAATTCGCCAGTGTTTTCATGCCCCTGTGCGGCATTGCTGTCAGCGAGCGGCATAGAAAACTAAAATGCCTAAAAATGCACACGCAAGATTTAAACGCCTAAACGTTTTTTAAGTGTTTTTAGCGAGAAAATAAAATGTCCAATGCGATAATTTTAGTGTTTTGATATTCTCTCGGTGTCTTGAAACAATCCTTGTTGGATTTTAACGTCAAAATAGTCATGATTCTCGAAAGGGGAAACTCGGTATAAATTACTGAACGGCTCAGTTTGCAAAAATATTCTGTTTCCCCGTTCCCCAGGTCTCCCTTTCTCTAGTTTCCCCATTCCACTGCTTCCTGGTTTTTCCGTTCCGCGTTTTCCCTATATCCCGGTCCCCTAATCCCCTTTTTTCACGGTTCTCCAGTTCCCCTGAGCCCGGTTCTTCTGTTGATATCTGTTCCCAGATCTGTTTCCCGATGACTGGTCACTGGTGGAATACACTCAGTGGTGGAACGTTGCGGATGAATTCGGTGGGTTGTTCAGGTACCCAAATTTGGGTCACCAAATTTCCATAATTATCCATCACTTCCGTGTTTGCGATGACAGTGAAAGAGCAATTAATAAATACTTGAAAATGTCTTTTTTATATAAATAATGAAGAAAAATGGCTGCTGCGTTGAACGGAGTTAGGAAATGGGCAGGCAATCTAGTTTTTCCCAGTGGCCAGAAATCAGATGGACTGAAAGCCCATCAGAAGGTTAATTCAACTGAGCTTTTTCCCTACACTCGACCCTCATTCCTTGGTTTGAGTAAAGAAGCTGCCAAAGCATCAGCAGATCATGAAATACGACCAATACTTGTCGCTCAAAGAGAATTACCATTGAATGCAGGTTATTCCGAGTAAGTTTGTACACCAGCTCGAGTACTATAATGTACATAAATCCCATGCTGTAGTAAAATTCACAATGGATTGTATAATTACTACCGCATCAAGTCATCAATAGACAATCAGTGATTGATGGATTTTGCGAATTACGTGAAACAACATGAGTTTTTTTTGAAGGAGGATAATATTAAAATTAAAATATTAATTTCAGCCTTTTTGGCTGGGTAGTTGCCTTAAATAGGTCCAGAAACTTTTATATAGTGTATGCATCTTACAAACTGCATTTCCTGCCAACTATTCACAATTTTCTGTGTTGGTCAACTTTGTTTATTGAATGACCAGCAACTTTGTTTTACCAATAAGTGTTAAATTTTGCATCCTGACCTGCTATTTTGCTCTTTGAGCAATGCAGAATTCCAATTTATTAAAGTAGATATATGCATAGGTACTGAACAAGAAATTTATGCCAAGGCACTATTGCACTATAATTTATGTGACTAAGGAGCACATCCCTTAGATATTTGGTTCGATACATGTAGTCATTTTTAGGAGAAATTAGCATCAAAGAAAATAAACAATTGGTGATATGTAAATAGATGTATAGATTTTTTTATCTTGTACTAAATATGTTTTTACCAATATTGTGTGCAAAGTTTTCACATAGTGATCAATGTATAGATAAATAAAACATAATTGTCCATTATAGAACAATCAATGCAGGGAAGACCTATTTAGTCAACGAAGATCAAGCATTTGCAGAATTATTTTGCTTACATGTAATAAGTATTGATGAGAAACCAAAAGAAGATACAATTGTATGTATTAATTATGACGGCTATAAACACTACTGCAAGCATGTGATAAATGAAATACAGAATTTTTATGAATACAGTACTGTCCTGAAAGCCCAAGTTGCCATGCAAATTGTAATTAGTTTGCTTCCCTTGACTGCATCGATTCCAATGCCATGTTGAGAAACAATGTTAATACAGCATACCAGATGTTTATCTGATTTTCTAAAATATATTTTGATGGCTATGATAAAATTTTTGAGACTAAACTTTTTTGACAACTTTGAAAAAAATATATGATTAACTGAGACTAAACTACCGGTAGAGGTATTAATTCATTGTACTTATATATTTGCAGACAAAACTTCCATACTGGTGTTTTGGTATATTTGACGGCCACGCAGGAGCAGGTGCGGCCTTGGCAGCTGTCAATCAACTTCAAGATATAATTCATGAGAAACTACATGAAATTCAAGATGTGATTGTTTGTGAGGAGAAAAATTATGGAAAACTGCCAGTATTACAAGGAGTTGTTGCTCCTACAATAGACTTTGAAGCTGTTATCACTGGAGCATTGGAACAATCGTTTTTAGATATGGTAATTTTGTTAAATTACATTATTAATTATATACAGCCGGAGGCTGGGTCAGCCTGACTTTTGCAGGCCATGCTAGTGCAAATGTTTCAGGGTTCATAGTCTGTGAAAACAATGAATTTCGAAAGTAATGAAAAATAACTAAAACTTGCATTGTACATGCATGACTGAAAATTGGATTGCCTTGGCTACTGAATATATATATATAATATATATATATATATTATATATATATTAATATATATTGACTTTATCATCTTGTCATTTTTTACCTGCTATATTTTAGGATAATCGCATAAATAAGGATAGAAGTCTTCATAAAATTACTGGTGGATGTACTGCAGTTGTTTCATTGTTTATGAAGAATAAATTATTTCTTGCCAATGCTGGTGATTCCAGGTTGAACTTTATGTTTTATACATACATAGTAAAATCTTTATAACTGTTTATTGTCACAAGAACAATCAAGAACAGTAAAATTCATAGCTACTTTATTAATATCCCACTATAATTATCAAAATGCAGAGCAATTATATGCAAAGATGGAAAACCAATCCCGGTGACAAAAGATCATACTCCTGAGACTGATCGCTGTCGACTTCAAGTCCTGGTAAGGCTTAATTCAATATTACTTAATGTGAGCAGATCAAAAAATGTTAGACCTAATACTCCCCTCTGCTCATTCCCCGGAGATTCACCACAATTAATGCCCAGAGGTATTTACAATCAATACACCTAATGAAAATGCCAATGAACAAACGTTACCAGCACTGGTTGATAGAGCATATCAAATTTAGTACTTTTACGAAGTTTGATTGCATGCTATTACTAGTAAATATTGTCTGTATTTTCACTCATTTTACAGTAGTTTGCAACCAAACTTTACTAAATAGAATTTACTAAATATCGCGCGCTCTCCCTTACAGAACTGACTAATTTCCTGGTACAGAATTTTATTATGATATTTAAATATATTTTAGGCTGGAATGAAACCACATTTGTTGGGAAATGAGTTCACTCGTTTAGAATTTCAGCAAAAACCTCGTCGAAAACACATTGGAAAGAAACTTTTCTTTAGAGACCGAAATATGACCGGATGGTATGACAATTTGTTTGACTCCTAGCTCAATTCAATTCAAAAAGATTTTAAAATTTCAATTTTAAAAATTTACCTCAATTCAAGTCAAAAAAGATCTGGATGTGTGAAATAAAAATCTGTTTTTGATATTTACTACTAGGGCATTAAAAAATATAACGGAGGAGGATGTCTTTAAAACACAAATGATATCTGGCAGTGGAAAATCGGTAATGAAATCATCCGATGGGCATGTGGTATGAATGAGCATGCGCTCGGCAAGCACCAACTGCCCAGGCAGCCCAGCAATTATAATTTCAGTGTATTTTAGTGTTTTCTCATCCAAATTTATAGCTATATAACCAGAAATGTACGATTACTGATATAGGTTTTTACTTATTCAGGCTCGTCTTCTCGAAACAATTGGAACAACAAGAGGATTTGGAGATTTTGATTTAAAAGCTTCGTACACGGGCATTCCAGTCAAACCCTTTTTGACTCCTGAACCAGAGGTAAATTAATTAACCTAAATTTTAAAATTATTGCAAGCGTGTTCACGGGCCGTGTAGTGAATACTATTAGTTTTAACTATAGTTAAAAATGTCTTTTTCAGGTGACAATATACGATTTATCGAAAGAAACAATAAATGAGAATGATGTTCTCATCATGGCGACTGATGGATTATGGGAAAGAGTATCTAATGAGAAGGTTTGTGCTTGCTTGCTTGCTTGTCTTTGTAAGCAAAAGTCTCAAAATGGACCATTTTACTATTAAACTGAATCATGAATCAGGAAAAGTCAGTTCTGAGGTGCACAGCACTTTTCAAAAAGCGGTGGGGATTTTTTTGAGCGTAATACTAATTTTGACAAAATATGTCAACTTCGCGCACTGATATTTTTAACACTTTAGTTTACAATATTTCGCCACGAAACTTTCCAATTTTACTAATTTTGTACTGTGACGAAGCTAATTTTTAATTTAGTTTAGTAAGGAATTGGTCCAATTGTCGACAGTGTATCAATTAGCATGGCATTCCGTGATGTCACTACGCGATATATTTCTTTCTGCAGGCATGTAAAATTGTCCAAAGCACCTTCACACATTGCGACGTGCACGAGAAAAGAAGGTAATTGTTTTATTACGTGTGATTCGAGTGCATTTTTATCGATCCCTGAATAAACATACAGGGACTGTCTTATAGAAAGTAATCTTTTTATTATCGTCTTTAAACATTCCCACACCTACAGTAGAAATAAGTTATTGTTCTTCTGGCCTAACTAGTGAACTGTAATAAAACAGACTGAGTCATTTTAGAGTTTACTGGGCCTAACTTGTTTACTCTGATCTCTATAGATATAGTGTAGCTGCACAAAATCTCGTGATGGCTGCTCGAGGTCGCAATACGCAACGTGGGTGGAGAATATCCAGAGATGAAATCAATTTTAATGACAATGTAGAATTGAAGGCTACCGATCCTGCTTCATATGATGATATTTCAGTATTTGTTATCCCGCTTTCTAAAAAATTCCAAGAACAACCGGAAACTGTTCAATACCCTGTGCATTCAATACCGGCGGAAACACGATCGTCAAACGACAATGGAATGAATGAAGTCGTTTCCAATTTAGAGACGAACGGTAATTCAACATTTCGTCTTAGTTAACTATAGTGTTCTCAGTATATTCTCAGTATAAAAACATAGTAATATACGCAGTATTGTACAGTTATGAAGCGAAGGATTTCTACCTACATATTTTTATATAATACTAAGCATCGGTAGACTAAATCGACCATGCTGCAAAGTCCGGTATACACAATAGGCTATGTTGTTTCCTGACATGCAACATCAAGAAAATGTCGGCTTCTGCCGTTGAACGGTTGGGGCGTCACATTTTGAATACTGCAGTTTTGAATACTATTGATGACGTCACATAACACTATAATAATTATTCACTGTCTGGAAAATCTAAAAATCACGCGAAAATTGGACTTGAAATTGACCACGTGTTGTATAAATTTTGCTTGAAAAACACAAATGGGGAAATACTGATAGCAATAATATCGTAATTTTTTGCTTTCAATTATTTGTATAATTAAAAACGATGCGGCGTTGTTTTGAATGACAAATATTTGCGAGAGCCTTTTTGTTGATTTATAGTCTTTCTATGAAATGCTCTTTCGTTTGAAGGATGGCACCGTTCTAATTTTCCGGTTTTTCCGGTTTTGTTGTTTCCTTTAACGGAACCCGGATATGGTGATGCCTAATGATGCCTGCTTACAACAATATCAAACTAATGATAATTCCCGGGGGGTTGAGAATATGGCGTCAGGTGGATTATCCTGGATTTGCAAGTTCGAAACTTGTGTTGTCACTTTAACTCTCGTGACTGAAAAAGCATACAATTTAGAATGAAAAACTGTGTATAGTAATAATTGATCATATTATGTCATATTATTACTCTAAACCTTGTTCGTAACTTTGACCGATTCATTTAAATACTTTCGTTCAAACAGGTTGATTCAATAGCTTGCATTTTCGTGTTAGTTAACTTTTGATTACAGCACGACTTCGAGAGGCAGTTAGCTCAGCCCGAAAACCATCCTCACACGTGAGAAACTTGTCTCTCGAGGCGAATTCCTCAAAAAAAACTATCCTGCACACGACAGTAACTTGCTTAGCTAACAGCCTCGCGAGGTCTTCAGCTCAGCTATATTAAGCTCACGTGTGCGGCGAGCTTTTAATGCATGTTTTATACAACTGGCTCCAGAATTTAACTTTATGATATTTTGCACCAATCTTCAAAATCACACCAGTTGAAGATGTAATACCTATGGTCAACTGAATATTTACTTTGTTTCATGTTACTGATTAACTATAGATTAAATAGATCTAATCTCCGGACTATATAACCACCATTTAAATTTTGAAATTTGACACAGTGTAAATTATTTGTTAAATCAAAGCTTTGACTATTTGTTTTTTACTTCGTTGCCCAATTTTTTAAGAAAACAGTGAAACAGCGAAGACGTAAAATGTCTCTGGGTATAAGAACGTGTCATGCAATGAATTTAGGGTTTTTCATTTTGACTTTTTGCAGTTTTACAGTCATTTGCGGTGAGTATATATATAGTCTTGTTGTGTATAGAATTTTGTTTTATTTTCGCGTCTATAGACTATTTTTGTGTGGGGAACCCGAGCCGTAAGGAATATTTGGAGTAGCTACGTGTACAAGTCTTTGAAAATATGAATACTAGAACTGTAGTATAGACATTGTTCGAGTAGACAGCTTAAGAATATAAGTATTTTATACAGTGTGCAGATTGGGATTCAGTTGACATGACGTTTGTCTATAATGTGAAACAAGAGACTTCAAATAAAGGTTTGTTCATCGCCCGCTGCGCAAAACCGTGAGCCAAAATGGTTTAAATTGTAAGTTTTAAGCAATCTATTGCAAGACACACCTACATGTTTAACGAAAGAAAATAATAAAAACAATTGAAAAGTTATAAGCTTATGTCGAGAGTGACTCAAGTCCCGTTGGGGTAGAACAAAATTTTGATAAAAATAAACAAGTAGCTACATGCACTGCATGGAAAAGTTGAACGAAGGCAATGTCGTTGGTAAACCTCTATGTCCCTAACTACAAACACAAATGTTGCCTTACAGTGTGGCAATTAAGGTTTACGCCTTGCACTAAACCTAACTAACTCATTAAAACGTTTTTGTTTTTTTATTATTAAGACAATATTTTGTCAGGGTGCCCGACTCACAATAGGTGGTTTTCAGCGGGGCCCTGGATTAAAATAAAGTACAAAATATACACAAATATTATAGAGTAGAATATAGATACGTTAAAATTAGCTACTTTTAAGGCGTAAAATAGTAAAGAAAGTGTGCGATAAAAGAAGTCCGCAGACAAATTAGAGTTTCCTAAGTTTCAATTTAAAAGTTCTGAAGTGTGTCTGAGATGCTTCGTATCTCGAAGGGGAGCATTAAACGTACAACCGGCGGTAGGTAAATTGAAACTAATATTTCACGAAATTAAGCCGTAAACGTATGCTAACAGCAACAAGTGAAATCTTTGCTAAATTGATTGCTTTGAGATTTTTAAAGACGGAATCTTTGTTATCTTTGTTGAAGACGGGGTGTCTTTGTCGCCGAAAGATTGGCCGAAAGAAGATTTTGACAGACTGAAAAGTTATTCAGCTCAAAGATATTTTTTTCCCAAACCATTAGCTGTGAGCCCTGGTTATGGTGTGGTCAGCGGGACAACCAATTCTCTCGCTGTGCATGCTGGGATTGTTGCGTTGCAACAAGGAGGAAATGCCATGGATGCCTGTGTAGCTACAGCACTTACAGGTTAAAGTCGTAATTTTATTTTTACCTGGCACTTTTTAGCGTCAAAATGCATTTCATAGTGTTTCACCTCACGAGTAACTATATTTGATTGTTACATATGTTACACTGGATTCTTTGCAGAAATAACCCTTGCAGCTGGTTGTTACGTCTCCTTCGCTGGTGTTACAGAGATACTATACTACAACAGTCATGAAAACCGAGTATATAGTTTAGATGGTGGTTGGAATATTCCAACTGACCTTGACGTTGAGCAAATATTGCCAATTCACACAACAAAACCAAATGGAGCATCGGTTCTTGTGCCTGGGTTTTTTGCAGGTATGTCGTAGGGCATGCAGGCAGGCGTGAACCTTACCTTCTCCTTTATTCAAAATCGCGCATTAATGGTAGACACTTTTGATTCAAAAAAAATAAATCATAAGATATTTGAATTTTCAAATTTAAAAAAAAGATGAAAGTTACGGCATTTGCATACCGTTACCGATTTCGCTGAAGTTTTATTTTTGTAAAATATTTTTTCATTTCAGGAATTGATGCAGCGGTCAAAAGGCTAGCGAACTTCGATCTCAAGACATTGTTGGAACCTGCGTTGTATTTCGCTAAAAATGGATTTAATCTAAGTCATCTCTTGGCCGGAAACATTGCAGCAAACTACAATGATGTCACATTGCTCAGAACTGAAGATGGTCAGTGAGAATCATTTGATGAATTTAAATTCTGTTGATGAAATATATAAATTCAGCAGCAAACCAAAGATGACATTATTCGTAAAAAAATGTAGCTACCATTGTGACGCATGCGACCAGCTATGAATCAAGAACATTTACATATAATTGGATAATTAACGTTAACTGCTTTCTGGGTCGCCTATATGAAAAAAATTGAGCAGTTTTCTAAAAAGTGAAATCAACATCTTTTTGAAGTTAATTGCATGCACTGATGAAGGCCCAAGCCTTTTCGGACCGAAACCTGGTCATGTAACAAACACGCGTGGTGTTCCTAGAAATCGATTATTCAGAAATATATTTTGTTAATCTTCTTGATTATGTTTAGGAAAACGACTGTTTACAAACCCTGAAACTGGTGAATATTACAAATACGGCGAACTATTCAAACAACCAGAGCTGTTAGACGTTCTTCAATCTATTGCTGAAAATGGAGTAAATGAGATGTACACTGGAGCCTGGGCGCAAGATATGGTGTCACTAGTTCAAAAAGAAAATGGTGTTATCACAATGTCTGATATGAGTTCTTACACAGTCAACTGGAAAGATCCCATAAATACGACGTATTCTGATTATGTTGTCTCAACTTCAGGTTGGTGCTGTTATATGTATTTTGATAGCAGTTTGTTTTTGAATTTGCCTGTGAGAAATTCATACAAACATGAATTGATTATATTTAGTTTGAATACCAATGCACAACGATTCCCTTCGGGAGAAAATTAATTTGTTTCGCATATTTGCTAATTGTCAATAGTTTGGAATGTTCTAAATTTCTTTAGGTACCAACAACGCTGGCTCAGGAGGTATTGAGTTACTGGAAAAACTGAATCTAATGGAATTTGCTGATCTTCGAAGTTACTCCTATCTTACAAATTCGACCAGACTCTACTGGTTTGCTTCTATAATTCGCTTTAGTAACTTCATTTCGTTATATTTACGAACAATGCCAAATGCAATTGCTATTCTTGAACGTGAATTTCAGTTGGATTTTTCAATCCGAAACAGAACATCGAAGGAATTTGCTTATTCTGTTTGGAGTCAAATGAGCAAACCTGGTGGAATGGATGAAATCAACGAGAAAATAAAAAAACTTCTAGGTAAGATTAAAACGTCACTATGTATGAGTAAAGGTGGGTGTGGTCACTCTCGCAAGGTTAAGACAACGCGCAACCCAAAATAAAGTTGCGTGAAGGTGGGTGTGGTCACTCTCGCAAGCTTAAGACAACACGCAACCCAAAATAAAGTTGCGTGAAGGTGGGTGTGGTCACTCTCGCAAGGTTAAGACAACGCGCAACCCAAAATAAAGTTGCGTGAAGGTGGGTGTGGTCACTCTCGCAAGGTTAAGACAACACGCAACCCAAAATAAAGTTGAGTAAAGGTGGGTGTGGTCACTCTCGCAAGCTTAAGACAACACGCAACCCAAAATAAAGTTGCGTGAAGGTGGGTGTGGTCACTCTCGCAAGGTTAAGACAACGCGCAACCCAAAATAAAGTTGCGTGAAGGTGGGTGTGGTCACTCTCGCAAGGTTAAGACAACACGCAACCCAAAATAAAGTTGAGTAAAGGTGGGTGTGGTCACTCTCGCAAGCTTAAGACAACACGCAACCCAAAATAAAGTTGCGTGAAGGTGGGTGTGGTCACTCTCGCAAGGTTAAGACAACGCGCAACCCAAAATAAAGTTGGGCGTGAAGGGTGGGTGTGGTCACTCTCGCAAGGTTAGACAACGCGCAACCCAAAATAAAGTTGCGTGAAGGTGGGTGTGGTCACTCTCGCAAGGTTAGAACAACGCGCAACCCAAAATAAAGTTGCGTAAAGGTGGGTGTGGTCACTCTCGCAAGGTTAGAACAACGCGCAACCCAAAATAAAGTTGAGTGAAGGTGGGTGTGGTCACTCTCGCAAGGTTAGAACAACGCGCAACCCAAAATAAAGTTGAGTGAAGGTGGGTGTGGTCACTCTCGCAAGGTTAGAACAACGCGCAACCCAAAATAAAGTTGCGTGAAGGTGGGTGTGGTCACTCTCGCAAGGTTAGAACAACGCGCAACCCAAAATAAAGTGAGTTGTTACGGTCAGCATCCTATATATTTATTTTAATAGGTGGTCATACAATATACAAGCTTCGATACAAGCTTCGCGCCTCACTCTGATGGGGTGGTAGCGATGGATAAGTATGGTAATATGTGTTCAATGATACATACAATCAATAGTCAACCGTGGGGAACAGGTTTATTTGTACATGGAATTGCGCTTCCACATTCTGCGGCCATTAATAAGTATTATATCAAACAATTAAGCCTGGTACTCGATTGAACTCAGAACTTCAGCCCGCTTTTGCATTCAGAAAAAACAGTGCCCAAAAAAATAGACCTTGGGAGCCTGCAATGGCTATTTCTGTTGTTGGTGCTTCACTTCGTCAGGTGACTCCGCAGATAATAACAAGTGTCTTAGATGAAAACCTGAATCCAAATCAAGCGCTATCCCGACCCCAGCTTATGTTGCCATCATTGGGTAATTACTTACAAGATATTCGAGTACAGCGTTGTACCATTGATCAGAATGTGTTACATGAAGTACGACGCAAAGGACAGCAAATTACGGAGATTGATGATCATACATCGCTGGCTATCCATGGTCTTGGCGTTTTGATATCTGTGGATAAAGATGGATTACGATATGCGTCATCGACTCCTTTCTTAGATGGTCTTGCTGAGAGTACTAGTGAGACTTAATTTTTGTGCAACTTTTTATTTTACCAACGCAACTCCACGAATCGGCCAAAAATATGAATATTTGTGGGATGGGATAATCTTAAATTTTGAACAAATAAATTGTTAATAGAGGACAGACTTTTGACCATTCTTTTTGTCCTGAGCTGAAGGGGTGTCAATTGCCTTCCCCGTGAATTTTTTCCCCGTCGCCTTTGCGTTCCGTTTTATGTTTGTCATCTCGAAATTTCTTTAGTTAATTAGAAGAGCCGCGTGTTTAGATAAAGCATTATTCATTATTTGTCGTTTTAATTAATATTTGAACCCTGCAAACCAATTTTACCAAGCCGTCAATCATTCGTACCCTCGACATGGGCTAATGCATTTTAATTTATTTTTTAATTAAACAGACCGGCTCATCTTTGGTTTACAGCAATATACAAACAATTGCGGCAACTTTAAACTTTTATCAGTGCTATATCTACCAGCACCGATTTACAGAACTTCATGGTCATGAAATTTAACCTTTGACTACTAGATATTGCTTTTAAGTAAATTAGCTTGTAGGTCCGTCCAAGCCTTCATCAGTGGAGTAATAAGGCTAATTTTTGTCAAGAATATTATTAGATATCGCTTGTCTATCAATATCAATTGATCAATTTTGACGAGATATTGGCTTAACCGCTATCATTTAATGAGTTAGTGCACAAGCATGAAATTATTCATTTATAAATTCATGTTTTATAAAAGAATCTATTTTTATTGCATTCTGTCGAATTAGTCGAACCAAGCGGAGTAAACTTATACAAAGTTAGGAAAATTGTTGGCAAACTGGTTTAAACTGGTAGTTCTTTGGAAGGTAAAAGTTCTTTGGAAGGTAAAATTCATATAGAAAATATATATAGATTACGGACAAGGTTATTTCTATTATTTTATAGTAATGGCACAAGTTTAGGCAAGGATTTGCTAGAACCTATACAGTCAGTTTAAATAGCTACAATTGAAATATAACTATGGTAATATACCTATGGTAGACCTATATTGTACCTTGGACAGACACAACAAAGAAAACTCAAATTTAGGGAACACCGTGTAGGCATATTACCTCCCTAGAGTCTATGCACGGATATATAAATCGCATTTCAGGAATGCGGCATATAGCAGTTGCATATACTGTCTGCATAGCTTTTCATCTTATATATTTACAGAAGTCAAAATGAAGAGTTTCATGTTTTTTTTCCTTTTGGTGTTACAAATATGCTGTGTTTTTGTCTTGGCGGATGTTTCTTCGGAAGGCCAAGATGATATTGAGAATATTTTAACTAAAGTGGACACAAGGTAAAACTTCAATCATAGATTTTGCTGTTTGAAGCCCGCTCTGTGTACGGGAAAGGAAATTAAAATTAGCACTAATTACGACAGATCAGCTCAATTAACAAATTTGAACACAATGCTTGAAATGTCTGATTCTGACAAGATCTGCAGGTAATATAAAGTTCAGTTCAACCCTAAAATAATGTTCACGTGAAAATTAACTCAACGAGTGCAGAACGGCTTATTTAAACAAAATGACCTTAGAATATGACCAAGCTGGAACGAGAAAGTAACGCCCACATTCCTATTTACCCTCAAGCTTGATTGGCTAGTTTGTCATCACACCCAACCTTTATATTCACGCCTAAATCATGACAAGGCTGATTTTCTGTCTCAACATGTATTTCGTCCTAAGGGCTGGTTTTCATATGACATAATTTGTTGTAATTCACATATTGTAATTTCTTGTCATTCGGTTTTAATATGTCGATTTCCCCATAACAACGAATTACTTTGTTTTGTCTATGAGAACTTTTTAGGGCGAAAAAAAACTTTAGAAAAAGTTTTTTAGGATGAATGATCCGTTTGTTTGCTTGCGTTTAAATTCTAACCGATTGTTAGGCAAACGATAGTTTTCTTCTAAAAATTTCGATGAAGACTGATAATTCATTTCTAGTATATAAATTTAAGTCAAATGGAACGCCTGCGTATCCTTTATTAGCTGCCATGATTTGTGTTCAAATGTACAAAGATTCCCTCAACTCAGCCTCCACAACCAAACGGCGTGCACAACCAAGATCAAGATCATATATATGTTATTTACCGGCTGCGAGGTCCGGATAGAAAAATATTTTCCCGGGGTATCAAAAACGATTCGAAAACGCAGGCCGAGATTACAGCCAATCAGATTGCAGGAAAGGCTAGGATTCTGCCCGCTGCTGATTTGCAATTTTTTTCTTTCTTTTATTGTAGTTCCACGGATAGGAAAAATCCTGTACGAGAAAAGCGGGGATGGTTCAGCAACAACAACAACAACAATAATAATAATAACAATAACAACAACAATAATAACAACAATAACAAAAAAACAACAACAACAACCGGTATTGTACAGAACCTTGTTACTGTTGGATCGGTGATAAGCATAACTCCAAAATTTATGTCGATTATCGAAAAATCTCGTGTCGAGGAAGTTCGGATTCACACGCATGCGCATTGGCGTGCCAGAGAAAGTGTGGATGTGAGTAAATATCAAATATGGTTCAATGAATGGTTCAATGTATGCTCAATTGTTAATAGATTGTATTGATTGTTTTAGACTATATCAACAGCTATAGTTACCTATGCAAAAAGATTAATGAGGTATATGATTCTCATCAAGGAGAACTTGGGTGTTACGCAAGTCACAGAGATCCAACTTCAGTCCACGGGAGGAAGAGAAGCCCAAACAACAACAACAACAACAACAACATAACAATAACAACAACAACAACAATAATAATAATAATAACAACCACAACAATTGTCTGTGCAGACGAAAAAGAGCCAACAACAACAATAACAACAACAATAATAATAACAACAACAATAACAACAACAACAACAACAATAACCATAATAATTGTTATTGCAACTTCTTCGATCTCTGGAATAAAGTTCGTCGTCTGTACAAACAATTTTGTTGCAAAACAAGAAAATGTCCAACCTGGTTTAAGATGCATCATGGAATTTGTAGAAAAAAGTGTGTAGCAATGGTATGTCAATCCAAAAATAATCCAAAAAGGTCTAATGCAAATTCGTATGCCTCAAAACTTGAAATGTTTGTCAAGAAAACTTGAAAGTCAAGCTTGTAACAGATTTTCTGGTTCAGCAAATCTTGATTTTTATTGCAGTCCTCCGATCTTTGATCGTTATCTTTACTCAGTAAGCATCATCTACCACCAACTTTACATTTTTTTAGTTGGCGACATGCAAGATGGCTTCAAAGGTGATGATTATGCTGCTGAAAACGGCCGACTTTACGAAAAATAGCTCATCCTGTAGAAAGCAAGCCATATTTTGTTTACTGCTAAATATTTACTTCTGTTCTTTAATCTAAAAGTATACGATACTCTGCGGTTGAATGTATCCTGTATTTACAACTCATTCAGACTACTTTAGTTTGTGGCACTTTGTCAATTTTATAATGATCGGGTGAATAAATGTTGATTAATGATCGGAGTAAATAATGATCGCATGTTGTTTTTTAAAGTCTTATATATCATAATATTAGATAAAATTTGTATTCGAAGCTCTTTTTGTACCGTAATTGTTTCAGTTTGAGCACACACATGCTAAAGTTAGACTTTATACAATAATTCAAATTAGATTTACTTATATTGTTGGAGCAGCCTCGTACCCAGGCGCTTTATTGGAAAACATACGGCTGCATTCAGCGTAATATAGAGATCTGTGGCTAAAACGTGCGAGCGTGCAGGGATGGTTGGGAAGGACGCGACAGGAGAGCGAAGCTTTATTTGCCGCGTTCTACCCAAGCATCTCTGCGTGCTCGCACAGATCTCTATATTACGCTGAATGCAGCCTTTATGTTTTCCAGTAAAGCGCCTGGGTACGAGGCTGTTGTTGGAGAATAACCGTTGTCCGTGCGTCAGCGCGAGGTATTTTCATTTTCTCCAGAGTTCACTCGACCTTGGCTTTGGCGCGGAACTATGTAAACCACGACTATAGGTTATTACCCTGCTCTATCGGTACCGACTTGACAACCTCAGTGCCCTCTCGAATAATGCTCCATATTAAACGACAAACACCATACAACTATAAAATATTCCGATAGAATTAATACATGGAGGCAAGAGCCATCATTCGTTTGAAAAATAAAAACATGATCTTGGTAGATTTTTGTAGAAAGAGAAAAAAGTGAATTTTTTCAGTCTCGAGAAAATCACCCTGTCAAGTTTTCGTGAAAAAAAAATTATTAAGGTAAGTAAACATTAGCATTAAAAGCGGGAAATTTTTTACCTTTTTTTAAAGTTTTAGTCGGACATTTTTTAATTTTCAGTCTTTAAGAGACACATGTTTTTAAATTTTTTTTGACTTGCTAGACTGAATATTTGCTTCAATTGCGATTTCAGATGTAATCTACGAGACTACGAGTTGCATGCTTGTTGCCTCATGACTATATATATACGCCGGTTATACACATTGAAATACATCCTTAATCCTTGTACTTTTTTCCTTTTAAACCTATTTTGAAATGCATTGTTAACTCTTGTACTTTACTTTGACTTCACTTTATTAAAAATACAAAACAATCGCACCGTAACCATTAGCTTCACTTGCGCCGCATATAACTAACCTATATGGAAAGATAGTGCTCTAAGGCACAGGCACGCTTTAAGGTTGTGTGCGTTTTAGACGAGAAAATCAATCATGAACATTAAATTGAACCTATATATTTAAATTGTTATTTCATTTGAGAGTCTACCAAAAAGGCATTAAATAATATAAAAAGGTGTAGCCTTTCACCGCAGGTTCGCTGGTGTAGTCTACTGGTTAAAGCAGTTTAATTAAACTTCTTTGAAAAGGGTTAGGCCTAATAAAGAACGATAGGCTTTCGACAAATGACGGGGTGGTCTAGTGGTTAAGACCTTGGTCTCTCAATCCTAGGACACATGTTCAAGTCCTGGTAATGCAAAAAAAATCAGCCTTAAAAATTTCGGTATGATTTGTGAGCTTCAAAAGTTAGAATTCCCAGCCTTCAAGAAGCAAGAAGGCTGTAAATTTGAAAGAAATTGGAAGTAAAAAAATAATCAGAGAAACACTTTGAACAATTTTCGCTTCTTAAAAGTACTTGAAAATTGCCAAAAAAACGCAAGTAAAAAAAAATTTAAAAACATGTGTCTCTTAAAAAGACTGAAAAAAGTTAAAAAAAGTTAAAAAAATTTCCCGCTTTTAATGCTAATGTTTACTTACCTTAATAATTTTTTTTCACGAAACTTGACAGGGTGATTTTCTCGAGACTGAAAAAATTCACTTTTTTTCACTTTTTTGAAATTCTCTAAGATTTTTTTTTGACGCGGAAGTATTTTGTCTTGGGCTACCTGTGTCTGTCTTGGGCTACTGTGTCCGGCTTGACACAGGTAGCCCAAGACAAAATACTTTCGTGTCCAAAAAAAAATCTAAGAGAATTTCAAAAAAGTGAAAAAAATTAAATTTTTTCAGTCTCGAGAAAATCACCCTGTCAAATTTTCGTGAAAAAAAATTAAGGTAAGTAAACATGAGTTTTTTAAAAGCGGGAAATTTTTTAATTTTTTCTGTCTGACTTTCTTCATTCAGTTCAGGCTTTTTAAAAGACACGTGTTTTTAAAACTTTTTTTAATTGTGCTTTTCTTTCAATTTTCAAGTACTTTTGAACGCGAGAATTTGTTTTCATTTTTTTTGTTTCAGATTTTTTTCAATTTACAGTCTTTTGCAAAGGCCGAGAAGTCTTTTAACTGTTTTAAGGCTTCCAAATCACACCGAAAATTTTCAGGCCAATTTTTTTGCATTGCCAGGAGTTGAAACGCTTGTCCTCGGAGTGAGGAACGAATGTCTTAACCACTAGACCATCGCATCATTTGTCGAAAGCTATTGTTCTTTTTTTGACCTAATTCTTTTCGATGAATTTTAAATTAAATGGTAATTTCGGTGGAAAAATCGAACCTTTCCCATGAGGATTCGAACATACCCTTACAGCCTGCTAGGCCGTAGCCTTAACCACTGGGCTACCGCTATAACGTATATATTAAGGCTGCTATCAACATATAATCCGATGGCCGAGTGGTTAAGGCTACGGCCTACTTGGTTGTATGCGTAGGTTCGAGTCCCACATGGGAAAGGTTCAATTTTTCCCACTGAAATTACTATTTAATTTAAAATTCATCGAAAAGAATTAGGTCAAATAAAGAACAATAGCTTTCGACAAATGATGCGGTGGTCTAGTGGTTAAGACATTCGTTTCTCACTCCGAGGACAAACGTTTCAACTCCTGGCAATGCAAAAAAATTGACCTGAAAAATTTCGGTGTGATTTGGAAGCCTTAAAAGAGTTAAAAGACTTCTCGGCCTTTGCGAAAGACTGTAAATTGAAAAAAATTTGAAATAAAATAAATGAAAACAAATTCTCGCGTTCAAAAGTACTTGAAAATTGAAAGAAAAGCACAATTAAAAAAGTTTTAAAAACACGTGTCTTCTAAAAGCCTGAACTGAATGAAGAAAGTCAGACGGAAAAAAATTAAAAAATTTCCCGCTTTTAAAAAACTCATGTTTACTTACCTTAATTTTTTTTTCACGAAAATTTGACAGGGTGATTTTCTCGAGACTGAAAAAATTTAATTTTTTTCACTTTTTTGAAATTCTCTTAGATTTTTTTTTCGGCGCGAAAGTATTTTGTCTTGGGCTACTGTGTCTGTTTTGGGCTACCTGTGTCTGGCTTGACACAGGTAGCCCAAGACAAAATACTTTCGCGTCCAAAAAAAAATCTAAGAGAATTTCAAAAAAGTGAAAAAAAATTAAATTTTTTCAATCTCGAGAAAATCACCCTGTCAAATTTTCGTGAAAAAAATTTAAGTTATGTAAACATGAGTTTTTTAAAAGCGGGAAATTGTTAAATTTTTTTCCGTCTGACTTTCTTCATTTTTAGGCTTTTTAGAAGACACATGTTTTTAACACTTTTTTAACTTGTGCTTTTTCTTCAATTTTCAGGTACTCTCGAACGCAAGAATTTCTTTTTAAAGTTTTTTTTTATTTCAAATTTTTTTCAATTTTCAGTCTTTCGCATAGGCCGAGGAGTTTTTTAACTGCTTTAAGCATTCCAAATCATGCAGAAATTTTTCAAGTTATTTTTTTTGCGTTGCCAGGAGTTGAAACGTTTGTCTTCGGGTTGGGAGACCAACGCATTAACCACTAGACCACCAAATCATTTTTCAAAAGCTATTGTTCTTTATTTGACTAAATCCTTTTTGAATAATTTTAAATTAAATAGTAATTTCAGTGGGAAAAATCGAACCTATCCCTCTCAGGATTCGAACCT